TTTGAGCTGAGAATCTACTCTTTTAGAACCAGACCTTAACTAATCAAGAGGTCCTTACATGGACCTTATGCTCACTTGAGTCGATAAAAGTAGGGGCCTCACAGGTTTCGCAATAAGGGACATACTGGTAGCTCCCATCCCCTTGCACCAGGAATATAGGATTTATTGGAACAGTAGGGCAATCTAGGGGTGCTGCTCGAAGTTTCCTGCAGAAGCAGGTATCCCATTTAAGCAAATGTAGGACTTTTTCAGAAAATGATACCTACAATGTTTTTCCAGAATCCATTAAACATTTTGATGTGAAATCATATCTACACTTCATGGTCTATTAGAAATTGAAATAAAAAATGAGGGTATATAACCAGGCATTTCAAAGAGATAGCCTTGATTCAAACGGAACAATTTTTAAGACCATTTTTAGACAGTTTTAAAACTTTGAATGCATGCATTCTTAAGTCTGCCATGCTCGCATTGCTGTTTGGATGGTGGATATTGAAGGCTACCCCCATGCAAGCCCCCTTTTTAATAGGGGCATATACCCCATTTGAGAAACTTTAACTTTAACAAATATGTTTAAATCATCTTAAATTTGTTCTTTGGAAAAGAATTGTTATTTCAAGTCATCATGGCGTTGTTTTTCATCAAAGTCATAGTAACAGGCGTATACGCTGGGAAAACACATCCAACATGCATCTCAATCTTATCAAGGTGCAGCGCAACCAGTCAGCTGTGGCACAATCTTCAATTGTGACGTCATCAGAGTTAAAGGAACTGCATGAAGATCTTTTTGTGCATTTAATTTGATTGTAATTGGAAATTGGATTTTGGAATTACTAACACCTTTGCCAAGTTCATCTACTAGCTGATTCGCAACTCAATTCCAGATGTATGACTATCAAGTAAGATCTTTCCTTATTGGCTTCATTATTATCTACACATTTATATCACTGACCACTGGGAATTATTCTTCTGGGCATGACAGATCTAAATCTCTAGCAACCATGGGGAAAGCTAAAGATCTATGTATGTGGAAGAGGAGTGTCAGGTAGAACAGGAGGTATCCAGTGTGATGGCTACTGCAAGCTATGGTTTCATCCGAATTGCATCAATCTAAACTATCGTGAATATATAGATTTAGGAAACTGCTCTGTAATATGGATTTGTAATAAGTGCAGAATGCATAGGCCTAACATCTGTTTGACGTCAGGCATGGGTAATACTACCTTGGGTCTTTCAACCAATAATAACACTTTTGATGTCCTCGACTCAGGCGTGGAAGATGAAGGGAATGCAGAGGATGTGAATGACCCCTCCTTCACAGAGAGTGACATAGGTGACATAGGTACAGAATCTTGGTTATCGTCATCAATCAACAACAATGAGGTCTTCCCAATTGTTCAATATAACATTGAGAGGAGGGATCAACAAAATGACCCCCATGGTAGGGTGTTCATGTCTACTAAGAAGGAACTTCTTGCAAAAAGAGAAATAGAACTTGAAACTAACTGGAATTATTTGGTGTAAATTGAACATGGTGGGGTTTAAGACACTTCATGTAGCTGCTTACTAGGCCCCATGAAAACGACGAAGAAAGCATCACGGAACTCCAGCGATTTTAGAGATTAAATCATGCTCGTACGGCAGTGATAGGTGGTGATTTCAATCTGCCTGGATGGGATATTGGAATATTAGACAAGTGAAGGCATGCTACTACCCTTCGCTTCATCATGCTTTTGGTTCAATACTGGATGATCATGGACTAACACAAGTAGTCAAGGAGACAACAGGAGGAGAAAATGTACTTCATCTGTTCCTAGTTAGTAACTCAACGATGATCACTAATGTACCAGTTAAACCCGGCATTTCAGATCATGACTGCCCGCTGCTCACAATTGCTAGATGTCCCTGTTTTCTACCGATGAAGATAACACAAAATATGACAGTATGAAGAGATTTTGGAGGTTCATCAAAGATAACGGCCCAATTCACAAAGGAGGTTTGTCGACAAACCTCCTTTGTGAATTCGGGCCAACAGGTCTGATAACACAGGAAGAGCAGAACTTAAAATTGCAGTACCGGTATGCTGAAAGAATTTGATTGGACCACTCTACAAGAGCGCAGAGAAAATGACAAACTAACCATGATGTAAAGAAAACACAAGAATCTCGCTCATCTTCTGGCTCAGGACGATATGTTACACAGATAACCCAGTTGACGAGAGCCACCCAGCCACATTCCTATTGGATGCCATACTTGAGAACTGAATCGCATCAGCATTCATTCTTTCTGAGAACAGTAAGGAACTGGAATTCCCTGCTCTCAGAAATTGTTGCAGCGCCATCTGCTGGAGCCTTCCGTAATCAACTGCAGATGGTTGGTGACAGTGGCTAGTCTTCCTCTATCCTGCCATGAGCTTGTAAATATTTGTAAACAAACTGTATAATAATGTTTATAGCACTTGAAAGGACGTAAATTGCGGTTCACATATACACAGAGATGCCAACCCTATAGGATGGTTGTCAGTAACATTTACCGCATTTGTCCGTAACAAATGGGGGTCTTTCCGGAACGCAAGACAACGCAGTATATTTTTTCTCCTCCTCGGGTACTCACTCTTTTCAGTTAATCCATGATAATATTCAGGAAGAAAACACCTCGTTCAAGTGTCGAACAGCAAATCCGAATCCACAGTAAAAATGGCAGAGCTCGTATCCTACACACTAATGCACACCACACGCACACCGTACCCCCCATCCAGTGGAGTCAAATTCAGTGAACTTTTGAAACGCGTGCGTGACATGCAGTGCCGTGTACAGAGGCTATGGGTAGAAAGGCGGCATACGCTATAATCATGGACCTACTAATGCTATAATGTACTTAATTATAGTTTCCCGTAACCTTTTGATTGTTTACCGTAACGCCGTAACAAGAGCAATAAAACCGGAACAAATACGGCGAAACCGTAACGGTTGGCATCCCTGCATACATGCCAACGATATGCTATTAGTCTATATTTTCACCATGTAATTTTTTGTGTGTGTTGAAATCAATTTGGTGATATTGTGCGTGTGCTAGCTAGCTAGCTTGATATGTAAAGTAGATTCCGTCGTTTTGCTTTATACTTCTCGCATTCGGTCTGTTCTAACTAGCTTTATACACGTATGGTACATACTATAGCAATTGATAATGGCTGGTGAGTATGGCCAGAACAATCTTTTTATGGATTTTGAAGAGTTAATGGAGAAATATGATGTAAGTGATGAAGAACAAAGGGACCAGAGTGCATCTTCTTTCATACTGTGCATTGTGCGATCTTCCAAATTCTGACACCGGTAGTCACTGAGGGGCAGGTCTTTGTTAGTTTTATTCCTTAGCTGGTAACGTCGCTTTCATTCTCTTGCAATTGCCAATATACAGATACCTAACGCAAGTACAGTATGTTCTACAACCCGCCAAGAGCAGCGGCGGCCAGGACTTACCTGCCGATTCCGATCGCTTCACAAACTTTTGTGCAAGAGCCGCATCACTCCACTCACGGATGAATATCGTTCCATCACTAATCATAGACGTCGTCAGCTATTATAGAGGAAGCGCGCTTGATCTCGTTCAAGTTTGATACATTAAAAAATGAAATATCTAACAGGTACTGTATCCTTTTGTGAGGCAGTCAGCCAGTCACACACATCTATGATAAGTACTATCATACTTCTAGGCCTATTCGTTTTACAAAACTGCTCCTGTATTTTATCTGATGACAAGATAATGCATACGTGCACCCGCATATTCATAAGTGCATACGATTTCACCTTGTTTCTCAATCAGTAAAATTGTCTTAAAACTCTACCAAATAGGAGAATATGGGGACATAAAAAGAAATCAACGACTGGAAAATGTTCCTTGGTTATTCTTCATTCAAATGAAAACAGAAAATCCATTAAAAATACTGCATTATTAACAGCAAAAAATCTGAGCTCTGACAGGATAGCATTTACGTAGGTATATCATTGCCATTCACTCTCACTTTAATAGCCCATAATCACCGAATATTCAGGATTGTCTTAGAATGTTAACTTTAATACAAGATGAGGAAGCACTCTGGGAAGCCTGAGAAGGAAGCGTGTAAATCATCTGATTGTATGCAGTCAGCAAACTGGTGATAAGCAACATAAGCATTCAAGGGAGAAAAAAGTAACTATTTTTAAAGATATCTTGCAGTTACAAAAGAAATTATGTTATTTCTGAGGTAGATGCATGCAGGTTTATGTCACTAACTCAAATACCGTATTTGGCGGCGTAAAGGCCGCAGTATTTTCTGAAGAAAAAATATCAAAGTCTGGGTGCGGCCTTTGCGCAACAACTAAAATTCATCGGTCAAAACAGCACATCCACACAGCACGTCCACTGGTACATATGGGACTACAATGACTATACGATGGTACAGGACACTTCTAGAATAACTCCACACATCTTATCGACAATTTTATGTTGCATTGTTGACATGAAGATGAAAATAAACTACCTGTACATAACTTATTTTTAAAACAAAATCTACTGGTAGATATCGATCTAAATCTGTACTATTGCATCGCCAAAAAGTAAAAGAAGGGACCGAATACTGAGCTGCCGCGCATGCAAAGAAACTGCGCATCCAGCGAAAGTCGCAATTTCGTATTACACTACACATCGTGGTAGGGGTATATGTAGAATACCAAATCTGCCTGCAATACAGTACTAGCTTAAAAACCGATGAACCACTGCTAAATTACAATCATTTTTTAGGTAAACATCCTGTAAATTTATGAGAATATTGATGAATTTGGTATCAGTTTGTAGAAATAGTGTTCTACAAGAAAATTATGATTACTTGTTTGGTCCGTTTGTTTTTTTTCCTTTTTTTTCTCACTTCCATCTACGTAATGTCAAAGTTGGGGGTGCGGCCTATGCGGTGCTGCGGCATTATCCCTAGGAAATATGGTAGTAATTATTTCAATAATACTGACCTTGTACAATAATGACATTAAAGCTGCAAGAATCTTGATTTCCATTGGCATCAGCAAAGGTCCAGGTAACTTGGGTGGTACCAGGGGTAAAGAAATCTGTTGTTGCATGACTTTGAGAAACAATTGTCGGGACTAGTCCACTGTTGTCTGTTGCAGTAGGTGCAGTAAAGAAGACTTGACTACTAGTTTGACTTAATCCAACCTCACGCCGTATATCAGCAGGGCATGTGGCAACAGGTGGCGTTCTATCAACTGACAGATAAAATTTGGGAAGAATAAATGTACGAGGAGTTGGACTCATTTCAAATCTAATCAAAAGATGTTCACATTTTTACCTTTATACATGTATCCATAGGGAAATGTCCTTCCCTACATTTCTCTGTAATGAGAACTAAAGTTTTCATGAAGTTAAACATTTTCTCGCAGTATCCCCAAAATCTACCAAATTGCTCCTGATTTTGCCTCACTTATTCTAGAGTTTAATATATTGCAATGACACTTAACACTTAAATTCTGTGGGTAGCATCATATAAACATGGAGATCTTCTTATATCTCCATGATATAAAGATACATTATGAGTTATATCAGGACCGTAAACAATTGTAGTAATATTTTATTAAATAGACTACCGGTAGTCTGAAATGGCAGAAAATGTGTAATTAAAAAACACATGAGAAACATACGGTACCTTAAATACTGTATGCAACTGACCGAATTTGACAATAGTGGATAGCCATGCATATTTAACAACATAAGCTCTAAAATGTCTTTCTAGGTTATAACAAGAATCAAAATAAGGAAAATTATAATCTATGCCCAAATAAATATAAATAAAAGCATGTAACAGACAGATGTACAGTATACCCTCATGGTTCAATCTCAATGGACGGACCGAGACATAAAAAGGTCATAAACACTAGACAAAGCTAACAATGACAGCTCAAGGCATCAATATAGTAAAAAAATAAGAAGATACTGTTCATCAAAAGACCCAAACAAGAATTCATATCCAAATACTATTATAAATCCCCAAAACTCACCAACCTACATGTACTTCATTGAATGGCTCTATTGTGATTTCTGAGGAAAATCCATGCAGGTTTATGTCATTAACTCAAATAAGCATCATTTTAGTAATACTGACCTTGTACAATATTGACATTGAAGCTGCAAGAATCTTGATTTCCATTGGCATCAGCAAAGGTCCAGGTAACTTGGGTGTTACCAAGGTCAAAGAAATCCGTTGTTGAATGAGTTTGAGAAGTAATTGTCGGAACTAGTCCACTGTTGTCTATTGCAGTAGGTGCAGTAAAGAAGACTTGAATCCTCGTTTGACTTAATCCAACCTCCCGCTGGATATCCGCAGGGCATGTGGCAACAGGTGGCGTTCTATCAACTGAAAGAACATTTGGAAAGAATAAATGTACCAGGAGTTAGACTAATTTCCAATCTCATCACAAGATTTTCACATTTTTACCTTCATACATGTGTCCATAGGAAATGTCCTTCCCTACATTTTCCCAGTAATGAGACCCACAGTTTTCTGGAAGCTTATCATTTTAGTTGTATTATCCCCAGAGCTATCAAAGAGCTTCTTATTATACCTCAAATAAAGTTATGGCCTCAAACGATTCTAGAGTTATATAGCAATGACAAATAACACTAACATTCGGTGGGTAGCATATACACATACTGTATATTATCAGTTATATTAGGAACCAGGATTGTAAAATTGTAGCAATATTGTATTAATTAATTTAGTTTGAAATGGCAGAAAAGGGGTCTTGCAAAGAACTACATGAAAAACATATCACAATTATGCAACTGATTGGGCTATACAAAACTAAATGGCTATGCATATACCGGTAGAACAACATAGGCTCTAAAATAACTTCCTAACTTTCAATGTAAGAAGAATCAAAATATGGAAATAATAATCTATGCTACAATTATTATAATGCAAGCATGCATTATACAGATGTATGCCTCCAGAATTCAATCTTGATGAATGGATTGATGCATAAAAAAGTTTTAAAAAACACTAAACAACGCTAACCATCACAGCTCGAAGAATAAACATAGTAAAAACTAAGAAAAAAATGTTCATCAAAAGACCCAAACAAGAGTTTTTTATATCCAAATACTATTTCATTAAACGCAGCTGATTATTAGAAATATTATTCCACATTTTGGTACACAGGTATAACAAGTTGGACAAATTTTGTATGTCATCGAAAAATGTCTTTGTTTGTACCTGCTCACATGCTTGTGTTCTACATGAACTGTTTCATCAACTAGATATTCACTACCGGTATGCACTATTGGTCTTATTATCCCCAAAACTAACCAACCTATTTCATTGAATGGAGCTATTGCGATGACTCATACATTTTATACATAAACACTGTAATTTAATAGGTAGAATATCAGGAACCAGGCTCCAAGAATGTAGTAATACAGTATTGATGTACTTTAAATTGACACCCAAAAGAGTCTAAAATTGGCCATGTATATATAGCAACAGTTTACTCTCAATGTCTTTCCATTATATCCACATTCAACTTTTTTCAGTTCTATAATCTATGACACAGTTCATATACATGTATGCAAGCTTGTAAAGAATACTTACAACACTACAGGATTGAAACATAAAATGGTAGAGATATACAAGGTGATTCTTCTGCAAAAGAATCAAACTTTTCGTTTTTTGGGATCAAATTCATTATTAAAAAAAGAGATGATCATTAGATGTTTTATTTTTTAATTATAAAGGATATCATTTATTTTTTAGGTTGATGTCTTTACATTCAATTCTTGAATCAAACTTTATTTCCCAAGTAATACTGACCTTTATAACAAACAAAGCTGCAATTACCTTAATATATTCCTTGCCATCTACAAAGCTGCAGAAATATCAGTGTAAACCGATAATACAGATATTTTGCAGTTACAAAAGGATTTTTTTTTTTTATTTCTGAGGAAAATCCATGCAGGTTTATGTCATTAACTCTAATAAGCATTATTTAAGTAACACTGACCTTGTACAATATTGACATTGAAGCTGCAAGAATCTTGATTTCCACTGGCATCAGCAAAGGTCCAGGTAACTTGGGTGTTACCAATGGTAAAGAAATCCGTTGTTGCATGAGTTTGAGAAGTAATTGTCGGGACTTGTCCACTGTTGTCTATTGCAGTAGGTGCAGTAAAGAAGACTTGAACACTCGTTTGACCTAATCCAACCTCCCGCTGTATATCCGCAGGGCACGTGGCAACAGGTGGCGTTCTATCAACTGAAAGATAACATTTAGGAAGAATAAATGTACCAGGAGTCAGACTAATTTCCAATCTCATCACAAGATTTTCACATTTTTACCTTCATACATGTGTCCATAGGAAATGTCCTTCCCTACATTTTCCCAGTAATGAGACCCACAGTTTTCTGGAAGCTTAACATTTTAGTTGTATTATCCCCAGAGCTATCAAAGAGCTTCTTATTATACCTCAAATAAAGTTATGGCCTCAAATGATTCTAGAGTTATATAGCAATGACAAATAACACTAACATTCGGTGGGTAGCATATACACATACTGTATATTATCAGTTATATTAGGAACCAGGATTGTAAAATTGTATTGTATTAATTAATTTAGTTTAAAATGGCAGAAAATGTGTCTTGCAAAGAACTACATGAAAAACATATCATAATGATGCAACTGATTGAGCTATAAAAAAACTGAATGGCTATGCATATATAACAACATAGGCTCTAACATATCTTCCCAAGTTTAAATGTAAGAAGAATCAAAATATGAAAATAATAATCTATGCTACAATTAATATAATGCAAGCATGCATTATACAGATGTATGCCTCCAGAATTCAATCTCGATGAATGGATCGATGCATGAAAAGGTTTTTTAAAAATACTAAACAACGCTAACCATGACAGCTCAAAGAATAAACATAGTAAAAACTGAGAAGAAACTGTTCATTAAAAGACCCAAACAAGATTTTTTTATATCCAAATACTATTTCATTAAACGCAGCTGATTATTAGAAATATTATTCCACATTTTGGTACACAGGTATAACAAGTTGGACAAATTTTGTATGTCATCGAAAAATATCTGTTTTTGTACCTGCTCACATGCTTGTGTTCTACATGAACTGTTTCATCAACTAGATATTCACTATTGGTCTTATTATCCCCAAAACTAACCAACCTATTTCATTGAATGGAGCTATTGCGATGACTCATACATTTTATACATAAACACTGTAATTTAATAGGTAGAATATCAGGAACCAGGCTCCAAGAATGTAGTAATACAGTATTGATGTACTTTAAATTGACACCCAAAAGAGTCTAAAATTGGCCATGTATATATAGCAACAGTTTACTCTCAATGTCTTTCCATTATATCCACATTCAACTTTTTTCAGTTCTATAATCTATGACACAGTTCATATACATGTATGCAAGCTTGTAAAGAATACTTACAACACTACAGGATTGAAACATAAAATGGTAGAGATATACAAGGTGATTCTTCTGCAAAAGAATCAAACTTTTCGTTTTTTGGGATCAAATTCATTATTAAAAAAAGAGATGATCATTAGATGTTTTATTTTTTAATTATAAAGGATATCATTTATTTTTTAGGTTGATGTCTTTACATTCAATTCTTGAATCAAACTTTATTTCCCAAGTAATACTGACCTTTATAACAAACAAAGCTGCAATTACCTTAATATATTCCTTGCCATCTACAAAGCTGCAGAAATATCAGTGTAAACCGATAATACAGATATTTTGCAGTTACAAAAGGATTTTTTTTTTTTATTTCTGAGGAAAATCCATGCAGGTTTATGTCATTAACTCTAATAAGCATTATTTAAGTAACACTGACCTTGTACAATATTGACATTGAAGCTGCAAGAATCTTGATTTCCACTGGCATCAGCAAAGGTCCAGGTAACTTGGGTGTTACCAATGGTAAAGAAATCCGTTGTTGCATGAGTTTGAGAAGTAATTGTCGGGACTTGTCCACTGTTGTCTATTGCAGTAGGTGCAGTAAAGAAGACTTGAACACTCGTTTGACCTAATCCAACCTCCCGCTGGATATCCGCAGGGCACGTGGCAACAGGTGGCGTTCTATCAACTGAAAGATAACATTTAGGAAGAATAAATGTACCAGGAGTCAGACTAATTTCCAATCTCATCACAAGATTTTCACATTTTTACCTTCATACATGTGTCCATAGGAAATGTCCTTCCCTACATTTTCCCAGTAATGAGACCCACAGTTTTCTGGAAGCTTAACATTTTAGTTGTATTATCCCCAGAGCTATCAAAGAGCTTCTTATTATACCTCAAATAAAGTTATGGCCTCAAATGATTCTAGAGTTATATAGCAATGACAAATAACACTAACATTCGGTGGGTAGCATATACACATACTGTATATTATCAGTTATATTAGGAACCAGGATTGTAAAATTGTAGCAATATTGTATTAATTAATTTAGTTTAAAATGGCAGAAAATGTGTCTTGCAAAGAACTACATGAAAAACATATCATAATGATGCAACTGATTGAGCTATAAAAAACTGAATGGCTATGCATATATAACAACATAGGCTCTAAAATATCTTCCCAAGTTTAAATGTAAGAAGAATCAAAATATGAAAATAATAATCTATGCTACAATTAATATAATGCAAGCATGCATTATACAGATGAATGCCTCCAGAATTCAATCTCGATGAATGGATCGATGCATGAAAAGGTTTTTTAAAAATACTAAACAACGCTAACCATGACAGCTCAAAGAATAAACATAGTAAAAACTGAGAAGAAACTGTTCATTAAAAGACCCAAACAAGATTTTTTTTATATCCAAATACTATTTCATTAAACGCAGCTGATTATTAGAAATATTATTCCACATTTTGGTACACAGGTATAACAAGTTGGACAAATTTTGTATGTCATCGAAAAATATCTGTTTTTGTACCTGCTCACATGCTTGTGTTCTACATGAACTGTTTCATCAACTAGATATTCACTATTGGTCTTATTATCCCCAAAACTAACCAACCTATTTCATTGAATGGAGCTATTGCGATGACTCATACATTTTATACATAAACACTGTAATTTAAGAGGTAGAATATCAGGAACCAGGCTCCAAGAATGTAGTAATACAGTATTGATGTACTTTAAATTGACACCCAAAAGAGTCTAAAATTGGCCATGTATATATAGCAACAGTTTACTCTCAATGGCTTTCCATTATATCCACATTCAACTTTTTCAGTTCTATAATCTATGACACAGTTCATATACATGTATGCAAGCTTGTAAAGAATACTTACAACACTACAGGATTGAAACATAAAATGGTAGAGATATACAAGGTGATTCTTCTGCAAAAGAATCAAACTTTTTGTTTTTTGGGATCAAATTCATTATTAAAAAAAAGAGATGATCATTAGATGTTTTATTTTTTAATTATAAAGGATATCATTTATTTTTTAGGTTGATGTCTTTACATTCAATTCTTGAATCAAACTTTATTTCCCAAGTAATACTGACCTTTATAACAAACAAAGCTGCAATTACCTTAATATATTCCTTGCCATCTACAAAGCTGCAGAAATATCAGTGTAAACCGATAATACAGATATTTTGCAGTTACAAAAGGATTTTTTTTTTTTATTTCTGAGGAAAATCCATGCAGGTTTATGTCATTAACTCTAATAAGCATTATTTAAGTAACACTGACCTTGTACAATATTGACATTGAAGCTGCAAGAATCTTGATTTCCACTGGCATCAGCAAAGGTCCAGGTAACTTGGGTGTTACCAATGGTAAAGAAATCCGTTGTTGCATGAGTTTGAGAAGTAATTGTCGGGACTTGTCCACTGTTGTCTATTGCAGTAGGTGCAGTAAAGAAGACTTGAACACTCGTTTGACCTAATCCAACCTCCCGCTGGATATCCGCAGGGCACGTGGCAACAGGTGGCGTTCTATCAACTGAAAGATAACATTTAGGAAGAATAAATGTACCAGGAGTCAGACTAATTTCCAATCTCATCACAAGATTTTCACATTTTTACCTTCATACATGTGTCCATAGGAAATGTCCTTCCCTACATTTTCCCAGTAATGAGACCCACAGTTTTCTGGAAGCTTATCATTTTAGTTGTATTATCCCCAGAGCTATCAAAGAGCTTCTTATTATACCTCAAATAAAGTTATGGCCTCAAATGATTCTAGAGTTATATAGCAATGACAAATAACACTAACATTCGGTGGGTAGCATATACACATACTGTATATTATCAGTTATATTAGGAACCAGGATTGTAAAATTGTAGCAATATTGTATTAATTAATTTAGTTTAAAATGGCAGAAAATGTGTCTTGCAAAGAACTACATGAAAAACATATCATAATGATGCAACTGATTGAGCTATAAAAAACTGAATGGCTATGCATATATAACAACATAGGCTCTAAAATATCTTCCCAAGTTTAAATGTAAGTAGAATCAAAATATGGAAATAATAATCTATGCTACAATTAATATAATGCAAGCATGCATTATACAGATGTATGCCTCCAGAATTCAATCTCGATGAATGGATCGATGCATAAAAAGGTTTTTAAAAAATGTCTAAAAACTCTCCTCTTTGACCATGATCAACAATAGATTCTTTTATAACTTTTTATGTAAAGCGCTGTGAAACAACAGTTAGTTCGTAAGAGCGCTATATAAATGACTTTATTGTATTGTATTGTATTGTATAAAAAATACTAAACAACGCTAACCATGACAGCTCGAAGAATAAACATAGTAAAAACTGAGAAGAAACTGTTCATTAAAAGACCCAAACAAGAGTTTTTTATATCCAAATACTATTTCATTAAACGCAGCTGATTATTAGAAATATTATTCCACATTTTGGTACACAGGTATAACAAGTTGGACAAATTTTGTATGTCATCGAAAAATGTCTGTTTTTGTACCTGCTCACAGGCTTGTGTTCTACATGAACTGTTTCATCAACTAGATATTCACTATATGCACTATTGGTCTTATTATCCCCAAAACTAACCAACCTATTTCATTGAATGGAGCTATTGCGATGACTCATACATTTTATACATAAACACTGTAATTTAATAGGTAGAATATCAGGAACCAGGCTCCAAGAATGTAGTAATACAGTATTGATGTACTTTAAATTGACACCCAAAAGAGTCTAAAATTGGCCATGTATATATAGCAACAGTTTACTCTCAATGTCTTTCCATTATATCAACATTCAACTTTTTCAGTTCTATAATCTATGACACAGTTCATATACATGTATGCAGGCTTTAAAGAACACTTACAACACTACAGGATTGAAACATAAAATGGTAGAGATATACAAGGTGATTCTTCTGCAAAAGAATCAAACTTTTAGTTTTTTGGGATCAAATTCATTATTAAAAAAAGAGATGATCATTAGATGTTTTATTTTTTAATTATAAAGGATATCATTTATTTTTTAGGTTGATGTCTTTACATTCAATTCTTGAATCAAACTTTATTTCCCAAGTAATACTGACCTTTATAACAAACAAAGCTGCAATTACCTTAATATATTCCTTGCCATCTACAAAGCTGCAGAAATATCAGTGTAAACCGATAATACAGATATTTTGCAGTTACAAAAGGATTTTTTTTTTTTTTTTCTGAGGAAAATCCATGCAGGTTTATGTCATTAACTCTAATAAGCATTATTTAAGTAACACTGACCTTGTACAATATTGACATTGAAGCTGCAAGAATCTTGATTTCCACTGGCATCAGCAAAGGTCCAGGTAACTTGGGTGTTACCAATGGTAAAGAAATCCGTTGTTGCATGAGTTTGAGAAGTAATTGTCGGGACTTGTCCACTGTTGTCTATTGCAGTAGGTGCAGTAAAGAAGACTTGAACACTCGTTTGACCTAATCCAACCTCCCGCTGGATATCCGCAGGGCACGTGGCAACAGGTGGCGTTCTATCAACTGAAAGATAACATTTAGGAAGAATAAATGTACCAGGAGTCAGACTAATTTCCAATCTCATCACAAGATTTTCACATTTTTACCTTCATACATGTGTCCATAGGAAATGTCCTTCCCTACATTTTCCCAGTAATGAGACCCACAGTTTTCTGGAAGCTTATCATTTTAGTTGTATTATCCCCAGAGCTATCAAAGAGCTTCTTATTATACCTCAAATAAAGTTATGGCCTCAAATGATTCTAGAGTTATATAGCAATGACAAATAACACTAACATTCGGTGGGTAGCATATACACATACTGTATATTATCAGTTATATTAGGAACCAGGATTGTAAAATTGTAGCAATATTGTATTAATTAATTTAGTTTAAAATGGCAGAAAATGTGTCTTGCAAAGAACTACATGAAAAACATATCATAATGATGCAACTGATTGAGCTATAAAAAACTGAATGGCTATGCATATATAACAACATAGGCTCTAAAATATCTTCCCAAGTTTAAATGTAAGAAGAATCAAAATATGAAAATAATAATCTATGCTACAATTAATATAATGCAAGCATGCATTATACAGATGTATGCCTCCAGAATTCAATCTCGATGAATGGATCGATGCATGAAAAGGTTTTTTAAAAATACTAAACGACGCTAACCATGACAGCTCAAAGAATAAACATAGTAAAAACTGAGAAGAAACTGTTCATTAAAAGACCCAAACAAGATTTTTTTATATCCAAATACTATTTCATTAAACGCAGCTGATTATTAGAAATATTATTCCACATTTTGGTACACAGGTATAACAAGTTGGACAAATTTTGTATGTCATCGAAAAATATCTCTTTTTGTACCTGCTCACATGCTTGTGTTCTACATGAACTGTTTCATCAACTAGATATTCACTATTGGTCTTATTATCCCCAAAACTAACCAACCTATTTCATTGAATGGAGCTATTGCGATGACTCATACATTTTATACATACACACTGTAATTTAAGAGGTAGAATATCAGGAACCAGGCTCCAAGAATGTAGTAATACAGTATTGATGTACTTTAAATTGACACCCAAAAGAGTCTAAAATTGGCCATGTATATATAGCAACAGTTTACTCTCAATGTCTTTCCATTATATCCACATTCAACTTTTTCAGTTCTATAATCTATGACACAGTTCATATACATGTATGCAAGCTTGTAAAGAATACTTACAACACTACAGGATTGAAACATAAAATGGTAGAGATATACAAGGTGATTCTTCTGCAAAAGAATCAAACTTTTCGTTTTTTGGGATCAAATTCATTATTAAAAAAAGAGATGATCATTAGATGTTTTATTTTTTAATTATAAAGGATATCATTTATTTTTTAGGTTGATGTCTTTACATTCAATTCTTGAATCAAACTTTATTTCCCAAGTAATACTGACCTTTATAACAAACAAAGCTGCAATTACCTTAATATATTCCTTGCCATCTACAAAGCTGCAGAAATATCAGTGTAAACCGATAATACAGATATTTTGCAGTTACAAAAGGATTTTTTTTTTTAATTTCTGAGGAAAATCCATGCAGGTTTATGTCATTAACTCTAATAAGCATTATTTAAGTAACACTGACCTTGTACAATATTGACATTGAAGCTGCAAGAATCTTGATTTCCACTGGCATCAGCAAAGGTCCAGGTAACTTGGGTGTTACCAATGGTAAAGAAATCTGTTGTTGCATGAGTTTGAGAAGTAATTGTCGGGACTTGTCCACTGTTGTCTATTGCAGTAGGTGCAGTAAAGAAGACTTGAACACTCGTTTGACCTAATCCAACCTCCCGCTGGATATCCGCAGGGCACGTGGCAACAGGTGGCGTTCTATCAACTGAAAGATAACATTTGGGAAGAATAAATGTACCAGGAGTCAGACTAATTTCCAATCTCATCACAAGATTTTCACATTTTTACCTTCATACATGTGTCCATAGGAAATGTCCTTCCCTACATTTTCCCAGTAATGAGACCCACAGTTTTCTGGAAGCTTATCATTTTAGTTGTATTATCCCCAGAGCTATCAAAGAGCTTCTTATTATACCTCAAATAAAGTTATGGCCTCAAATGATTCTAGAGTTATATAGCAATGACAAATAACACTAACATTCGGTGGGTAGCATATACACATACTGTATATTATCAGTTATATTAGGAACCAGGATTGTAAAATTGTAGCAATATTGTATTAATTAATTTAGTTTAAAATGGCAGAAAATGTGTCTTGCAAAGAACTACATGAAAAACATATCATAATGATGCAACTGATTGAGCTATAAAAAACTGAATGGCTATGCATATATAACAACATAGGCTCTAAAATATCTTCCCAAGTTTAAATGTAAGAAGAATCAAAATATGAAAATAATAATCTATGCTACAATTAATATAATGCAAGCATGCATTATACAGATGTATGCCTCCAGAATTCAATCTCGATGAATGGATCGATGCATGAAAAGGTTTTTAAAAATACTAAACAACGCTAACCATGACAGCTCAAAGAATAAACATAGTAAAAACTGAGAAGAAACTGTTCATTAAAAGACCCAAACAAGATTTTTTTATATCCAAAAACTATTTCATTAAACGCAGCTGATTATTAGAAATATTATTCCACATTTTGGTACACAGGTATAACAAGTTGGACAAATTTTGTATGTCATCGAAAAATATCTGTTTTTGTACCTGCTCACATGCTTATGTTCTACATAAACTGTTTCATCAACTAGATATTCACTATTGGTCTTATTATCCCCAAAACTAACCAACCTATTTCATTGAATGGAGCTATTGCGATGACTCATACATTTTATACATACACACTGTAATTTAAGAGGTAGAATATCAGGAACCAGGCTCCAAGAATGTAGTAATACAGTATTGATGTACTTTAAATTGACACCCAAAAGAGTCTAAAATTGGCCATGTATATATAGCAACAGTTTACTCTCAATGTCTTTCCATTATATCCACATTCAACTTTTTCAGTTCTATAATCTATGACACAGTTCATATACATGTATGCAAGCTTGTAAAGAATACTTACAACACTACAGGATTGAAACATAAAATGGTAGAGATATACAAGGTGATTCTTCTGCAAAAGAATCAAACTTTTCGTTTTTTGGGATCAAATTCATTATTAAAAAAAGAGATGATCATTAGATGTTTTATTTTTTAATTATAAAGGATATCATTTATTTTTTAGGTTGATGTCTTTACATTCAATTCTTGAATCAAACTTTATTTCCCAAGTAATACTGACCTTTATAACAAACAAAGCTGCAATTACCTTAATATATTCCTTGCCATCTACAAAGCTGCAGAAATATCAGTGTAAACCGATAATACAGATATTTTGCAGTTACAAAAGGATTTTTTTTTTTAATTTCTGAGGAAAATCCATGCAGGTTTATGTCATTAACTCTAATAAGCATTATTTAAGTAACACTGACCTTGTACAATATTGACATTGAAGCTGCAAGAATCTTGATTTCCACTGGCATCAGCAAAGGTCCAGGTAACTTGGGTGTTACCAATGGTAAAGAAATCTGTTGTTGCATGAGTTTGAGAAGTAATTGTCGGGACTTGTCCACTGTTGTCTATTGCAGTAGGTGCAGTAAAGAAGACTTGAACACTCGTTTGACCTAATCCAACCTCCCGCTGGATATCCGCAGGGCACGTGGCAACAGGTGGCGTTCTATCAACTGAAAGATAACATTTGGGAAGAATAAATGTACCAGGAGTCAGACTAATTTCCAATTATTATGAGTTGCATCAAATGAAAGAGGAGGATCTAACCTTTCCAAATATATGTCATTTATCAATTATAATTGTGAGTAAGTTATGATAAACATCGATAATTCTTGGTTTCGTTTCATCTGGGATGCACTGTACAAGGTGATTCTTCTGCAAAAGAATCAAACTTTTAGTTTTTTTGGATCAAATTTACTATTAAAAAAAAAAGATGATCATTAGATGTTTATTTTATATTTTATAAAGGATATCATTTATTTTTTAGGTTGATGTCTTTTCATTTGATTCTTAAATCAAACTTTATTTCCCAAGTAATACTGACCTGTTTGACAAACAAAGCTGCAATTACCTTAATGTTGTCCTTGCCATCTACAAAGCTGCAGAAACGTCAGTGTTAACCGATAATACAGATATTTTGCAGTTACAAAAGGATTTTTTTTTTTTTCTGAGGAAAATTCATGCAGGTTTATGTCATTAACTCAAATAAGCATTATTTCAGTAATACTGACCTTGTACAATAATGACATTGAAGCTGCAAGAATCTTGATTTCCATTGGCATCAGCAAAGGTCCAGGTAACTTGGGTGTTACCAAGGTCAAAGAAATCTGTTGTTGAATGACTTTGAGAAATAATTGTCGGGACTTGTCCACTGTTGTCTATTGCAGTAGGTGCAGTAAAGAAGACTTGAGTCCTCGTTTGACTTAATCCAACCTCCCGCTGGATATCCGCAGGGCATGTGGCAACAGGTGGCGTTCTATCAACTGAAAGATAACATTGGGGAAGAATAAATGTACGAGGAGTCAGACTTATTTCAAATCTCTTCACAAGATTTTCACATTTTTACCTTCATACATGTGTCCATAGGAAATGTCCTTCCCTACATTTTCTCGATAATGAGACCCACAGTTTTCTGGAAGCTTAACATTTTAGTTGAATTATCCCCAGAGCTATCAAAGAGCTGCTAATTATACCTCAAATAAAGTTATGACCTCAAACGATTCTAGAGTTATATAGCAATGACATATAACGATCAAATTTGGTGGGTAGCATATACACATATATTATCAGTTATATTAGGAACCAAGATTGTAAAATTGTAGTAATACAGTATGGATGTACTTTAAATTGACACCCAAAAGAGTCTAAAATTGGCCAGGTATGTATAGCAACAGTTCCTCTTAAAGACTTTTCAAGTTATAACCACATTCAAATTTTTCAGTTCTATTATCTAAGACACAGTTCATATACTGTACATGTATGCAAGCTTGTAAAGAACACTTGCAACACTACAGGATTGAACATAAAATAGTAGAGATATACAGTGCGTCCCAGAAAAAGCGAAACCGAGATTTATTGATGTTTTATCATAACTTAATCACATATACAATTAATAAATGACACATATTTGGAAAGCTTAGATCCTCCTCTTTCATTTGATGCAACTCATTATGATGCATATTTCACGCATGAGTGATTAAAAGCAATTTGAAAAGAGGAAACCGAAAAGTCGTTTGGCAGGCGGTATCTGAATTTCAAAGAGAAAATCAAATTTCTAGAAAGGTGAGTTCCTGCCCTTTCATATGACACCTCAATCAGGAAAAATGAGCAAGGAATGACAAAGTTCTGTTTGTTTAAAGTAGACCTTACATTTTTTTTATAATTTTAGCAAACAAATTCATTTCACTGGGTGCCTGCCGTAGCAAAAAGCAGAATTGACAAAAGACTTTACTCCGTTTCGTTGACAATTAGCCATGCATGAAGTCTTTCGTCTACGGCTGATTGTCAACGAAACGGAGTTAAGTCTTTTGTGAAGTTCGTTCGTTGATACGGCAGGCAGCCAGTTAAAACGAATTCGTTTCATCAAATCATGGAAATGCAAGCATTACTTTAAACAAACAGAACTTTGTTATTCCTAGCTCATTTTTCCTAAATGAGGTGTCATATGAAAGGGCAGAAACTCAACTTTCTAGAAATTTGATTTTCTCCTTGAAATTCAGATACCGCCCGCCAAACGACTTTTCGGCTTCCTCTCTTCAAATTGATTTAAATCACTCATACGTGAAATATGCATTATTATGAGTTGCATCAAATGAAAGAGGAGGATCTAACCTTTCCAAATATATGTCATTTATCAATTATAATTGTGAGTAAGTTATGATAAAACATCGATAATTCTTGGTTTCGTTTCATCTGGGATGCACTGTACAAGGTGATTCTTCTGCAAAAGAATCAAACTTTTAGTTTTTTTGGATCAAATTTACTTTTAAAAAAAAGAGATGATCATTAGATGTTTATTTTATATTTATAAAGGGTATCATTTATTTTTTAGGTTGATGTCTTTTCATTTGATTCTAAAATAAAGCTTTATTTCCCAAGTAATACTGACCTGTATGACAAACAAAGCTGCAATTACCTTAATGTTGTCCTTGCCATCTACAAAGCTGCAGAAACGTTAGTGTAAACCGATAATACAGATATTTTGCAGTTACAAAAGGATTTTTTTTTATTTCTGAGGAAAATTCATGCAGGTTTATGTCATTAACTCTAATAAGCATTATTTAAGTAACACTGACCTTGTACAATATTGACATTGAAGCTGCAAGAATCTTGATTTCCACTGGCATCAGCAAAGGTCCAGGTAACTTGGGTGTTACCAATGGTAAAGAAATCCGTTGTTGCATGAGTTTGAGAAGTAATTGTCGGGACTTGTCCACTGTTGTCTATTGCAGTAGGTGCAGTAAAGAAGACTTGAACACTCGTTTGACCTAATCCAACCTCCCGCTGGATATCCGCAGGGCACGTGGCAACAGGTGGCGTTCTATCAACTGAAAGATAACATTTGGGAAGAATAAATGTACCAGGAGTCAGACTAATTTCCAATCTCATCACAAGATTTTCACATTTTTACCTTCATACATGTGTCCATAGGAAATGTCCTTCCCTACATTTTCCCAGTAATGAGACCCACAGTTTTCTGGAAGCTTAACATTTTAGTTGTATTATCCCCAGAGCTATCAAAGAGCTTCTTATTATACCTCAAATAAAGTTATGGCCTCAAATGATTCTAGAGTTATATAGCAATGACAAATAACACTAACATTCGGTGGGTAGCATATACACATACTGTATATTATCAGTTATATTAGGAACCAGGATTGTAAAATTGTAGCAATATTGTATTAATTAATTTAGTTTAAAATGGCAGAAAATGTGTCTTGCAAAGAACTACATGAAAAACATATCATAATGATGCAACTGATTGAGCTATAAAAAACTGAATGGCTATGCATATATAACAACATAGGCTCTAAAATATCTTCCCAAGTTTAAATGTAAGTAGAATCAAAATATGGAAATAATAATCTATGCTACAATTAATATAATGCAAGCATGCATTATACAGATGTATGCCTCCAGAATTCAATCTCGATGAATGGATCGATGCATAAAAAGGTTTTTAAAAAATGTCTAAAAACTCTCCTCTTTGACCATGATCAACAATAGATTCTTTTATAACTTTTTATGTAAAGCGCTGTGAAACAACAGTTAGTTCGTAAGAGCGCTATATAAATGACTTTATTGTATTGTATTGTATTGTATAAAAAATACTAAACAACGCTAACCATGACAGCTCGAAGAATAAACATAGTAAAAACTGAGAAGAAACTGTTCATTAAAAGACCCAAACAAGAGTTTTTTATATCCAAATACTATTTCATTAAACGCAGCTGATTATTAGAAATATTATTCCACATTTTGGTACACAGGTATAACAAGTTGGACAAATTTTGTACGTCATCGAAAAATGTCTGTTTTTGTACCTGCTCACAGGCTTGTGTTCTACATGAACTGTTTCATCAACTAGATATTCACTACCGGTATGCACTATTGGTCTTATTATCCCCAAAACTAACCAACCTATTTCATTGAATGGAGCTATTGCGATGACTCATACATTTTATACATAAACACTGTAATTTAATAGGTAGAATATCAGGAACCAGGCTCCAAGAATGTAGTAATACAGTATTGATGTACTTTAAATTGACACCCAAAAGAGTCTAAAATTGGCCATGTATATATAGCAACAGTTTACTCTCAATGTCTTTCCATTATATCAACATTCAACTTTTTCAGTTCTATTATCTATGACACAGTTCATATACATGTATGCAGGCATTTAAAGAACACTTGCAACACTACAGCATTGAAACATAAAATGGTAGAGATATACAAGGTGATTCTTCTGCAAAAGAATCAACCTTTTAGTTTTTTTGGATCAAATTCATTATTAAAAAAAGAGATGATCATTAGATGTTTTATATTTTATTTATAAAGGATATCATTTATGTTTTAGGTTGATGTTTTTACATTCAATTCTTAAATCAAACTTTATATCCAAGTAATAATGACCTGTATGACAAACAAAGCTGCAATTACCTTAATATATTCCTTGCCATCTACAAAGCTGCAGAAACATCACTGTAAACCGATAATACAGATATTTTGCAGTTACAAAAGGATTTTTTTTTTAATTTCTGAGGAAAATCCATGCAGGTTTATGTCATTAACTCTAATAAGCATTATTTAAGTAATACTGACCTTGTACAATATTGACATTGAAGCTGCAAGAATCTTGATTTCCATTGGCATCAGCAAAGGTCCAGGTAACTTGGGTGTTACCAATGGTAAAGAAATCCGTTGTTGCATGACTTTGAGAAGTAATTGTCGGGACTTGTCCACTGTTGTCTATTGCAGTAGGTGCAGTAAAGAAGACTTGAACACTCGTTTGACCTAATCCAACCTCCCGCTGGATATCCGTAGGGCACGTGGCAACAGGTGGCGTTCTATCAACTGAAAGATAACATTTGGGAAGAATAAATGTACCAGGAGTCAGACTAATTTCCAATTATTATGAGTTGCATCAAATGAAAGAGGAGGATCTAACCTTTCCAAATATATGTCATTTATCAATTATAATTGTGAGTAAGTTATGATAAACATCGATAATTCTTGGTTTCGTTTCATCTGGGATGCACTGTACAAGGTGATTCTTCTGCAAAAGAATCAAACTTTTAGTTTTTTTGGATCAAATTTACTATTAAAAAAAAAAGATGATCATTAGATGTTTATTTTATATGTAATAAAGGATATCATTTATTTTTTAGGTTGATGTCTTTTCATTTGATTCTTAAATCAAACTTTATTTCCCAAGTAATACTGACCTGTTTGACAAACAAAGCTGCAATTACCTTAATGTTGTCCTTGCCATCTACAAAGCTGCAGAAACGTCAGTGTTAACCGATAATACAGATATTTTGCAGTTACAAAAGGATTTTTTTTTTTTTCTGAGGAAAATTCATGCAGGTTTATGTCATTAACTCAAATAAGCATTATTTCAGTAATACTGACCTTGTACAATAATGACATTGAAGCTGCAAGAATCTTGATTTCCATTGGCATCAGCAAAGGTCCAGGTAACTTGGGTGTTACCAAGGTCAAAGAAATCTGTTGTTGAATGACTTTGAGAAATAATTGTCGGGACTTGTCCACTGTTGTCTATTGCAGTAGGTGCAGTAAAGAAGACTTGAGTCCTCGTTTGACTTAATCCAACCTCCCGCTGGATATCCGCAGGGCATGTGGCAACAGGTGGCGTTCTATCAACTGAAAGATAACATTGGGGAAGAATAAATGTACGAGGAGTCAGACTTATTTCAAATCTCTTCACAAGATTTTCACATTTTTACCTTCATACATGTGTCCATAGGAAATGTCCTTCCCTACATTTTCTCGATAATGAGACCCACAGTTTTCTGGAAGCTTAACATTTTAGTTGAATTATCCCCAGAGCTATCAAAGAGCTGCTAATTATACCTCAAATAAAGTTATGACCTCAAACGATTCTAGAGTTATATAGCAATGACATATAACGATCAAATTTGGTGGGTAGCATATACACATATATTATCAGTTATATTAGGAACCAAGATTGTAAAATTGTAGTAATACAGTATGGATGTACTTTAAATTGACACCCAAAAGAGTCTAAAATTGGCCAGGTATGTATAGCAACAGTTCCTCTTAAAGACTTTTCAAGTTATAACCACATTCAAATTTTTCAGTTCTATTATCTAAGACACAGTTCATATACTGTACATGTATGCAAGCTTGTAAAGAACACTTGCAACACTACAGGATTGAACATAAAATAGTAGAGATATACAGTGCGTCCCAGAAAAAGCGAAACCGAGATTTATTGATGTTTTATCATAACTTAATCACATATACAATTAATAAATGACACATATTTGGAAAGCTTAGATCCTCCTCTTTCATTTGATGCAACTCATTATGATGCATATTTCACGCATGAGTGATTAAAAGCAATTTGAAAAGAGGAAACCGAAAAGTCGTTTGGCAGGCGGTATCTGAATTTCAAAGAGAAAATCAAATTTCTAGAAAGTTGAGTTCCTGCCCTTTCATATGACACCTCAATCAGGAAAAATGAGCAAGGAATGACAAAGTTCTGTTTGTTTAAAGTAGACCTTACATTTTTTTTATAATTTTAGCAAACAAATTCATTTCACTGGGTGCCTGCCGTAGCAAAAAGCAGAATTGACAAAAGACTTTACTCCGTTTCGTTGACAATTAGCCATGCATGAAGTCTTTCGTCTACGGCTGATTGTCAACGAAACGGAGTTAAGTCTTTTGTGAAGTTCGTTCGTTGATACGGCAGGCAGCCAGTTAAAACGAATTCGTTTCATCAAATCATGGAAATGCAAGCATTACTTTAAACAAACAGAACTTTGTTATTCCTAGCTCATTTTTCCTAAATGAGGTGTCATATGAAAGGGCAGAAACTCAACTTTCTAGAAATTTGATTTTCTCCTTGAAATTCAGATACCGCCCGCCAAACGACTTTTCGGCTTCCTCTCTTCAAATTGATTTAAATCACTCATACGTGAAATATGCATTATTATGAGTTGCATCAAATGAAAGAGGAGGATCTAACCTTTCCAAATATATGTCATTTATCAATTATAATTGTGAGTAAGTTATGATAAAACATCGATAATTCTTGGTTTCGTTTCATCTGGGATGCACTGTACAAGGTGATTCTTCTGCAAAAGAATCAAACTTTTAGTTTTTTTGGATCAAATTTACTTTTAAAAAAAAGAGATGATCATTAGATGTTTATTTTATATTTATAAAGGGTATCATTTATTTTTTAGGTTGATGTCTTTTCATTTGATTCTAAAATAAAGCTTTATTTCCCAAGTAATACTGACCTGTATGACAAACAAAGCTGCAATTACCTTAATGTTGTCCTTGCCATCTACAAAGCTGCAGAAACGTTAGTGTAAACCGATAATACAGATATTTTGCAGTTACAAAAGGATTTTTTTTTATTTCTGAGGAAAATTCATGCAGGTTTATGTCATTAACTCAAATAAGCATTATTTGAGTAATACTGACCTTGAACAATAATGACATTGAAGCTGCAAGAATCTTGATTTCCATTGGCATCAGCAAAGGTCCAGGTAACTTGGGTGTTACCAAGGTCAAAGAAATCTGTTGTTGAATGACTTTGAGAAATAATTGTCGGGACTTGTCCACTGTTGTCTATTGCAGTAGGTGCAGTAAAGAAGACTTGAGTCCTCGTTTGACTTAATCCAACCTCCCGCTGGATATCCGCAGGGCATGTGGCAACAGGTGGCGTTCTATCAACTGATAGATAACATTTGGGAAGAATAAATGTACGAGGAGTCAGACTAATTTCAAATCTCTTCACAAGATTTTCACATTTTTACCTTCATACATGTGTCCATAGGAAATGTCCTTCCCTACATTTTCTTGATAATGAGACCCACAGTTTTCTGGAAGCTTCATAACATTTTAGTTGTATTATCCCCAGAGCTATCAAAGAGCTGCTAATTATACCTCAAATAAAGTTATGGCCTCAAACGATTCTAGAGTTATATAGCAATGACAAATAACACTCAAATTTGGTGGGTAGCATATACACATATATTATCAGTTATATTAGGGACCAGAATTGTAAAATTGTAGTAATACAGTATGGATGTACTTTAAATTGACACCCAAAAGAGTCTAAAATTGGCCAGGTATGTATAGCAACAGTTCCTCTTAAAGACTTTTCAAGTTATAACCACATTCAAATTTTTCAGTTCTATTATCTATGACACAGTTCATATACCGTACATGTATGCAAGCTTGTAAAGAACACTTGCAACACTACAGGATTGAACATAAAATGGTAGAGATATACAGTGCGTCCCAGAAAAAGCAAAACCGAGATTTATTGATGTTTTATCATAACTTAATCACATTTATAATTAATAAATGACACATATTTGGAAAGCTTAGATCCTCCTCTTTCATTTGATGCAACTCATTATGATGCATATTTCACGCATAAGTAATTAAAAGCAATTTGAAAAGAGGAAACCGAAAAGACGTTTGGCAGGCGGTATCTGAATTTCAAAGAGAAAATCAAATTTCTAGAAAGTTGAGTTCCTGCCCTTTCATATGACACCTCAATCAGGAAAAATGAGCAAGGAATCACAAAGTTCTGTTTGTTTAAAGTAGCCCTTACATTTTCATAATTTTAGCAAACAAATTCATTTTCACTGGGTGCCTGCCGTAGCAAAAAGCAGAATTGACAAAAGACTTTACTCTGTTTCATTGACAATTAGCCATGCATGAAGTCTTTCGTCTACGGCTGATTGTCAACGAAACGGAGTTAAGTCTTTTGTGAAGTTCGTTTGTTGATACGGCAGGCAGCCAGTGAAACAAATTCGTTTAATCAAATCATGGAAATGCAAGCATTACTTTAAACAAACAGAACTTTGTTATTCCTAGCTCATTTTTCCTGAATGAGGTGTCATATGAAAGGGCAGAAACTCAACTTTCTAGAAATTTGATTTTCTCCTTGAAATTCAGATACCGCCCGCCAAACGACTTTTCGGCTTCCTCTCTTCAAATTGATTTTAATCACTCATACGTGAAATATGCATTATTATGAGTTGCATCAAATGAAAGAGGAGGATCTAACCTTTCCAAATATGTGTCATTTATCAATTATAATTGTGAGTAAGTTATGATAAAACATTGATAATTCTTGGTTTCGTTTCATCTGGGACGCACTGTACAAGGGGATTCTTCTGCAAAAGAATCAAACTTTTAGTTTTTTTGGATCAAATTTACTATTAAAAAAAAAAAAAGATCATTAGATGTTTATTTTATATTTAATAAAGGATATCATTTATTTTTTAGGTTGATGTCTTTTCATTTGATTCTTAAATCAAGCTTTATTTCCCAAGTAATACTGACCTGTATGACAAACAAAGCTGCAATTACCTTAATGTTGTCCTTGCCATCTACAAAGCTGCAGAAACGTCAGTGTAAAACGATAATACAGATATTTTGCAGTTACAAAAGGATTTTTTTTTTTTTCTGAGGAAAATTCATGCAGGTTTATGTCATTAACTATAATAAGCATTATTTCAGAAATACTGACCTTGTACAATAATGACATTGAAGCTGCAAGAATCTTGATTTCCATTGGCATCAGCAAAGGTCCAGGTAACTTGGGTGTTACCAATGTTAAAGAAATCTGTTGTTGAATGACTTTGAGAAATAATTGTCGGGACTTGTCCACTGTTGTCTATTGCAGTAGGTGCAGTAAAGAAGACTTGAGTACTCGTTTGACTTAATCCAACCTCCCGCTGGATATCCGCAGGGCATGTGGCAACAGGTGGCGTTCTATCAACTGATAGATAACATTTGGGAAGAATAAATGTACAAGAAGTCAGACTTATTTCAAATCTCTTCACAAGATTTTCACATTTTTACCTTCATACATGTGTCCATAGGAAATGTCCTTCCCTACATTTTCTCGATAATGAGACCCAGTTTTCTGGAAGCTTCATAACATTTTAGTTGTATTATCCCCAGAGCTATCAAAGAGCTGATAATTATACCTCAAATAAAGTTATGGCCTCAAACGATTCTAGAGTTATATAGCAATGACAAATAACACTCAAATTCGGTGGGTAGCATATACACATATATTATCAATTATATTAGGAACCAGAATTGTAAAATTGTAGTAATACAGTATGGATGTACTTTAAATTGACACCCAAAAGAGTCTAAAATTGGCCAGGTATGTATAGCAACAGTTCCTCTTAAAGACTTTTAAAGTTATAACCACATTCAAATTTTTCAGTTCTATTATCTGTGACACAGTTCATATACCGTACATGTATGCAAACTTGTAAAGAACACTTGCAACACTACAGGATTGAACATAAAATGGTAGAGATATACAGTGCGTCCCAGAAAAAGCAAAACCGAGATTTATTGATGTTTTATCATAACTTAATCACATTTATAATTAATAAATGACACATATTTGGAAAGCTTAGATCCTCCTCTTTCATTTGATGCAACTCATTATGATGCATATTTCACGCATAAGTAATTAAAAGCAATTTGAAAAGAGGAAACCGAAAAGACGTTTGGCAGGCGGTATCTGAATTTCAAAGAGAAAATCAAATTTCTAGAAAGTTGAGTTCCTGCCCTTTCATATGACACCTCAATCAGGAAAAATGAGCAAGGAATCACAAAGTTCTGTTTGTTTAAAGTAGCCCTTACATTTTCATAATTTTAGCAAACAAATTCATTTTCACTGGGTGCCTGCCGTAGCAAAAAGCAGAATTGACAAAAGACTTTACTCTGTTTCATTGACAATTAGCCATGCATGAAGTCTTTCGTCTACGGCTGATTGTCAACGAAACGGAGTTCAGTCTTTTGTGAAGTTCGTTCGTTGATACGGCAGGCAGCCAGTTAAAACGAATTCGTTTCATCAAATCATGGAAATGCAAGCATTACTTTAAACAAACAGAACTTTGTTATTCCTAGCTCATTTTTCCTAAATGAGGTGTCATATGAAAGGGCAGAAACTCAACTTTCTAGAAATTTGATTTTCTCCTTGAAATTCAGATACCGCCCGCCAAACGACTTTTCGGCTTCCTCTCTTCAAATTGATTTAAATCACTCATACGTGAAATATGCATTATTATGAGTTGCATCAAATGAAAGAGGAGGATCTAACCTTTCCAAATATATGTCATTTATCAATTATAATTGTGAGTAAGTTATGATAAAACATCGATAATTCTTGGTTTCGTTTCATCTGGGATGCACTGTACAAGGTGATTCTTCTGCAAAAGAATCAAACTTTTAGTTTTTTTGGATCAAATTTACTTTTAAAAAAAAGAGATGATCATTAGATGTTTATTTTATATTTATAAAGGGTATCATTTATTTTTTAGGTTGATGTCTTTTCATTTGATTCTAAAATCAAGCTTTATTTCCCAAGTAATACTGACCTGTATGACAAACAAAGCTGCAATTACCTTAATGTTGTCCTTGCCATCTACAAAGCTGCAGAAACGTTAGTGTAAACCGATAATACAGATATTTTGCAGTTACAAAAGGATTTTTTTTTATTTCTGAGGAAAATTCATGCAGGTTTATGTCATTAACTCAAATAAGCATTATTTGAGTAATACTGACCTTGAACAATAATGACATTGAAGCTGCAAGAATCTTGATTTCCATTGGCATCAGCAAAGGTCCAGGTAACTTGGGTGTTACCAAGGTCAAAGAAATCTGTTGTTGAATGACTTTGAGAAATAATTGTCGGGACTTGTCCACTGTTGTCTATTGCAGTAGGTGCAGTAAAGAAGACTTGAGTCCTCGTTTGACTTAATCCAACCTCCCGCTGGATATCCGCAGGGCATGTGGCAACAGGTGGCGTTCTATCAACTGATAGATAACATTTGGGAAGAATAAATGTACGAGGAGTCAGACTAATTTCAAATCTCTTCACAAGATTTTCACATTTTTACCTTCATACATGTGTCCATAGGAAATGTCCTTCCCTACATTTTCTTGATAATGAGACCCACAGTTTTCTGGAAGCTTCATAACATTTTAGTTGTATTATCCCCAGAGCTATCAAAGAGCTGCTAATTATACCTCAAATAAAGTTATGGCCTCAAACGATTCTAGAGTTATATAGCAATGACAAATAACACTCAAATTTGGTGGGTAGCATATACACATATATTATCAGTTATATTAGGGACCAGAATTGTAAAATTGTAGTAATACAGTATGGATGTACTTTAAATTGACACCCAAAAGAGTCTAAAATTGGCCAGGTATGTATAGCAACAGTTCCTCTTAAAGACTTTTCAAGTTATAACCACATTCAAATTTTTCAGTTCTATTATCTATGACACAGTTCATATACCGTACATGTATGCAAGCTTGTAAAGAACACTTGCAACACTACAGGATTGAACATAAAATGGTAGAGATATACAGTGCGTCCCAGAAAAAGCAAAACCGAGATTTATTGATGTTTTATCATAACTTAATCACATTTATAATTAATAAATGACACATATTTGGAAAGCTTAGATCCTCCTCTTTCATTTGATGCAACTCATTATGATGCATATTTCACGCATAAGTAATTAAAAGCAATTTGAAAAGAGGAAACCGAAAAGACGTTTGGCAGGCGGTATCTGAATTTCAAAGAGAAAATCAAATTTCTAGAAAGTTGAGTTCCTGCCCTTTCATATGACACCTCAATCAGGAAAAATGAGCAAGGAATCACAAAGTTCTGTTTGTTTGAAGTAGCCCTTACATTTTCATAATTTTAGCAAACAAATTCATTTTCACTGGGTGCCTGCCGTAGCAAAAAGCAGAATTGACAAAAGACTTTACTCTGTTTCATTGACAATTAGCCATGCATGAAGTCTTTCGTCTACGGCTGATTGTCAACGAAACGGAGTTAAGTCTTTTGTGAAGTTCGTTTGTTGATACGGCAGGCAGCCAGTGAAACAAATTCGTTTAATCAAATCATGGAAATGCAAGCATTACTTTAAACAAATAGAACTTTGTTATTCCTAGCTCATTTTTCCTGAATGAGGTGTCATATGAAAGGGCAGAAACTCAACTTTCTAGAAATTTGATTTTCTCCTTGAAATTCAGATACCGCCCGCCAAACGACTTTTCGGCTTCCTCTCTTCAAATTGATTTTAATCACTCATACGTGAAATATGCATTATTATGAGTTGCATCAAATGAAAGAGGAGGATCTAACCTTTCCAAATATGTGTCATTTATCAATTATAATTGTGAGTAAGTTATGATAAAACATTGATAATTCTTGGTTTCGTTTCATCTGGGACGCACTGTACAAGGGGATTCTTCTGCAAAAGAATCAAACTTTTAGTTTTTTTGGATCAAATTTACTATTAAAAAAAAAAAAGATCATTAGATGTTTATTTTATATTTAATAAAGGATATCATTTATTTTTTAGGTTGATGTCTTTTCATTTGATTCTTAAATCAAGCTTTATTTCCCAAGTAATACTGACCTGTATGACAAACAAAGCTGCAATTACCTTAATGTTGTCCTTGCCATCTACAAAGCTGCAGAAACGTCAGTGTAAAACGATAATACAGATATTTTGCAGTTACAAAAGGATTTTTTTTTTTTTTCTGAGGAAAATTCATGCAGGTTTATGTCATTAACTATAATAAGCATTATTTCAGAAATACTGACCTTGTACAATAATGACATTGAAGCTGCAAGAATCTTGATTTCCATTGGCATCAGCAAAGGTCCAGGTAACTTGGGTGTTACCAATGTTAAAGAAATCTGTTGTTGAATGACTTTGAGAAATAATTGTCGGGACTTGTCCACTGTTGTCTATTGCAGTAGGTGCAGTAAAGAAGACTTGAGTACTCGTTTGACTTAATCCAACCTCCCGCTGGATATCCGCAGGGCATGTGGCAACAGGTGGCGTTCTATCAACTGATAGATAACATTTGGGAAGAATAAATGTACAAGAAGTCAGACTTATTTCAAATCTCTTCACAAGATTTTCACATTTTTACCTTCATACATGTGTCCATAGGAAATGTCCTTCCCTACATTTTCTCGATAATGAGACCCAGTTTTCTGGAAGCTTCATAACATTTTAGTTGTATTATCCCCAGAGCTATCAAAGAGCTGCTAATTATACCTCAAATAAAGTTATGGCCTCAAACGATTCTAGAGTTATATAGCAATGACAAATAACACTCAAATTCGGTGGGTAGCATATACACATATATTATCAGTTATATTAGGAACCAGAATTGTAAAATTGTAGTAATACAGTATGGATGTACTTTAAATTGACACCCAAAAGAGTCTAAAATTGGCCAGGTATGTATAGCAACAGTTCCTCTTAAAGACTTTTCAAGTTATAACCACATTCAAATTTTTCAGTTCTATTATCTATGACACAGTTCATATACCGTACATGTATGCAAACTTGTAAAGAACACTTGCAACACTACAGGATTGAACATAAAATGGTAGAGATATACAGTGCGTCCCAGAAAAAGCAAAACCGAGATTTATTGATGTTTTATCATAACTTAATCACATTTATAATTAATAAATGACACATATTTGGAAAGCTTAGATCCTCCTCTTTCATTTGATGCAACTCATTATGATGCATATTTCACGCATAAGTAATTAAAAGCAATTTGAAAAGAGGAAACCGAAAAGTCGTTTGGCAGGCGGTATCTGAATTTCAAAGAGAAAATCAAATTTCTAGAAAGTTGAGTTCCTGCCCTTTCATATGACACCTCAATCAGGAAAAATGAGCAAGGAATCACAAAGTTCTGTTCGTTTAAAATAGCCCTTACATTTTCATAATTTTAGCAAACAAATTCATTTTCACTGGGTGCCTGCCGTAGCAAAAAGCAGAATTGACAAAAGACTTTACTCTGTTTCATTGACAATTAGCCATGCATGAAGTCTTTCGTCTATGGCTGATTGTCAACGAAACGGAGTTAAGTCTTTTGTGAAGTTCGTTTGTTGATACGGCAGGCAGCCAGTGAAACAAATTCGTTTAATCAAATCATGGAAATGCAAGCATTACTTTAAACAAACAGAACTTTGTTATTCCTAGCTCATTTTTCCTGAATGAGGTGTCATATGAAAGGGCAGAAACTCAACTTTCTAGAAATTTGATTTTCTCCTTGAAATTCAGATACCGCCCGCCAAACGACTTTTCGGCTTCCTCTCTTCAAATTGATTTTAATCACTCATACGTGAAATATGCATTATTATGAGTTGCATCAAATGAAAGAGGAGGATCTAACCTTTCCAAATATGTGTCATTTATCAATTATAATTGTGAGTAAGTTATGATAAAACATTGATAATTCTTGGTTTCGTTTCATCTGGGACGCACTGTACAAGGGGATTCTTCTGCAAAAGAATCAAACTTTTAGTTTTTTTGGATCAAATTTACTATTTAAAAAAAAAAAAGATCATTAGATGTTTATTTTATATTTAATAAAGGATATCATTTATTTTTTAGGTTGATGTCTTTTCATTTGATTCTTAAATCAAGCTTTATTTCCCAAGTAATACTGACCTGTATGACAAACAAAGCTGCAATTACCTTAATGTTGTCCTTGCCATCTACAAAGCTGCAGAAACGTCAGTGTAAAACAATAATACAGATATTTTGCAGTTACAAAAGGATTTTTTTTTTTTTTCTGAGGAAAATTCATGCAGGTTTATGTCATTAACTCAAATAAGCATTATTTCAGTAATACTGACCTTGTACAATAATGACATTGAAGCTGCAAGAATCTTGATTTCCATTGGCATCAGCAAAGGTCCAGGTAACTTGGGTGTTACCAATGTTAAAGAAATCTGTTGTTGAATGACTTTGAGAAATAATTGTCGGGACTTGTCCACTGTTGTCTATTGCAGTAGGTGCAGTAAAGAAGACTTGAGTACTCGTTTGACTTAATCCAACCTCCCGCTGGATATCCGCAGGGCATGTGGCAACAGGTGGCGTTCTATCAACTGATAGATAACATTTGGGAAGAATAAATGTACAAGAAGTCAGACTTATTTCAAATCTCTTCACAAGATTTTCACATTTTTACCTTCATACATGTGTCCATAGGAAATGTCCTTCCCTACATTTTCTCGATAATGAGACCCAGTTTTCTGGAAGCTTCATAACATTTTAGTTGTATTATCCCCAGAGCTATCAAAGAGCTGCTAATTATACCTCAAATAAAGTTATGGCCTCAAACGATTCTAGAGTTATATAGCAATGACAAATAACACTCAAATTCGGTGGGTAGCATATACACATATATTATCAATTATATTAGGAACCAGAATTGTAAAATTGTAGTAATACAGTATGGATGTACTTTAAATTGACACCCAAAAGAGTCTAAAATTGGCCAGGTATGTATAGCAACAGTTCCTCTTAAAGACTTTTCAAGTTATAACCACATTCAAATTTTTCAGTTCTATTATCTATGACACAGTTCATATACCGTACATGTATGCAAACTTGTAAAGAACACTTGCAACACTACAGGATTGAACATAAAATGGTAGAGATATACAGTGCGTCCCAGAAAAAGCAAAACCGAGATTTATTGATGTTTTATCATAACTTAATCACATTTATAATTAATAAATGACACATATTTGGAAAGCTTAGATCCTCCTCTTTCATTTGATGCAACTCATTATGATGCATATTTCACGCATAAGTAATTAAAAGCAATTTGAAAAGAGGAAACCGAAAAGTCGTTTGGCAGGCGGTATCTGAATTTCAAAGAGAAAATCAAATTTCTAGAAAGTTGAGTTCCTGCCCTTTCATATGACACCTCAATCAGGAAAAATGAGCAAGGAATCACAAAGTTCTGTTCGTTTAAAATAGCCCTTACATTTTCATAATTTTAGCAAACAAATTCATTTTCACTGGGTGCCTGCCGTAGCAAAAAGCAGAATTGACAAAAGACTTTACTCTGTTTCATTGACAATTAGCCATGCATGAAGTCTTTCGTCTATGGCTGATTGTCAACGAAACGGAGTTAAGTCTTTTGTGAAGTTCGTTTGTTGATACGGCAGGCAGCCAGTGAAACAAATTCGTTTAATCAAATCATGGAAATGCAAGCATTACTTTAAACAAACAGAACTTTGTTATTCCTAGCTCATTTTTCCTGAATGAGGTGTCATATGAAAGGGCAGAAACTCAACTTTCTAGAAATTTGATTTTCTCCTTGAAATTCAGATACCGCCCGCCAAACGACTTTTCGGCTTCCTCTCTTCAAATTGATTTTAATCACTCATACGTGAAATATGCATTATTATGAGTTGCATCAAATGAAAGAGGAGGATCTAACCTTTCCAAATATGTGTCATTTATCAATTATAATTGTGAGTAAGTTATGATAAAACATTGATAATTCTTGGTTTCGTTTCATCTGGGACGCACTGTACAAGGGGATTCTTCTGCAAAAGAATCAAACTTTTAGTTTTTTTGGATCAAATTTACTATTTAAAAAAAAAAAGATCATTAGATGTTTATTTTATATTTAATAAAGGATATCATTTATTTTTTAGGTTGATGTCTTTTCATTTGATTCTTAAATCAAGCTTTATTTCCCAAGTAATACTGACCTGTATGACAAACAAAGCTGCAATTACCTTAATGTTGTCCTTGCCATCTACAAAGCTGCAGAAACGTCAGTGTAAAACAATAATACAGATATTTTGCAGTTACAAAAGGATTTTTTTTTTTTTTCTGAGGAAAATTCATGCAGGTTTATGTCATTAACTCAAATAAGCATTATTTCAGTAATACTGACCTTGTACAATAATGACATTGAAGCTGCAAGAATCTTGATTTCCATTGGCATCAGCAAAGGTCCAGGTAACTTGGGTGTTACCAATGTTAAAGAAATCTGTTGTTGAATGACTTTGAGAAATAATTGTCGGGACTTGTCCACTGTTGTCTATTGCAGTAGGTGCAGTAAAGAAGACTTGAGTACTCGTTTGACTTAATCCAACCTCCCGCTGGATATCCGCAGGGCATGTGGCAACAGGTGGCGTTCTATCAACTGATAGATAACATTTGGGAAGAATAAATGTACAAGAAGTCAGACTTATTTCAAATCTCTTCACAAGATTTTCACATTTTTACCTTCATACATGTGTCCATAGGAAATGTCCTTCCCTACATTTTCTCGATAATGAGACCCAGTTTTCTGGAAGCTTCATAACATTTTAGTTGTATTATCCCCAGAGCTATCAAAGAGCTGCTAATTATACCTCAAATAAAGTTATGGCCTCAAACGATTCTAGAGTTATATAGCAATGACAAATAACACTCAAATTCGGTGGGTAGCATATACACATATATTATCAATTATATTAGGAACCAGAATTGTAAAATTGTAGTAATACAGTATGGATGTACTTTAAATTGACACCCAAAAGAGTCTAAAATTGGCCAGGTATGTATAGCAACAGTTCCTCTTAAAGACTTTTCAAGTTATAACCACATTCAAATTTTTCAGTTCTATTATCTATGACACAGTTCATATACCGTACATGTATGCAAACTTGTAAAGAACACTTGCAACACTACAGGATTGAACATAAAATGGTAGAGATATACAGTGCGTCCCAGAAAAAGCAAAACCGAGATTTATTGATGTTTTATCATAACTTAATCACATTTATAATTAATAAATGACACATATTTGGAAAGCTTAGATCCTCCTCTTTCATTTGATGCAACTCATTATGATGCATATTTCACGCATAAGTAATTAAAAGCAATTTGAAAAGAGGAAACCGAAAAGTCGTTTGGCAGGCGGTATCTGAATTTCAAAGAGAAAATCAAATTTCTAGAAAGTTGAGTTCCTGCCCTTTCATATGACACCTCAATCAGGAAAAATGAGCAAGGAATCACAAAGTTCTGTTCGTTTAAAGTAGCCCTTACATTTTCATAATTTTAGCAAACAAATTCATTTTCACTGGGTGCCTGCCGTAGCAAAAAGCAGAATTGACAAAAGACTTTACTCTGTTTCATTGACAATTAGCCATGCATGAAGTCTTTCGTCTATGGCTGATTGTCAACGAAACGGAGTTAAGTCTTTTGTGAAGTTCGTTTGTTGATACGGCAGGCAGCCAGTGAAACAAATTCGTTTAATCAAATCATGGAAATGCAAGCATTACTTTAAACAAACAGAACTTTGTTATTCCTAGCTCATTTTTCCTGAATGAGGTGTCATATGAAAGGGCAGAAACTCAACTTTCTAGAAATTTGATTTTCTCCTTGAAATTCAGATACCGCCCGCCAAACGACTTTTCGGCTTCCTCTCTTCAAATTGATTTTAATCACTCATACGTGAAATATGCATTATTATGAGTTGCATCAAATGAAAGAGGAGGATCTAACCTTTCCAAATATGTGTCATTTATCAATTATAATTGTGAGTAAGTTATGATAAAACATTGATAATTCTTGGTTTCGTTTCATCTGGGACGCACTGTACAAGGGGATTCTTCTGCAAAAGAATCAAACTTTTAGTTTTTTTGGATCAAATTTACTATTTAAAAAAAAAAAGATCATTAGATGTTTATTTTATATTTAATAAAGGATATCATTTATTTTTTAGGTTGATGTCTTTTCATTTGATTCTTAAATCAAGCTTTATTTCCCAAGTAATACTGACCTGTATGACAAACAAAGCTGCAATTACCTTAATGTTGTCCTTGCCATCTACAAAGCTGCAGAAACGTCAGTGTAAAACAATAATACAGATATTTTGCAGTTACAAAAGGATTTTTTTTTTTTTTCTGAGGAAAATTCATGCAGGTTTATGTCATTAACTCAAATAAGCATTATTTCAGTAATACTGACCTTGTACAATAATGACATTGAAGCTGCAAGAATCTTGATTTCCATTGGCATCAGCAAAGGTCCAGGTAACTTGGGTGTTACCAATGTTAAAGAAATCTGTTGTTGAATGACTTTGAGAAATAATTGTCGGGACTTGTCCACTGTTGTCTATTGCAGTAGGTGCAGTAAAGAAGACTTGAGTACTCGTTTGACTTAATCCAACCTCCCGCTGGATATCCGCAGGGCATGTGGCAACAGGTGGCGTTCTATCAACTGATAGATAACATTTGGGAAGAATAAATGTACAAGAAGTCAGACTTATTTCAAATCTCTTCACAAGATTTTCACATTTTTACCTTCATACATGTGTCCATAGGAAATGTCCTTCCCTACATTTTCTCGATAATGAGACCCAGTTTTCTGGAAGCTTCATAACATTTTAGTTGTATTATCCCCAGAGCTATCAAAGAGCTGCTAATTATACCTCAAATAAAGTTATGGCCTCAAACGATTCTAGAGTTATATAGCAATGACAAATAACACTCAAATTCGGTGGGTAGCATATACACATATATTATCAATTATATTAGGAACCAGAATTGTAAAATTGTAGTAATACAGTATGGATGTACTTTAAATTGACACCCAAAAGAGTCTAAAATTGGCCAGGTATGTATAGCAACAGTTCCTCTTAAAGACTTTTCAAGTTATAACCACATTCAAATTTTTCAGTTCTATTATCTATGACACAGTTCATATACCGTACATGTATGCAAACTTGTAAAGAACACTTGCAACACTACAGGATTGAACATAAAATGGTAGAGATATACAGTGCGTCCCAGAAAAAGCAAAACCGAGATTTATTGATGTTTTATCATAACTTAATCACATTTATAATTAATAAATGACACATATTTGGAAAGCTTAGATCCTCCTCTTTCATTTGATGCAACTCATTATGATGCATATTTCACGCATAAGTAATTAAAAGCAATTTGAAAAGAGGAAACCGAAAAGTCGTTTGGCAGGCGGTATCTGAATTTCAAAGAGAAAATCAAATTTCTAGAAAGTTGAGTTCCTGCCCTTTCATATGACACCTCAATCAGGAAAAATGAGCAAGGAATCACAAAGTTCTGTTCGTTTAAAGTAGCCCTTACATTTTCATAATTTTAGCAAACAAATTCATTTTCACTGGGTGCCTGCCGTAGCAAAAAGCAGAATTGACAAAAGACTTTACTCTGTTTCATTGACAATTAGCCATGCATGAAGTCTTTCGTCTATGGCTGATTGTCAACGAAACGGAGTTAAGTCTTTTGTGAAGTTCGTTTGTTGATACGGCAGGCAGCCAGTGAAACAAATTCGTTTAATCAAATCATGGAAATGCAAGCATTACTTTAAACAAACAGAACTTTGTTATTCCTAGCTCATTTTTCCTGAATGAGGTGTCATATGAAAGGGCAGAAACTCAACTTTCTAGAAATTTGATTTTCTCCTTGAAATTCAGATACCGCCCGCCAAACGACTTTTCGGCTTCCTCTCTTCAAATTGATTTTAATCACTCATACGTGAAATATGCATTATTATGAGTTGCATCAAATGAAAGAGGAGGATCTAACCTTTCCAAATATGTGTCATTTATCAATTATAATTGTGAGTAAGTTATGATAAAACATTGATAATTCTTGGTTTCGTTTCATCTGGGACGCACTGTACAAGGGGATTCTTCTGCAAAAGAATCAAACTTTTAGTTTTTTTGGATCAAATTTACTATTTAAAAAAAAAAAAGATCATTAGATGTTTATTTTATATTTAATAAAGGATATCATTTATTTTTTAGGTTGATGTCTTTTCATTTGATTCTTAAATCAAGCTTTATTTCCCAAGTAATACTGACCTGTATGACAAACAAAGCTGCAATTACCTTAATGTTGTCCTTGCCATCTACAAAGCTGCAGAAACGTCAGTGTAAAACAATAATACAGATATTTTGCAGTTACAAAAGGATTTTTTTTTTTTTTCTGAGGAAAATTCATGCAGGTTTATGTCATCAACTCAAATAAGCATTATTTCAGTAATACTGACCTTGTACAATAATGACATTGAAGCTGCAAGAATCTTGATTTCCATTGGCATCAGCAAAGGTCCAGGTAACTTGGGTGTTACCAATGTTAAAGAAATCTGTTGTTGAATGACTTTGAGAAATAATTGTCGGGACTTGTCCACTGTTGTCTATTGCAGTAGGTGCAGTAAAGAAGACTTGAGTACTCGTTTGACTTAATCCAACCTCCCGCTGGATATCCGCAGGGCATGTGGCAACAGGTGGCGTTCTATCAACTGATAGATAACATTTGGGAAGAATAAATGTACAAGAAGTCAGACTTATTTCAAATCTCTTCACAAGATTTTCACATTTTTACCTTCATACATGTGTCCATAGGAAATGTCCTTCCCTACATTTTCTCGATAATGAGACCCACAGTTTTCTGGAAGCTTCATAACATTTTAGTTGTATTATCCCCAGAGCTATCAAAGAGCTGCTAATTATACCTCAAATAAAGTTATGGCCTCAAACGATTCTAGAGTTATATAGCAATGACAAATAACACTCAAATTCGGTGGGTAGCATATACACATATATTATCAATTATATTAGGAACCAGAATTGTAAAATTGTAGTAATACAGTATGGATGTACTTTAAATTGACACCCAAAAGAGTCTAAAATTGGCCAGGTATGTATAGCAACAGTTCCTCTTAAAGACTTTTCAAGTTATAACCACATTCAAATTTTTCAGTTCTATTATCTATGACACAGTTCATATACCGTACATGTATGCAAACTTGTAAAGAACACTTGCAACACTACAGGATTGAACATAAAATGGTAGAGATATACAGTGCGTCCCAGAAAAAGCAAAACCGAGATTTATTGATGTTTTATCATAACTTAATCACATTTATAATTAATAAATGACACATATTTGGAAAGCTTAGATCCTCCTCTTTCATTTGATGCAACTCATTATGATGCATATTTCACGCATAAGTAATTAAAAGCAATTTGAAAAGAGGAAACCGAAAAGTCGTTTGGCAGGCGGTATCTGAATTTCAAAGAGAAAATCAAATTTCTAGAAAGTTGAGTTCCTGCCCTTTCATATGACACCTCAATCAGGAAAAATGAGCAAGGAATGACAAAGTTCTGTTTGTTTAAAGTAGCCCTTACATTTTCATAATTTTAGCAAACAAATTCATTTTCACTGGGTGCCTGCCGTAGCAAAAAGCGTATTGACAAAAGACTTTACTCTGTTTCATTGACAATTAGCCATGCATGAAGTCTTTCGTCTACGGCTGATTGTCAACGAAACGGAGTTAAGTCTTTTGTGAAGTTCGTTTGTTGATAAGGCAGGCAGCCAGTGAAACAAATTCGTTTAATCGAATCATGGAAATGCAAGCATTACATATAATACAGATAATACAGATATTTTGCAGTTACAAAAGGATTTTTTTTTTTTTCTGAGGAAAATTCATGCAGGTTTATGTCATTAACTCAAATAAGCATTATTTCAGTAATACTGACCTTGTACAATAATGACATTGAAGCTGCAAGAATCTTGATTTCCATTGGCATCAGCAAAGGTCCAGGTAACTTGGGTGCTACCAATGTTAAAGAAATCTGTTGTTGAATGACTTTGAGAAATAATTGTCGGGACTTGTCCACTGTTGTCTATTGCAGTAGGTGCAGTAAAGAAGACTTGAGTACTCGTTTGACTTAATCCAACCTCCCGCTGGATATCCGCAGGGCATGTGGCAACAGGTGGCGTTCTATCAACTGATAGATAACATTTGGGAAGAATAAATGTACGAGGAGTCAGACTAATTTCAAATCTCTTCACAAGATTTTCACATTTTTACCTTCATACATGTGTCAATAGGAAATGTCCTTCCCTACATTTTCTCGATAATGAGACCCACAGTTTTCTGGAAGCTTCATAACATTTTAGTTGTATTATCCCCAGAGCTATCAAAGAGCTGCTAATTATACCTCAAATAAAGTTATGGCCTCAAACGATTCTAGAGTTATATAGCAATGACAAATAACACTCAAATTCGGTGGGTAGCATATACACATATATTATCAACTATATTAGGAACCAGAATTGTAAAATTGTAGTAATACAGTATGGATGTACTTTAAATTGACACCCAAAAGAGTCTAAAATTGGCCAGGTATGTATAGCAACAGTTCCTCTTAAAGACTTTTCAAGTTATAACCACATTCAAATTTTTCAGTTCTATTATCTATGACACAGTTCATATACCGTACATGTATGCAAACTTGTAAAGAACACTTGCAACACTACAGGATTGAACATAAAATGGTAGAGATATACAGTGCGTCCCAGAAAAAGCAAAACCGAGATTTATTGATGTTTTATCATAACTTAATCACATTTATAATTAATAACTGACACATATTTGGAAAGCTTAGATCCTCCTCTTTCATTTGATGCAACTCATTATGATGCATATTTCACGCATAAGTAATTAAAAGCAATTTGAAAAGAGGAAACCGAAAAGTCGTTTGGCAGGCGGTATCTGAATTTCAAAGAGAAAATCAAATTTCTAGAAAGTTGAGTTCCTGCCCTTTCATATGACACCTCAATCAGGAAAAATGAGCAAGGAATCACAAAGTTCTGTTTGTTTAAAGTAGCCCTTACATTTTCATAATTTTAGCAAACAAATTCATTTTCACTGGGTGCCTGCCGTAGCAAAAAGCAGAATTGACAAAAGACTTTACTCTCTTTCATTGACAATTAGCCATGCATGAAGTCTTTCGTCTACGGCTGATTGTCAACGAAACGGAGTTAAGTCTTTTGTGAAGTTTGTTTGTTGATACGGCAGGCAGCCAGTGAAACACATTCGTTTAATCAAATCATGGAAATGCAAGCATTACTTTAAACAAACAGAACTTTGTTATTCCTAGCTCATTTTTCCTGAATGAGGTGTCATATGAAAGGGCAGAAACTCAACTTTCTAGAAATTGGATTTTCTCCTTGAAATTCAGATACCGCCCGCCAAACGACTTTTCGGCTTCCTCTCTTCAAATTGATTTTAATCACTCATACGTGAAATATGCATTATTATGAGTTGCATCAAATGAAAGAGGAGGATCTAACCTTTCCAAATATGTGTCATTTATCAATTATAATTGTGAGTAAGTTATGATAAAACATTGATAATTCTTGGTTTCGTTTCATCTGGGACGCACTGTACAAGGGGATTCTTCTGCAAAAGAATCAAACTTTTAGTTTTTTTGGATCAAATTTACTATTAAAAAAAAAAAAAGATCATTAGATGTTTATTTTATATTTAATAAAGGATATCATTTATTTTTTAGGTTGATGTCTTTTCATTTGATTCTTAAATCAAGCTTTATTTCCCAAGTAATACTGACCTGTATGACAAACAAAGCTGCAATTACCTTAATGTTGTCCTTGCCATCTACAAAGCTGCAGAAACGTCAGTGTAAAACGATAATACAGATATTTTGCAGTTACAAAAGGATTTTTTTTTTTTTTCTGAGAAAAATTGATGCAGGTTTATGTCATTAACTCAAATAAGCATTATTTCAGTAATACTGACCTTGTACAATAATGACATTGAAGCTGCAAGAATCTTGATTTCCATTGGCATCAGCAAAGGTCCAGGTAACTTGGGTGCTACCAATGTTAAAGAAATCTGTTGTTGAATGACTTTGAGAAATAATTGTCGGGACTTGTCCACTGTTGTCTATTGCAGTAGGTGCAGTAAAGAAGACTTGAGTACTCGTTTGACTTAATCCAACCTCCCGCTGGATATCCGCAGGGCATGTGGCAACAGGTGGCGTTCTATCAACTGATAGATAACATTTGGGAAGAATAAATGTACAAGAAGTCAGACTTATTTCAAATCTCTTCACAAGATTTTCACATTTTTACCTTTATACATGTGTCCATAGGAAATGTCCTTCCCTACATTTTCTCGATAATGAGACCCACAGTTTTCTGGAAGCTTCATAACATTTTAGTTGTATTATCCCCAGAGCTATCAAAGAGCTGCTAATTATACCTCAAATAAAGTTATGGCCTCAAACGATTCTAGAGTTATATAGCAATGACAAATAACACTCAAATTCGGTGGGTAGCATATACACATATATTATCAATTATATTAGGAACCAGAATTGTAAAATTGTAGTAATACAGTATGGATGTACTTTAAATTGACACCCAAAAGAGTCTAAAATTGGCCAGGTATGTATAGCAACAGTTCCTCTTAAAGACTTTTCAAGTTATAACCACATTCAAATTTTTCAGTTCTATTATCTATGACACAGTTCATATACCGTACATGTATGCAAACTTGTAAAGAACACTTGCAACACTACAGGATTGAACATAAAATGGTAGAGATATACAGTGCGTCCCAGAAAAAGCAAAACCGAGATTTATTGATGTTTTATCATAACTTAATCACATTTATAATTAATAAATGACACATATTTGGAAAGCTTAGATCCTCCTCTTTCATTTGATGCAACTCATTATGATGCATATTTCACGCATAAGTAATTAAAAGCAATTTGAAAAGAGGAAACCGAAAAGTCGTTTGGCAGGCGGTATCTGAATTTCAAAGAGAAAATCAAATTTCTAGAAAGTTGAGTTCCTGCCCTTTCATATGACACCTCAATCAGGAAAAATGAGCAAGGAATCACAAAGTTCTGTTTGTTTAAAGTAGCCTTTACATTTTCATAATTTTAGCAAACAAATTCATTTTCACTGGGTGCCTGCCGTAGCAAAAAGCAGAATTGACAAAAGACTTTACTCTCTTTCATTGACAATTAGCCATGCATGAAGTCTTTCGTCTACGGCTGATTGTCAACGAAACGGAGTTAAGTCTTTTGTGAAGTTCGTTTGTTGATACGGCAGGCAGCCAGTGAAACAAATTCGTTTAATCAAATCATGGAAATGCAAGCATTACTTTAAACAAACAGAACTTTGTTATTCCTAGCTCATTTTTCCTGAATGAGGTGTCATATGAAAAGGCAGAAACTCAACTTTCTAGAAATTTGATTTTCTCCTTAAAATTCAGATACCGCCCGCCAAACGACTTTTCGGCTTCCTCTCTTCAAATTGATTTTAATCACTCATACGTGAAATATGCATTATTATGAGTTGCATCAAATGAAAGAGGAGGATCTAACCTTTCCAAATATGTGTCATTTATCAATTATAATTGTGAGTAAGTTATGATAAAACATTGATAATTCTTGGTTTAGTTTTATCTGGGATGCACTGTACAAGGGGATTCTTCTGCAAAAGAATCAAACTTTTAGTTTTTTTGGATCAAATTTACTATTAAAAAAAAGATGATCATTAGATGTTTATTTTATATTTAATAAAGGATATCATTTATTTTTTAGGTTGATGTCTTTTCATTTGATTCTTAAATCAAGCTTTATTTCCCAAGTAATACTGACCTGTATGACAAACAAAGCTGCAATTACCTTAATGTTGTCCTTGCCATCTACAAAGCTGCAGAAACGTCAGTGTAAAACGATAATACAGATATTTTGCAGTTACAAAAGGATTTTTTTTTTTTTTCTGAGGAAAATTCATGCAGGTTTATGTCATTAACTCAAATAAGCATTATTTCAGTAATACTGACCTTGTACAATAATGACATTGAAGCTGCAAGAATCTTGATTTCCATTGGCATCAGCAAAGGTCCAGGTAACTTGGGTGCTACCAATGTTAAAGAAATCTGTTGTTGAATGACTTTGAGAAATAATTCTCGGGACTTGTCCACTGTTGTCTATTGCAGTAGGTGCAGTAAAGAAGACTTGAGTACTCGTTTGACTTAATCCAACCTCCCGCTGGATATCCGCAGGGCATGTGGCAACAGGTGGCGTTCTATCAACTGATAGATAACATTTGGGAAGAATAAATGTACGAGGAGTCAGACTAATTTCAAATCTCTTCACAAGATTTTCACATTTTTACCTTCATACATGTGTCAATAGGAAATGTCCTTCCCTACATTTTCTCGATAATGAGACCCACAGTTTTCTGGAAGCTTCATAACATTTTAGTTGTATTATCCCCAGAGCTATCAAAGAGCTGCTAATTATACCTCAAATAAAGTTATGGCCTCAAACGATTCTAGAGTTATATAGCAATGACAAATAACACTCAAATTCGGTGGGTAGCATATACACATATATTATAATTATATTAGGAACCAGAATTGTAAAATTGTAGTAATACAGTATGGATGTACTTTAAATTGACACCCAAAAGAGTCTAAAATTGGCCAGGTATGTATAGCAACAGTTCCTCTTAAAGACTTCTCAAGTTATAACCACATTCAAATTTTTCAGTTCTATTATCTATGACACAGTTCATATACCGTACATGTATGCAAACTTGTAAAGAACACTTGCAACACTACAGGATTGAACATAAAATGGTAGAGATATACAGTGCGTCCCAGAAAAGCGAAACCGAGATTTATTGATGTTTTATCATAACTTAATCACATTTATAATTAATAAATGACACATATTTGGAAAGCTTAGATCCTCCTCTTTCATTTGATGCAACTCATTATGATGCATATTTCACGCATAAGTAATTAAAAGCAATTTGAAAAGAGGAAACCGAAAAGTCGTTTGGCAGGCGGTATCTGAATTTCAAAGAGAAAATCAAATTTCTAGAAAGTTGAGTTCCTGCCCTTTCATATGACACCTCAATCAGGAAAAATGAGCAAGGAATCACAAAGTTCTGTTTGTTTAAAGTAGCCCTTACATTTTCATAATTTTAGCAAACAAATTCATTTTCACTGGGTGCCTGCCGTAGCAAAAAGCAGAATTGACAAAAGACTTTACTCTGTTTCGTTGACAATTAGCCATGCATGAAGTCTTTCGTCTACGGCTGATTGTCAACGAAACGGAGTTAAGTCTTTTGTGAAGTTCGTTTGTTGATACGGCAGGCACCCAGTGAAAATGAATTCGTTTAATCAAATCATGGAAATGCAAGCATTATTTTAAACAAACAGAACTTTGTTATTCCTAGCTCATTTTTCCTGAATGAGGTGTCATATGAAAGGGCAGAAACTCAACTTTCTAGAAATTTGATTTTCTCCTTAAAATTCAGATACCGCCCGCCAAACGACTTTTCGGCTTCCTCTCTTCAAATTGATTTTAATCACTCATACGTGAAATATGCATTATTATGAGTTGCATCAAATGAAAGAGGAGGATCTAACCTTTCCAAATATGTGTCATTTATCAATTATATTGTGAGTAAGTTATGATAAAACATTGATAATTCTTGGTTTAGTTTTATCTGGGACGCACTGTACAAGGGGATTCTTCTGCAAAAGAATCAAACTTTTAGTTTTTTTGGATCAAATTTACTATTAAAAAAAAGAGATGATCATTAGATGTTTATTTTATATTTAATAAAGGATATCATTTATTTTTTAGGTTGATGTCTTTTCATTTGATTCTTAAATCAAACTTTATTTCCCAAGTAATACTGACCTGTATGACAAACAAAGCTGCAATTACCTTAATGTTGTCCTTGCCATCTACAAAGCTGCAGAAACGTCAGTGTAAAACGATAATACAGATATTTTGCAGTTACAAAAGGATTTTTTTTTTTTTCTGAGGAAAATTGATGCAGGTTTATGTCATTAACTCAAATAAGCATTATTTCAGTAATACTGACCTTGTACAATAATGACATTGAAGCTGCAAGAATCTTGATTTCCATTGGCATCAGCAAAGGTCCAGGTAACTTGGGTGCTACCAATGTTAAAGAAATCTGTTGTTGAATGACTTTGAGAAATAATTGTCGGGACTTGTCCACTGTTGTCTATTGCAGTAGGTGCAGTAAAGAAGACTTGAGTACTCGTTTGACTTAATCCAACCTCCCGCTGGATATCCGCAGGGCATGTGGCAACAGGTGGCGTTCTATCAACTGATAGATAACATTTGGGAAGAATAAATGTACGAGGAGTCAGACTAATTTCAAATCTCTTCACAAGATTTTCACATTTTTACCTTCATACATGTGTCCATAGGAAATGTCCTTCCCTACATTTTCTCGATAATGAGACCCACAGTTTTCTGGAAGCTTCATAACATTTTAGTTGTATTATCCCCAGAGCTATCAAAGAGCTGCTAATTATACCTCAAATAAAGTTATGGCCTCAAACGATTCTAGAGTTATATAGCAATGACAAATAACACTCAAATTCGGTGGGTAGCATATACACATATATTATCAATTATATTAGGAACCAGAATTGTAAAATTGTAGTAATACAGTATGGATGTACTTTAAATTGACACCCAAAAGAGTCTAAAATTGGCCAGGTATTTATAGCAACAGTTCCTCTTAAAGACTTCTCAAGTTATAACCACATTCAAATTTTTCAGTTCTATTATCTATGACACAGTTCATATACCGTACATGTATGCAAACTTGTAAAGAACACTTGCAACACTACAGGATTGAACATAAAATGGTAGAGATATACAGTGCGTCCCAGAAAAAGCAAAACCGAGATTTATTGATGTTTTATCATAACTTAATCACATTTATAATTAATAAATGACACATATTTGGAAAGCTTAGATCCTCCTCTTTCATTTGATGCAACTCATTATGATGCATATTTCACGCATGAGTAATTAAAAGCAATTTGAAAAGAGGAAACCGAAAAGTCGTTTGGCAGGCGGTATCTGAATTTCAAAGAGAAAATCAAATTTCTAGAAAGTTGAGTTCCTGCCCTTTCATATGACACCTCAATCAGGAAAAATGAGCAAGGAATCACAAAGTTCTGTTTGTTTAAAGTAGCCCTTACATTTTCATAATTTTAGCAAACAAATTCATTTTCACTGGGTGCCTGCCGTAGCAAAAAGCAGAATTGACAAAAGACTTTACTCTGTTTCATTGACAATTAGCCATGCATGAAGTCTTTCGTCTACGGCTGATTGTCAACGAAACGGAGTTAAGTCTTTTGTGAAGTTCGTTTGTTGATACGGCAGGCACCCAGTGAAACAAATTCGTTTAATCAAATCATGGAAATGCAAGCATTACTTTAAACAAACAGAACTTTGTTATTCCTAGCTCATTTTTCCTGAATGAGGTGTCATATGAAAGGGCAGAAACTCAACTTTCTAGAAATTTGATTTTCTCCTTGAAATTCAGATACCGCCCGCCAAACGACTTTTCGGCTTCCTCTCTTCAAATTGATTTTAATCACTCATACGTGAAATATGCATTATTATGAGTTGCATCAAATGAAAGAGGAGGATCTAACCTTTCCAAATATGTGTCATTTATCAATTAATATTGTGAGTAAGTTATGATAAAACATTGATAATTCTTGGTTTAGTTTTATCTGGGACGCACTGTACAAGGGGATTCTTCTGCAAAAGAATCAAACTTTTAGTTTTTTTGGATCAAATTTTCTATTAAAAAAAAGAGATGATCATTAGATGTTTATTTTATATTTAATAAAGGATATCATTTATTTTTTAGGTTGATGTCTTTTCATTTGATTCTTAAATCAAACTTTATTTCCCAAGTAATACTGACCTGTATGACAAACAAAGCTGCAATTACCTTAATGTTGTCCTTGCCATCTACAAAGCTGCAGAAACGTCAGTGTAAAACGATAATACAGATATTTTGCAGTTACAAAAGGATTTTTTTTTTTTTTTCTGAGGAAAATTCATGCAGGTTTATGTCATTAACTCAAATAAGCATTATTTCAGTAATACTGACCTTGTACAATAATGACATTGAAGCTGCAAGAATCTTGATTTCCATTGGCATCAGCAAAGGTCCAGGTAACTTGGGTGCTACCAATGTTAAAGAAATCTGTTGTTGAATGACTTTGAGAAATAATTGTCGGGACTTGTCCACTGTTGTCTATTGCAGTAGGTGCAGTAAAGAAGACTTGAGTACTCGTTTGACTTAATCCAACCTCCCGCTGGATATCCGCAGGGCATGTGGCAACAGGTGGCGTTCTATCAACTGATAGATAACATTTGGGAAGAATAAATGTACGAGGAGTCAGACTAATTTCAAATCTCTTCACAAGATTTTCACATTTTTACCTTCATACATGTGTCCATAGGAAATGTCCTTCCCTACATTTTCTCGATAATGAGACCCACAGTTTTCTGGAAGCTTCATAACATTTTAGTTGTATTATCCCCAGAGCTATCAAAGAGCTGCTAATTATACCTCAAATAAAGTTATGGCCTCAAACGATTCTAGAGTTATATAGCAATGACAAATAACACTCAAATTCGGTGGGTAGCATATACACATATATTATCAATTATATTAGGAACCAGAATTGTAAAATTGTAGTAATACAGTATGGATGTACTTTAAATTGACACCCAAAAGAGTCTAAAATTGGCCAGGTATTTATAGCAACAGTTCCTCTTAAAGACTTCTCAAGTTATAACCACATTCAAATTTTTCAGTTCTATTATCTATGACACAGTTCATATACCGTACATGTATGCAAACTTGTAAAGAACACTTGCAACACTACAGGATTGAACATAAAATGGTAGAGATATACAGTGCGTCCCAGAAAAAGCGAAACCGAGATTTATTGATGTTTTATCATAACTTAATCACATTTATAATTAATAAATGACACATATTTGGAAAGCTTAGATCCTCCTCTTTCATTTGATGCAACTCATTATGATGCATATTTCACGTATAAGTAATTAAAAGCAATTTGAAAAAAGGAAACCGAAAAGTCGTTTGGCAGGCGGTATCTGAATTTCAAAGAGAAAATCAAATTTCTAGAAAGTTGAGTTCCTGCCCTTTCATATGACACCTCAATCAGGAAAAATGAGCAAGGAATCACAAAGTTCTGTTTGTTTAAAGTAGCCCTTACATTTTCATAATTTTAGCAAACAAATTCATTTTCACTGGGTGCCTGCCGTAGCAAAAAGCAGAATTGACAAAAGACTTTACTCTGTTTCGTTGACAATTAGCCATGCATGAAGTCTTTCGTCTACGGCTGATTGTCAACGAAATGGAGTTAAGTCTTTTGTGAAGTTCGTTTGTTGATACGGCAGGCACCCAGTGAAAATGAATTCGTTTAATCAAATCATGGAAATGCAAGCATTATTTTAAACAAACAGAACTTTGTTATTCCTAGCTCATTTTTCCTGAATAAGGTGTCATATGAAAGGGCAGAAACTCAACTTTCTAGAAATTTGATTTTCTCCTTAAAATTCAGATACCGCCCGCCAAACGACTTTTCGGCTTCCTCTCTTCAAATTGATTTTAATCACTCATACGTGAAATATGCATTATTATGAGTTGCATCAAATGAAAGAGGAGGATCTAACCTTTCCAAATATGTGTCATTTATCAATTATAATTGTGAGTAAGTTATGATAAAACATTGATAATTCTTGGTTTAGTTTTATCTGGGACGCACTGTACAAGGGGATTCTTCTGCAAAAGAATCAAACTTTTAGTTTTTTTGGATCAAATTTACTATTAAAAAAAAGAGATGATCATTAGATGTTTATTTTATATTTAATAAAGGATATCATTTATTTTTTAGGTTGATGTCTTTTCATTTGATTCTTAAATCAAACTTTATTTCCCAAGTAATACTGACCTGTATGACAAACAAAGCTGCAATTACCTTAATGTTGTCCTTGCCATCTACAAAGCTGCAGAAACGTCAGTGTAAAACGATAATACAGATATTTTGCAGTTACAAAAGGATTTTTTTTTTTTTCTGAGGAAAATTGATGCAGGTTTATGTCATTAACTCAAATAAGCATTATTTCAGTAATACTGACCTTGTACAATAATGACATTGAAGCTGCAAGAATCTTGATTTCCATTGGCATCAGCAAAGGTCCAGGTAACTTGGGTGCTACCAATGTTAAAGAAATCTGTTGTTGAATGACTTTGAGAAATAATTGTCGGGACTTGTCCACTGTTGTCTATTGCAGTAGGTGCAGTAAAGAAGACTTGAGTACTCGTTTGACTTAATCCAACCTCCCGCTGGATATCCGCAGGGCATGTGGCAACAGGTGGCGTTCTATCAACTGATAGATAACATTTGGGAAGAATAAATGTACGAGGAGTCAGACTAATTTCAAATCTCTTCACAAGATTTTCACATTTTTACCTTCATACATGTGTCCATAGGAAATGTCCTTCCCTACATTTTCTCGATAATGAGACCCACAGTTTTCTGGAAGCTTCATAACATTTTAGTTGTATTATCCCCAGAGCTATCAAAGAGCTGCTAATTATACCTCAAATAAAGTTATGGCCTCAAACGATTCTAGAGTTATATAGCAATGACAAATAACACTCAAATTCGGTGGGTAGCATATACACATATATTATCAATTATATTAGGAACCAGAATTGTAAAATTGTAGTAATACAGTATGGATGTACTTTAAATTGACACCCAAAAGAGTCTAAAATTGGCCAGGTATTTATAGCAACAGTTCCTCTTAAAGACTTCTCAAGTTATAACCACATTCAAATTTTTCAGTTCTATTATCTATGACACAGTTCATATACCGTACATGTATGCAAACTTGTAAAGAACACTTGCAACACTACAGGATTGAACATAAAATGGTAGAGATATACAGTGCGTCCCAGAAAAAGCAAAACCGAGATTTATTGATGTTTTATCATAACTTAATCACATTTATAATTAATAAATGACACATATTTGGAAAGCTTAGATCCTCCTCTTTCATTTGATGCAACTCATTATGATGCCTATTTCATGCATGAGTAATTAAAAGCAATTTGAAAAGAGGAAACCGAAAAGTCGTTTGGCAGGCGGTATCTGAATTTCAAAGAGAAAATCAAATTTCTAGAAAGTTGAGTTCCTGCCCTTTCATATGACACCTCAATCAGGAAAAATGAGCAAGGAATCACAAAGTTCTGTTTGTTTAAAGTAGCCCTTACATTTTCATAATTTTAGCAAACAAATTCATTTTCACTGGGTGCCTGCCGTAGCAAAAAGCAGAATTGACAAAAGACTTTACTCTGTTTCATTGACAATTAGCCATGCATGAAGTCTTTCGTCTACGGCTGATTGTCAACGAAACGGAGTTAAGTCTTTTGTGAAGTTCGTTTGTTGATACGGCAGGCACCCAGTGAAACAAATTCGTTTAATCAAATCATGGAAATGCAAGCATTACTTTAAACAAACAGAACTTTGTTATTCCTAGCTCATTTTTCCTGAATGAGGTGTCATATGAAAGGGCAGAAACTCAACTTTCTAGAAATTTGATTTTCTCCTTGAAATTCAGATACCGCCCGCCAAACGACTTTTCGGCTTCCTCTCTTCAAATTGATTTTAATCACTCATACGTGAAATATGCATTATTATGAGTTGCATCAAATGAAAGAGGAGGATCTAACCTTTCCAAATATGTGTCATTTATCAATTATAATTGTGAGTAAGTTATGATAAAACATTGATAATTCTTGGTTTAGTTTTATCTAGGACGCACTGTACAAGGGGATTCTTCTGCAAAAGAATCAAACTTTTAGTTTTTTTGGATCAAATTTACTATTAAAAAAAATAGATGATCATTAGATGTTTATTTTATATTTAATAAAGGATATCATTTATTTTTTAGGTTGATGTCTTTTCATTTGATTCTTAAATCAAACTTTATTTCCCAAGTAATACTGACCTGTATGACAAACAAAGCTGCAATTACCTTAATGTTGTCCTTGCCATCGACAAAGCTGCAGAAATGTCAGTGTAAAACGATAATACAGATATTTTGCAGTTACAAAAGGAGTTTTTTTTTTTTTCTGAGGAAAATTCATGCAGGTTTATGTCATTAACTCAAATAAGCATTATTTCAGTAATACTGACCTTGTACAATAATGACATTGAAGCTGCAAGAATCTTGATTTCCATTGGCATCAGCAAAGGTCCAGGTAACTTGGGTGCTACCAATGTTAAAGAAATCTGTTGTTGAATGACTTTGAGAAGTAACTGTCGGGACTTGTCCACTGTTGTCTATTGCAGTAGGTGCAGTAAAGAAGACTTGAGTACTCGTTTGACCTAATCCAACCTCCCGCACGATATCCGCAGGGCATGTGGCAACAGGTGGCGTTCTATCAACTGATAGATAACATTTGGGAAGAATAAATGTACAAGAAGTCAGACTTATTTCAAATCTCATCACAAGATTTTCACATTTTTACCTTCATACATGTGTCCATAGGAAATGTCCTTCCCTACATTTTCTCGATAATGAGACCCACAGTTTTCTGGAAGCTTAACATTTTAGTTGTATTATCCCCAGAGCTATCAAAGAGCTGCTAATTATACCTCAAATAAAGTTATGGCCTCAAACGATTCTAGAGTTATATAGCAATGACAAATCACACTAAAATTTGGTGGGTAGCATATACACATACTGTATATTATCAGTTATATTAGGAACCAGGATTGTAAAATTGTAGCAATATTGTATGAATTAATTTAGTTTAAAATGGCAGAGAATGTGTCTTGCAAAGAACTACATGAAAAACATATCATAATTATGCAACTGATTGAGCTATAAAAAACTGAATGGCTATGCATATATAACAACATAGGCTCTAAAATATCTTACCAAGTTTAAAAGTAAGAAGAATCAAAATATGGAAATAATAATCTATGCTACAATTAATATAATGCAAGCATGCATTATACAGATGTATGCCTCCAGAATTCAATCTCGATGAATGGATCGATGCATAAAAAGGTTTTAAAAAAATACTAAACAATGCTAACCATGAATTCTCCGAAGAATAAACATAGTAAAAACTGAGAAGAAACTGTTCATCAAAAGACCCAAACAAGAGTTTTTTATATCCAAATACTATTTCATTTAACGCAGCTGATTATTAAAAATATTATTCCACATTTTGGTACACAGGTATAACAAGTTGGACAAATTTTGTATGTCATCGAAAAATGTCTGTTTTTGTACCTGCTCACATGCTTGTGTTCTGCATGAACTGTTTCATCAACTAGATATTCACTTTTCACTATTGGTCTTATTATCCATCAAAATAACCAACCTATTTAAATGAATAGTGCTATGGTGATGACACATACATTTTATACATAAACACTGTAATTAAATAGGTAGAATATCAGGAACTAGGCTCCAAGAATGTAGTAATACAGTATTGATGTACTTTAAATTGACACCCAAAAGAGTCTAAAATTGGCCATGTATGTACATGTATAGCAACAGTTACTCTTAATGTCTTCCCATTATAACCACATTCAACTTTTTCAGTTCTATAATGTATGGAAAATTTCATATACATGTATGCAAGCTTGTAAAGAACACTTGCAACACTACAGGATTGAAACATAAAATGGTAGAGATATACAAGGTGATTCTTCTGCAAAAGAATCAAACTTTTAGTTTTTTTGGATCAAATTAACTATTAAAAAAGAGATGATCATTAGATGTTCTATTCTAATTTATAAAGGATATTATTTATGTTTTAGATTGATGTCTTTATGTTCAATTCTTGAATCAAACTTTATTTTTAGATGTTCTATTCTATATTTATAAAGGATGTCATTTATGTTTTAGGTTGATGTCTTTATATTCAATTCTTGAATCAAACTTTATTTCCCATGTAATACTGACCTGTATGACAAACAAAGCTGCAATTACCTTAATGTTGTCCTTGCCATCTACAAAGCTGCAGAAACGTCAGTGTAAACCGATAATACAGATATTTTGCAGTTACAAAAGGATTTTTTTTTTTCTGAGGAAAATCCATGCAGGTTTATGTCATTAACTCAAATAAGCATTATTTCAGTAATACTGACCTTGTACAATAATGACATTGAAGCTGCAAGAATCTTGATTTCCATTGGCATCAGCAAAGGTCCAGGTAACTTGGGTGCTACCAATGTTAAAGAAATCTGTTGTTGAATGACTTTGAGAAGTAACTGTCGGGACTTGTCCACTGTTGTCTATTGCAGTAGGTGCAGTAAAGAAGACTTGAGTACTCGTTTGACCTAATCCAACCTCCCGCACGATATCCGCAGGGCATGTGGCAACAGGTGGCGTTCTATCAACTGATAGATAACATTTGGGAAGAATAAATGTACAAGAAGTCAGACTTATTTCAAATCTCATCACAAGATTTTCACATTTTTACCTTCATACATGTGTCCATAGGAAATGTCCTTCCCTACATTTTCTCGATAATGAGACCCACAGTTTTCTGGAAGCTTAACATTTTAGTTGTATTATCCCCAGAGCTATCAAAGAGCTGCTAATTATACCTCAAATAAAGTTATGGCCTCAAACGATTCTAGAGTTATATAGCAATGACAAATCACACTAAAATTTGGTGGGTAGCATATACACATACTGTATATTATCAGTTATATTAGGAACCAGGATTGTAAAATTGTAGCAATATTGTATGAATTAATTTAGTTTAAAATGGCAGAGAATGTGTCTTGCAAAGAACTACATGAAAAACATATCATAATTATGCAACTGATTGAGCTATAAAAAACTGAATGGCTATGCATATATAACAACATAGGCTCTAAAATATCTTACCAAGTTTAAAAGTAAGAAGAATCAAAATATGGAAATAATAATCTATGCTACAATTAATATAATGCAAGCATGCATTATACAGATGTATGCCTCCAGAATTCAATCTCGATGAATGGATCGATGCATAAAAAGGTTTTTAAAAAATACTAAACAATGCTAACCATGAATTCTCCGAAGAATAAACATAGTAAAAACTGAGAAGAAACTGTTCATCAAAAGACCCAAACAAGAGTTTTTTATATCCAAATACTATTTCATTTAACGCAGCTGATTATTAAAAATATTATTCCACATTTTGGTACACAGGTATAACAAGTTGGACAAATTTTGTATGTCATCGAAAAATGTCTGTTTTTGTACCTGCTCACATGCTTGTGTTCTGCATGAACTGTTTCATCAACTAGATATTCACTTTTCACTATTGGTCTTATTATCCATCAAAATAACCAACCTATTTAAATGAATAGTGCTATGGTGATGACACATACATTTTATACATAAACACTGTAATTAAATAGGTAGAATATCAGGAACTAGGCTCCAAGAATGTAGTAATACAGTATTGATGTACTTTAAATTGACACCCAAAAGAGTCTAAAATTGGCCATGTATGTACATGTATAGCAACAGTTACTCTTAATGTCTTCCCATTATAACCACATTCAACTTTTTCAGTTCTATAATGTATGGAAAATTTCATATACATGTATGCAAGCTTGTAAAGAACACTTGCAACACTACAGGATTGAAACATAAAATGGTAGAGATATACAAGGTGATTCTTCTGCAAAAGAATCAAACTTTTAGTTTTTTTGGATCAAATTAACTATTAAAAAAAGAGATGATCATTAGATGTAGGCCTGAGTCATGTCGGGATTTTCATAAACCGGGTCCCGACGGCCTTGCACCGGTCGGGACCCGGTGTCCCGAAATCAGCTCGCAGGATTTGTCACTTGCCTCTATAAAAAGCGCATATCATCAGTATGTCCCTTAAAAGTGACATTTTTATCAGTCAAATAAATCAACACATGCATACCTCGGCACAGATTGGTATATTCTTCCATTTGACATTATATATTCATCCATGATTGGCGATGTTTAGTGCCATTATCGTGCCTCTAAAAGTAAAAAAACTCGAGCAAAAATATAAAGACTACAATCGAGCCGCCATTTTGATTTATGCAGGTTGAATAAATCTTGTCAAAAAATATGAATGTTAGAATAATAAAACGGCTTTCTAAAAAATTCTTCTGTACAATATACCGATCATATAATATTTTAAAGACAAAAATAAATATTTATCTCTTATTTTAAACATCGCATGCTTTTTTTTAAAAGCTGAAAATTACTTGGTAATCACAAGAAGTTTCGATACGATCGCTGTTGCAAGGCAAGTTCAGACTAGTCTCGGAAAAATGCGCAGTGCTCCTCGTTATCTGTAATGCGTGCCAGAACGAACCCAAACAAAGACGTGATCGTAACGAGAAAAAAATCATTAAAAACTACGAGAGCACAATTGGAATGATATACTGCTCGAAATTACCATAATCAGATACATAACTTGGACAAAGAATACAATAGTTTTCCAAGAAAAGCCACATAAACAGTGATATTTAATGAGTTACTATAGGTACAATCATTATCGGAATGGCCTGCTGCAAATACTCGAATCCTTTGTTATACTGCTTTTTACCGTAGAGGGCGGTATTTGCCTCGTGTTCAATTTAAACACGTTTAGATATATTGCAGCAGGCCATTCCGATAATGATTGTACCTATAGTAACTCATTAAATATCACTATTTATGTGGCTTTTCTTGGAAAACTATTGTATTCTTCCTCCAAGTTATGTATCTGCTTACGATAATTTTGAGTAGTTGTCTTTCCAATTGTGCTCTCGTAGTTTTTAATGATTTTTTTTCTCGTTACGATCACGTCTTTGTTTGGGTTCGTTCTGGCACGCATTATAGCTATAACAAGGAGCACTGCGCATTTTTCCGAGACTAGTCTGAACTTGCATTGCAACAGCTATCCGTATCGAAACTTCTTGTGATTACCAAGTCATTTTCAGCTTTTAAAAGAAGAATGCGGTGTTCAAAATCAAAGAAAAAATATATATTTTGTCTTTTAAAAATTATTCGATCGGTATGTTGTAAAGAAGTACTTTTTAGAAAGTCGTTTTATTATTCAAACATTAATGTTTCTTTCAACCTGATTTATTAATTCTGCCGAGAGACCCGGCCAGTACTAACTAGCTAGCAGCTGGCAACAACAACCCCATGGGGCGAACTGCTTTGCAACCCATATTTATATCAGCAGTTCGGATCGATTCTGGATGAGCTAGAATACGATTGGTAACAATTAAATACTTAAGTTTTAGGGTGGATTGATTTTAGTGGTGTCCAAAACTGCAATTTCTTATATATTTCATTATTTTTTTCGGAGCACCGGTTCTCAAAAAACGAAACCGGGACCCGACGGCAACGGTCGGGTCCCGGTGTGATCGACCGTACCGACTCAAGCCTAATTAGATGTTCTATTCTAATTTATAAAGGATATTATTTATGTTTTAGATTGATGTCTTTACGTTCAATTCTTGAATCAAACTTTATTTTTAGATGTTCTATTCTATATTTATAAAGGATGTCATTTATGTTTTAGGTTGATGTCTTTATATTCAATTCTTGAATCAAACTTTATTTCCCATGTAATACTGACCTGTATGACAAACAAAGCTGCAATTACCTTAATGTTGTCCTTGCCATCTACAAAGCTGCAGAAACGTCAGTGTAAACCGATAATACAGATATTTTGCAGTTACAAAAGGATTTTTTTTTTTCTGAGGAAAATCCATGCAGGTTTATGTCATTAACTCAAATAAGCATTATTTCAGTAATACTGACCTTGTACAATAATGACATTGAAGCTGCAAGAATCTTGATTTCCATTGGCATCAGCAAAGGTCCAGGTAACTTGGGTGCTACCAATGTTAAAGAAATCTGTTGTTGAATGACTTTGAGAAGTAACTGTCGGGACTTGTCCACTGTTGTCTATTGCAGTAGGTGCAGTAAAGAAGACTTGAGTACTCGTTTGACCTAATCCAACCTCCCGCACGATATCCGCAGGGCATGTGGCAACAGGTGGCGTTCTATCAACTGATAGATAACATTTGGGAAGAATAAATGTACAAGAAGTCAGACTTATTTCAAATCTCATCACAAGATTTTCACATTTTTACCTTCATACATGTGTCCATAGGAAATGTCCTTCCCTACATTTTCTCGATAATGAGACCCACAGTTTTCTGGAAGCTTAACATTTTAGTTGTATTATCCCCAGAGCTATCAAAGAGCTGCTAATTATACCTCAAATAAAGTTATGGCCTCAAACGATTCTAGAGTTATATAGCAATGACAAATCACACTAAAATTTGGTGGGTAGCATATACACATACTGTATATTATCAGTTATATTAGGAACCAGGATTGTAAAATTGTAGCAATATTGTATGAATTAATTTAGTTTAAAATGGCAGAGAATGTGTCTTGCAAAGAACTACATGAAAAACATATCATAATTATGCAACTGATTGAGCTATAAAAAACTGAATGGCTATGCATATATAACAACATAGGCTCTAAAATATCTTACCAAGTTTAAAAGTAAGAAGAATCAAAATATGGAAATAATAATCTATGCTACAATTAATATAATGCAAGCATGCATTATACAGATGTATGCCTCCAGAATTCAATCTCGATGAATGGATCGATGCATAAAAAGGTTTTTAAAAAATACTAAACAATGCTAACCATGAATTCTCCGAAGAATAAACATAGTAAAAACTGAGAAGAAACTGTTCATCAAAAGACCCAAACAAGAGTTTTTTATATCCAAATACTATTTCATTTAACGCAGCTGATTATTAAAAATATTATTCCACATTTTGGTACACAGGTATAACAAGTTGGACAAATTTTGTATGTCATCGAAAAATGTCTGTTTTTGTACCTGCTCACATGCTTGTGTTCTGCATGAACTGTTTCATCAACTAGATATTCACTTTTCACTATTGGTCTTATTATCCATCAAAATAACCAACCTATTTAAATGAATAGTGCTATGGTGATGACACATACATTTTATACATAAACACTGTAATTAAATAGGTAGAATATCAGGAACTAGGCTCCAAGAATGTAGTAATACAGTATTGATGTACTTTAAATTGACACCCAAAAGAGTCTAAAATTGGCCATGTATGTACATGTATAGCAACAGTTACTCTTAATGTCTTCCCATTATAACCACATTCAACTTTTTCAGTTCTATAATGTATGGAAAATTTCATATACATGTATGCAAGCTTGTAAAGAACACTTGCAACACTACAGGATTGAAACATAAAATGGTAGAGATATACAAGGTGATTCTTCTGCAAAAGAATCAAACTTTTAGTTTTTTTGGATCAAATTAACTATTAAAAAAAGAGATGATCATTAGATGTTCTATTCTAATTTATAAAGGATATTATTTATGTTTTAGATTGATGTCTTTACGTTCAATTCTTGAATCAAACTTTATTTTTAGATGTTCTATTCTATATTTATAAAGGATGTCATTTATGTTTTAGGTTGATGTCTTTATATTCAATTCTTGAATCAAACTTTATTTCCCATGTAATACTGACCTGTATGACAAACAAAGCTGCAATTACCTTAATGTTGTCCTTGCCATCTACAAAGCTGCAGAAACGTCAGTGTAAACCGATAATACAGATATTTTGCAGTTACAAAAGGATTTTTTTTTTTCTGAGGAAAATCCATGCAGGTTTATGTCATTAACTCAAATAAGCATTATTTCAGTAATACTGACCTTGTACAATAATGACATTGAAGCTGCAAGAATCTTGATTTCCATTGGCATCAGCAAAGGTCCAGGTAACTTGGGTGCTACCAATGTTAAAGAAATCTGTTGTTGAATGACTTTGAGAAGTAACTGTCGGGACTTGTCCACTGTTGTCTATTGCAGTAGGTGCAGTAAAGAAGACTTGAGTACTCGTTTGACCTAATCCAACCTCCCGCACGATATCCGCAGGGCATGTGGCAACAGGTGGCGTTCTATCAACTGATAGATAACATTTGGGAAGAATAAATGTACGAGGAGTCAGACTAATTTCAAATCTCTTCACAAGATTTTCACATTTTTACCTTCATACATGTGTCCATAGGAAATGTCCTTCCCTACATTTTCTCGATAATGAGACCCACAGTTTTCTGGAAGCTTCATAACATTTTAGTTGTATTATCCCCAGAGCTATCAAAGAGCTGCTAATTATACCTCAAATAAAGTTATGGCCTCAAATGATTCTAGAGTTATATAGCAATGACAAATAACACTAACATTCGGTGGGTAGCATATACACATACTGTATATTATCAGTTATATTAGGAACCAGGATTGTAAAATTGTAGCAATATTGTATGAATTAATTTAGTTTAAAATGGCAGAGAATGTGTCTTGCAAAGAACTACATGAAAAACATATCATAATTATGCAACTGATTGAGCTATAAAAAACTGAATGGCTATGCATATATAACAACATAGGCTCTAAAATATCTTACCAAGTTTAAAAGTAAGAAGAATCAAAATATGGAAATAATAATCTATGCTACAATTAATATAATGCAAGCATGCATTATACAGATGTATGCCTCCAGAATTCAATCTCGATGAATGGATCGATGCATAAAAAGGTTTTTAAAAAATACTAAACAATGCTAACCATGAATGCTCGAAGAATAAACATAGTAAAAACTGAGAAGAAACTGTTCATCAAAAGACCCAAACAAGAGTTTTTTATATCCAAATACTATTTCATTAAACGCAGCTGATTATTAGAAATATTATTCCACATTTTGGTACACAGGTATAACAAGTTGGACAAATTTTGTATGTCATCAAAAAATGTCTGTTTTTGTACCTGCTCACATGCTTGTGTTCTGCATGAACTGTTTCATCAACTAGATATTCACTATTCACTATTGGTCTTATTATCCATCAAAATAACCAACCTATTTAAATGAATAGTGCAATGGTGATGACACATACATTTTATACATAAACACTGTAATTAAATAGGTAGAATATCAGGAACCAGGCTCCAAGAATGTAGTAATACAGTATTGATGTACTTTAAATTGACACCCAAAAGAGTCTAAAATTGGCCATGTATGTACATGTATAGCAACAGTTACTCTTAATGTCTTCCCATTATAACCACATTCAACTTTTTCAGTTCTATAATGTATGAAAAATTTCATATACATGTATGCAAGCTTGTAAAGAACACTTGCAACACTACAGGATTGAAACATAAAATGGTAGATATATACAAGGTGATTCTTCTGCAAAAGAATCAAACTTTTAGTTTTTTTGGATCAAATTAACTATTAAAAAAAGAGATGATCATTAGATGTTCTATTCTAATTTATAAAGGATATCATTTATGTTTTAGATTGATGTCTTTACATTCAATTCTTGAATCAAACTTTATTTTTAGATGTTCTATTCTATATTTATAAAGGATGTCATTTAAGTTTTAGGTTGATGTCTTCATATTCAATTCTTGAATCAAACTTTATTTCCCAAGTAATACTGACCTGTATGACAAACAAAGCTGCAATTACCTTAATGTTGTCCTTGCCATCTACAAAGCTGCAGAAACGTCAGTGTAAACCGATAATACAGATATTTTGCAGTTACAAAAGGATTTTTTTTTTTCTGAGGAAAATCCATGCAGGTTTATGTCATTAACTCAAATAAGCATTATTTCAGTAATACTGACCTTGTACAATAATGACATTGAAGCTGCAAGAATCTTGATTTCCATTGGCATCAGCAAAGGTCCAGGTAACTTGGGTGCTACCAATGTTAAAGAAATCTGTTGTTGAATGACTTTGAGAAGTAACTGTCGGGACTTGTCCACTGTTGTCTATTGCAGTAGGTGCAGTAAAGAAGACTTGAGTACTCGTTTGACCTAATCCAACCTCCCGCACGATATCCGCAGGGCATGTGGCAACAGGTGGCGTTCTATCAACTGATAGATAACATTTGGGAAGAATAAATGTACGAGGAGTCAGACTAATTTCAAATCTCTTCACAAGATTTTCACATTTTTACCTTCATACATGTGTCCATAGGAAATGTCCTTCCCTACATTTTCTCGATAATGAGACCCACAGTTTTCTGGAAGCTTCATAACATTTTAGTTGTATTATCCCCAGAGCTATCAAAGAGCTGCTAATTATACCTCAAATAAAGTTATGGCCTCAAACGATTCTAGAGTTATATAGCTATGACAAATCACACTAAAATTCGGTGGGTAGCATATACACATATATTATCAGTTATATTAGGAACCAGGATTGTAAAATTGTAGCAATATTGTATGAATTAATTTAGTTTAAAATGGGAGAGAATGTGTCTTGCAAAGAACTACATGAAAAACATATCATAATTATGCAACTGATTGAGCTATAAAAAACTGAATGGCTATGCATATATAACAACATAGGCTCTAAAATATCTTACCAAGTTTAAAAGTAAGAAGAATCAAAATATGGAAATAATAATCTATGCTACAATCAATATAATGCAAGCATGCATTATACAGATGTATGCCTCCAGAATTCAATCTCGATGAATGGATCGATGCATAAAAAGGTTTTTAAAAAATACTAAACAATGCTAACCATGAATGCTCGAAGAATAAACATAGTAAAAACTGAGAAGAAACTGTTCATCAAAAGACCCAAACAAGAGTTTTTTATATCCAAATACTATTTCATTAAACGCAGCTGATTATTAGAAATATTATTCCACATTTTGGTACACAGGTATAACAAGTTGGACAAATTTTGTATGTCATCGAAAAATGTCTGTTTTTGTACCTGCTCACATGCTTGTGTTCTGCATGAACTGTTTCATCAACTAGATATTCACTATTCACTATTGGTCTTATTATCCATCAAAATAACCAACCTATTTAAATGAATAGTGCAATGGTGATGACACATACATTTTATACATAAACACTGTAATTAAATAGGTAGAATATCAGGAACCAGGCTCCAAGAATGTAGTAATACAGTATTGATGTACTTTAAATTGACACCCAAAAGAGTCTAAAATTGGCCATGTATGTACATGTATAGCAACAGTTACTCTTAATGTCTTCCCATTATAACCACATTCAACTTTTTCAGTTCTATAATGTATGAAAAATTTCATATACATGTATGCAAGCTTGTAAAGAACACTTGCAACACTACAGGATTGAAACATAAAATGGTAGATATATACAAGGTGATTCTTCTGCAAAAGAATCAAACTTTTAGTTTTTTTGGATCAAATTAACTATTAAAAAAAGAGATGATCATTAGATGTTCTATTCTAATTTATAAAGGATATCATTTATGTTTTAGATTGATGTCTTTACATTCAATTCTTGAATCAAACTTTATTTTTAGATGTTCTATTCTATATTTATAAAGGATGTCATTTATGTTTTAGGTTGATGTCTTTATATTCAATTCTTGAATCAAACTTTATTTCCCAAGTAATACTGACCTGTATGACAAACAAAGCTGCAATTACCTTAATGTTGTCCTTGCCATCTACAAAGCTGCAGAAACGTCAGTGTAAACCGATAATACAGATATTTTGCAGTTACAAAAGGATTTTTTTTTCTGAGGAAAATCCATGCAGGTTTATGTCATTAACTCAAATAAGCATTATTTCAGTAATACTGACCTTGTACAATAATGACATTGAAGCTGCAAGAATCTTGATTTCCATTGGCATCAGCAAAGGTCCAGGTAACTTGGGTGCTACCAATGTTAAAGAAATCTGTTGTTGAATGACTTTGAGAAGTAATTGTCGGGACTTGTCCACTGTTGTCTATTGCAGTAGGTGCAGTAAAGAAGACTTGAGTACTCGTTTGACCTAATCCAACCTCCCGCACGATATCCGCAGGGCATGTGGCAACAGGTGGCGTTCTATCAACTGATAGATAACATTTGGGAAGAATAAATGTACAAGAAGTCAGACTTATTTCAAATCTTTTCACAAGATTTTCACATTTTTACCTTCATACATGTGTCCATAGAAAATGTCTTTCCCTACATTTTCTCGGTAATGAGACCCACAGTTTTCTGGAAGCTTAACATTTTAGTTGTATTATCCCCAGAGCTATCAAAGAGCTGCTAATTATACCTCAAATAAAGTTATGGCCTCAAACGATTCTAGAGTTATATAGCAATGACAAATCACACTAAAATTCGGTGGGTAGCATATACACATATATTATCAGTTATATTAGGAACCAGGATTGTAAAATTGTAGCAATATTGTATGAATTAATTTAGTTTAAAATGGCAGAGAATGTGTCTTGCAAAGAACTACATGAAAAACATATCATAATGATGCAACTGATTGAGCTATAAAAAACTGAATGGCTATGCATATATAACAACATAGGCTCTAAAATATCTTACCAAGTTTAAAAGTAAGAAGAATCAAAATATGGAAATAATAATCTATGCTACAATTAATATAATGCAAGCATGCATTATACAGATGTATGCCTCCAGAATTCAATCTCGATGAATGGATCAATGCATAAAAAGGTTTTTAAAAAATACTAAACAATGCTAACCATGAATGCTCGAAGAATAAACATAGTAAAAACTGAGAAGAAACTGTTCATCAAAAGACCCAAATAAGAGTTTTTTATATCCAAATACTATTTCATTAAACGCAGCTGATTATTAGAAATATTATTCCACATTTTGGTACACAGGTATAACAAGTTGGACAAATTTTGTATGTCATCGAAAAATGTCTTTGTTTGTACCTGCTCACATGCTTGTGTTCTACATGAACTGTTTCATCAACTAGATATTCACTACCGGTATGCACTATTGGTCTTATTATCCCCAAAACTAACCAACCTATTTCATTGAATGGAGCTATTGTGATGACTCATACATTTTATACATGAACACTGTAATCTAATAGGTAGAATATCAGGAACCAGGCTTCAAGAATGTAGTAATACAGTATTGATGTACTTTAAATTGACACCCAAAAGAGTCTAAAATTGGCCATGTACACTGTATGTATAGCAACAGTTACTCTAATGTCTTCCCAAGTTATAACCACATTCAACTTTTTCAGTTCTATAATCTATGACACAGTTCATGTACATGTATGCAAGCTTTTAAAGAACACTTGCAACACTACAGGATTGAAACATAAACTGGTAGATATATACAAGGTGATTCTTCTGCAAAAGAATCAAACTTTTAGTTTTTTTGGATCAAATTAACTATTAAAAAAAGAGATGATCATTAGATGTTTTATTTTTTATTTATAAAGGATATCATTTATTTTTTTAGGTTGATGTCTTTACATTCAATTCTTAAATCAAACTTTATTTCCCAAGTAATACTGACCTGTATGACAAACAAAGCTGCAATTACCTTAATATATTCCTTGCCATCTACAAAGCTGCAGAAACATCAGTGTAAACCGATAATACAGATATTTTGCAGTTACAAAAGGATTTTTTTTTTAATTTCTGAGGAAAATCCATGCAGGTTTATGTCATTAACTCAAATAAGCATTATTTAAGTAACACTGACCTTGTACAATATTGACATTGAAGCTGCAAGAATCTTGATTTCCACTGGCATCAGCAAAGGTCCAGGTAACTTGGGTGTTACCAATGGTAAAGAAATCCGTTGTTGCATGAGTTTGAGAAGTAATTGTCGGGGCTAGTCCACTGTTGTCTATTGCAGTAGGTGCAGTAAAGAAGACTTGAATACTCGTTTGACCTAATCCAACCTCCCGCTGGATATCCGCAGGGCATGTGGCAACAGGTGGCGTTCTATCAACTGAAAGATAAAATTTGAGAATAATAAATAATTGAGGAGTCAACCAATTTCAAATCTTACTCAGTAAGCTACTGAATTGATTTGTGGCATCTGCCTTGCACAATCACATTGATTCATATGGTTTGCTCTGTACTAACCAACATGAGTTTACGGCAGGAAGAAGTTGCGTGACCCAATCGGTTAATGTATTACACAACTGGAGTTCTTCCATGGACAAGAGACACATACCTGCCAACATTTGAAAATAAGAATTAGGAATTTTTAGCACGATATGCCTTTGAAAATAAGAAATCGCACTTGCAGCGGCAGTGTATTATGGCAATACGCAGTAAATCTGTACCAAAAAGCGAATAAAAATTGCTGCTCGATCATGCAGCCATTCAATGCACATAATACATGAACTCTGAAATCGCAGCACATTATAAAACAAGCTTAACTTGGCTTTAGCACTAAATAAATGTATTAAAAAATTTATTTAAAAAAATTATTTTAAAAAAAAAATTGAAATTTTGAAAATTCGGAATATCCAGATTTTCAGGTCCTAGAAATCCCCCGAAACAGAATATTCCGGATTATTCGGAAGGGTTGGCAGGTATGGAGACATCAAACAAGAATAGATGCTGTGTTCCTTGATATTTCAAATGCCTTTGACAAAATGCCTCACCCTGTCTTGCTCTCTAAACTAGCTGTAGATTTCAATATCCAGGGTCAATTGTGGCACTGGATATGTTCATTTTCCTCTGGGCAGATTCAACGTGTTATTTTCATGGGCTCTACCTCCAATCAGGGGTACCCCCAAGGGAGTGTCCTTGAACCAAAGCTGTTCAACTTATTTGTCAACGACTTGCCTCTCTCAGATTTTCCCAAATGTGTTCTCTTTGCTGATGATGTACTCCGATTGATGAAGTCCAATTCTAAGATGATCTAAATGCTCTGCATTTTTGGGCCCATAGGAATAACATGATATTCAACGCAGCAAAGACTAAGATTATGCATGTGACAGAAAAAAATTGTGCCATTGATTCGCTAAAAAGTAAAAGAAGGGACTGTTAAGGAGCTGCCGCGCAACGCAACTCCGCATCCAGCCGAAGTTGCAATTTCGCATTACAATGTACATTATGATAGGGGTATATATCGGATACCAAATCTGCCTGCGATACATTACTAGCTTAAAGGGATCTGTTGCAGAGGGCGCTGACACAAAATAATTTTTTTGTGAAATAATGAAAAACTGAGTGTCAAATTTTAAAGAACATACAATTTAAATGACAAAATCATCTTTGTTTGATCAAAATTGGTTCAGAGACGGCTGAAATATCCATAATTATTACGATTTCTAATACTAATTGTGTACCACCACAAATATTAGATAATTTGAAAAATCCTTTGAAAAAATGAAATAGCGCCTTTTACGTCGTATTTCAGCCAATGCTGATGTTGGATTTTTTGTTGGCATTTGCGTGTTGTATTACGTCGAGCCGAGCCGGTCCATGTATTGTTATTTTAAATTAAATAATTAATTAACGGTCACCATATTTTTTTTTAAAGTGGAGCTAAATTGGTATGATCCTATTGGCTAAATTTCCTACATTTTGGGGTCTAAAATTACCTTCATAGCAATTTTATGTTCTAAAAGGGCACTAGAAATGTCATACATAAAAATAAGAGCAATAACCATGCACTAATTTGAAGGCATTCGCGGTCTGAAAACAGAACTCAACTATCCCTTTGACACAAGCCGATTTTTGTACTCTCACAAACAAATGCCTCCTGTTCATCCAAGCGTGAGCACATACCACACAAAAATTATACTTAATGATTTGGGATAAAACACTCTTTCAAAAGATGTATAATAGTCTTCTGTTCATAGATAATTTTTTCAATGATTAGCAATTTTCTAGGTGTAAACTTTAATTTGACTCACACGGTACTGTTTAAATCCTTATCATTGGACATACACATGTGATGTTGTGATGCAATGGTAGACTTACTTGCTACAAGATTGACAAAGAATTGACAGGTTGCAGCAAAATTGTTTGATCCATCTCTAAATCTGTAGGTAACTTGAGTTTGACCAACTACAAAGAAAGCCCCTGGTAAGTGGCTGCTGGAATCAAGAATGGCTACACCACTGTTGTCCGTTGCAGTAGGTGTAACAAAATTAACCGATGCAGATGTTGTACCAAACTCGACAGTCTGGGTGAAATCCTGAGGACAGTTCACCACTGGTGGAATAGTATCAACTGAAAGATTCAAATAAGATGAAATTGGAAAAAAACATTTTAAAGAAATATCTCAAGGGCAATTTCTTATAAATAAAAAAGAAAATGTTTACAATGTTTCAACTATTGATGTGCGTATACAGTGCGTCCTAGAAAAAACGAAACCAAGAATTATTGATGTTTTTTAATAACTTAATCACAATTATAATTAATAAATGACACATATCTGTAAAACTTAGATTCTCCTCTTTCATTTGATGCAACTCATATGATGAATATTTCTTGCATGAGTGATTAAAAGCAATTTGAAGAGAGGAAACCAAAAGGCCATTTGAAGAGAGGAAACCAAAAGGCAATTTGAAGAGAGGAAATCAAAGAGTCATTTGGCGGACGGTATCTGAATTTCAAAGAGAAAATCACATTGGTTGTGCTAGATGTGCATGTATATCACTAGCCACAGTAAGGCAACGTATCTTGGTCATCAAGAAATGCATCTGTGTCATGAATTTAGCACTCTTACTCCAAAGTTAAATAAGGTTACTTTTTATGGAGAGTTCATCACACCTGTGACCTAGGGCAGTTTTTCAGTCACCTCTTAGTCAAATGGAGCGCCTTGAGCACCTTGCATGGTGGATATGTGCGCTATATAAATATCTGATATTATACAACTCACTCCCAGATCCTAATCAAATGATTGGTCATGCACGGTCACGTGTGGTTCCTTTACTGAGCTTATTGCACTCGTTTTCATGAAAAGGAGTGCAATATTTTCCAGTACTATTGAACTCGTTTTCAGAGCGCAGTAGTGCGCGTAGAGGTTCGAGCGCTATACTGCGTGAGCATGAGCCAATTCTTGCGCAGTACTATGTGTAAATGAGTATAGAGGTAATTAGTGCGCTTGCTATATCTATAGCTATGTGTGCGCACTAACTTAAGCCTCATTAAACCTGAGATTTATTTGTCAGCCATATACTGTCACAAAACAATCTTGAATGAATTCTTTTTACATCAAATAACAAGGATCTAGGAGTTTCGTTGTATAAAACAAATGATGCATGTTTTCATTCGTTCATTATACGATCTATCCGCCCTCGTTGATGCTGTGTGTATCTATCACACTCAGCTTAACTGCTTCATGTGATAGATACACACAGCCTCAACTCGAGTGTGGATAGATCGTATAATGAACTCATGCGCATGCATCATTTTTATATTATTAAAATGCATTATCTTTTGATAGTGGAGTCCAAAATATTAAGCCTTAAACACAGGTTCAAATTTTTCTCTAAATATAACCCTATTTTGGGTATATCGAGTGCAATACAAAAAAGTACCCTCTTTTCCAAAACATTTGCCCGATATTGATAGTAAAAGGGGCATTTTCCTTTTTGAAACATGTGAAATTTTGGGGGTGAAATCCATGAACATCCCTGTAAATACCGGTAGCCCCTTTTTCATGAACTATCATGCACATGCACACACAAAGTCACTATGGTGTGACATAACCAGGGACAGATTTAATCCACTAAATGTGATTCATGACTTAAGGACATGCACCTGTGTTATAAATTTTGATGATCATACCTGAACACTGTTAGATGTTATTCAGAATACAGAGCAGAGAGTACAGAATTAGACATTTCAAACAAAAACGGCCAAGGTCAAGGAATTTACCAAAGTAGTTGTTATAATTAACTAATGCTACGGTCACAAAGGTTTGTATGAACGATAATTTTGTACGAATCTCCGTTTTTCCATTGTTTTCCCAAATTTCCAGTCTGAAAATAGTTTGTACGGCGTTCGTAGCAGTTCGTAATGGCATTTGTGACCGAGGCTTAAGGAAAACATTTTATATTCAATGTTGCTAATCATGTACATATTGTAAGGCCATGCATCCAGTTATATAAAACTCAATCAGTTGCATATTGTAGATTTAGACATATTTTCTGTTATTTTTAAACTAGATTGGATTAATCAAGAAGATTTGAATTATATCCTAAGATCCAAGTGCAGTAAATGTCATTGCTGATTTCGCTTATTATTTTACCATTCCATTCTACACCCTAATAAAGGTGAAGATAAGTAATCAAAAACTGAGGATTGCAGAACAAAAAAGGGGATAAAAAGTGGATTTTGCTTGAGCATTTTAAGGAATTTATTTCTGCCAGATACCCATTTACCTCACCAGGGTGGCCATTATCACAAATGTAGATTAAAGTCTTGCGAAAGGATATTAGTGCTGTGACAGGGATTTGAACCCAGGTGTTAAATGGGTACCGGTAGGAAGGAATTCCTTAAAATGCTGTGAGCGTCGAATCGGCAGCCTAGCATAGCCGGGTAATGTTGGAGCGCCTTGAGGACCTTGCAAGGTCGATACGTGCACTATATAAGAATCCAATATTATTATTATTATGAATAGCAAATCATGTTGATTATTAGATACATTCTTCTACATTTATGTAAGATATTTTTCATTTTTAGGTAGATGCCTTTATATTCATATCTTATATCAAACTTAGTGTAATCTACATTTGCCACTCTCCACCCAGGTGTAAATGGGTACCTGATATGCTTGAGCGCCAGTTACTTTGGCAGCTCGGCTATAACCAGGGTAATGTGTGTAAAGCGCCATGAGTGTCAGAGCCTGGCGGATACCGGCACTATATGAATATCCATATTCCTATTCATATGCATCGCGAAAATTCTACATCATTCGGGCCCTAAAGCGTTATCGGGCCCTTGTGGAAAACCTCCTCACAATTTATACGTGCTCCATCCGACCTGTGCTTGAGTAGTGTGTTCCAGTTTGGAATTCATCCATTACATCCGAACAGGTCAATGATATCGAGAGATTAAAGAAAAGAGCCCTCCGTATCATTTGTCATGATTGATACCACAGCTGTGACCATGCCCTCCATATTTCAGGTCTACAATCCCTCTCTGACAGAAGGGAACATCTTTGCCTAAAAGGTTGGCAGAATCGCTTTACAAACTCTTTCGCGACTGGCTCCCAGAGATGTAGAGCACGAATCGACGATTGAGACACAGTGAAAGATTGAGAGACTTTAATTAAATGCTGAATTGAAAAATTGAAAGACTGAGAAATAGCACTTTTCCCTACTCGGTAAGGACTCTGAACGAACATTTTTTCTGATGTCAATAATTGTGTATATCTGACATCACCCTTGCGGTAATATAGAGTGAAATGCATTGCCAGTGATAGTGCAATAGGTGTATAATCATTGAATTCTTTAATCAATTATCAATTATTTGATATTTAATTGTGAATTAATATTATATTAATAGCATTGAATTTTAAATAACGATTAATACTTGAATATGAATGAATTCACACCGATCACCGAGTATATTTAGCAAGTGCAATATGTTTATTTTTATTTTTTATAATCAACAAATTTTGATATTCTTCGCGAATTTGCAATGTTACTCGCTTTATTTCTTAATCCATTATGAAATTCAATTCCAATATTTCCAATATTTTCTACAAACGACACAAAATCAACCCTTCGGCATGCTAAATTTGTAATAGTAATGGTTTTAATGTTAATTTCAATAGTATATTTTTAGAATGTTTCAGTTAAGATTTTAATTGCTTATTAATCAAACTTAATGATAGTTGCCATTATTATTGTCATTTGGTCACTTTTATTTGAATTTCAATGTTCATTGCCTTGACTGTTTTAATAATTATTGTATAATTACTTTTATCATGAAAATATATTTGTAAACTGTTGTAACCATTGCAATTCAGCCTTTGGACTGCGAGAATGGATAATTATCAATAAAATCCTTCAATCAACAATCAAATCAATCATATCTTAAATCAAACTTAGTGTATTTCCAGTAATACTGACCTAGTATGACAAAAAAGCTGCAAGTACTCTAATGTTGTTCTTGTCATCTACAAAGCTGCAGATAACTTACGTCAGCTAGTGTAATCGATTTTAAAGATATTTTGTAGTTACAAAGGAAATGTTTTATTTCTGAGATAGATGCATGCAGGTTCATATTATAAACTCAAAAAATCGTTATTTCAGTAATACTGACCTTGTACAACAATAACATTAAAGCTGCAAGAAGCTTGATTCCCACTGCCATCAGCAAAGGTGTAGGTAACTTGGGTGATACCAAGGCCAAAGACATCATTTGGTGCATGAGTTTGAGAAACAATTGTCGGGACTACTCCACTGTTGTCTGTTGCAGTAGGTGCAATAAAGAAGACTTGACTACTCGTTTGACCTAATCCAACCTCCCGCTGTGTATCCGCAGGGCATGTGGCAATAGGTAACACTCTATCAACTAAAAGATAAAATTTGTGAAGAATAAACGTATGAAAATTGAGGACGTATGAGGAGTTGGACTAATTTCAAATCTCATCGTCAGATTTTCATATTTTTACCTGTTTACATTACATGTGTCCATATAAAATGTTCTTCAACTATATTCTCTCTGTAATGAAAACCAAAATTTTCAATAAATTTGACCCATAAAGTTTAATATTTGGTTGTACAGGGTTCAAGTCCTTTGGCAAGACATTAATCTAATTTGCCACTCTCCACCCAGGGGTAAATGGGTACCTGCTATGCTTGAGTGCCAATTACTTTGGCAGCTCAGCTATAACCAGGGTAATATGTGATTTAAAGCCCATGAGCGTCAGAGCCAGGCGGATACTGGCGCTATATAAATATCCATATTTACATGTATTATCCCCAAAGCTAATAACGGGTGGCTAATTCAATTCAAGTGTCTGCCTCAAATGATTCTAAATCTATTTTGCAATGACACATAACTCACAAATTTTGTAGATAAAAAATATACACATTCTTCATAATAAAGTTATGAGGAGGTACACGGATTTGGAAAAATTTAAATTGGTGGAATATCATTAACTGCAAAATGAATAGTTAGTGCTAGGTACATAGATGGCTCCAACAGGGATATGGTGTTCACCTACATTTTTTTTGCAGAATCTGAAGTAAAATTTAATGCTAAAAGCAATGCCACCGACAGATTTTAAAAAAATCGGTGCTCAAAGTGCCTAAATGTTATGTTTTGGTGGCCGGCCAAAAAATGTTTGGATGCATTTCCTGATTTATATTATGCATGGAATATTTAAAGGAAATAGCAACTTAGCAGAACAAATTTTTGCTATAAATACCATGCTTACTGCATAATCTACAACAAATAAATAAACTACCTAGATTATCATAGAGGGGTTAAGTGAAATAAAGGCAGAAAGACATAAATACATGAATCTGCTACTACTACTACTCTTACTACTACTACTACTACTACTACTACTACTACTACTACTACTACTACTACTACTACTTGTACTACTACCTTTATACTACTAGTCTACTACTCTACTACTACTACTACTCCTACTACTACTACTAATACTAGTACTACTACTACCACTATTACAACTACTCCTACTACTCATAATTCTAATACTATAGTATTATTACTACAACTACTACTAGTACTACTACTGCTACTGCTAATTGCAGTACTGCTACTACTACTTGAACTACTACACTACTATACTACTACTACTACTACTACTACTACTACTACTACCACTACCACTACTACTACTATTACTACTGCTACTTACTTCTACTAATCACACTACTACTACTACTACTACTACTACTACTATTATGCTACTACTAACACTACTACTACTACCACTACTATTACTACTACTACTACTACTATAGTTACTACCGCAGCTTCTGCTACATCTTGGTATTTCTAGAACTCCATTGCAATTGTTTTTAAATGTACGTCTGTTATTAATACTATTGCTACTCCAGCTGCAATGAGAAACTTGGAGATCATTAGAGGCCATGAATTGAAATTTCCTGAAATTATTTGACTGTTATTTCAGGTATATATTCTTGCTTTGTCTATTCATCAAAATACATCATTAGGGTTTTTTTTTTGTAACTAACACACTTGCTCATGACATAAATTATCAAACTGAACATCATGTTCAATTAAGCTGCACAAATCTGCAATAATATAATAATATAAATTCTGCTTTACATGTCCTTCATCTACCATAATGCATTCCTAGTCCATGGCAATACCAGTGATACAAGACACATTTCCATAATTGACATAACAATATGGATAAGGAATATCCAAGTTGTTATTTCAAGTGTAAAGGGTGATCCGGTTGTTGCACTTTGTGATAAACATAAAAATTGCTTGATACACCATGGTTGATCCATAAAGTCATCTGTGTTGGATACAATATAGTATACAATTCAGTACTTATATAAGTCAGAATTGAATTTTCCTCATTTTTAGGCTTAGAGAAAATATTTAGCCAACTTCAGTATTCAGTTCAATATTTATGGATAAGTATTTACGCTACTTCTAATTTCAAAGCTGTGCAAGAATGCACAAATTACAAAGCAGGTAGTTAATGCAACATGTTTTTATATTGCACATAATTGCATTAAAAAGGTCATCAGTAAGTATTTTTGCTGAGAATCATTTACTGCAACACATAATTGCATGTAATTTAAATAGTACTAGCTTGAGCCAGCTTACTTAGCTAAGCTGACATAATACTGACATAATTCATAATACTGACATAATTCAAGTAGATAGTGACTGGAGTGACTGGTTCTGAGGCATCTTCAGTTAAAGTGGCTACTCCAAGGGTCAAGTAGCATATTACTAACACTAGTCCGAAACTGACATAGGCTACTGGTTACATTTTAAGAACAGTATACGGTAGTTCAATCAATTTATACTTTCTTTTTTTATAACTGTGTTGTGATAAAAAGTGAGGGGAAAATGCATTTATGGACAAAAAAGAGATGTCCAGGGATGTACTTGCACATAGAAGATTAAAGCTGGTCATTGCTGGGCAAGCTAAACAATTAAGAGCTGTTAGTCCAATCAATATGTTATATAGCTAAGCAATTATTGGTGCTCCTGCTTTATGTTAGCCTATTCCTTTTGTCTGTGCTTCGACTGCTTCTATGCATTGGCTAGGTTGGGTATAATACCTGCAATCACAGAAACAGTGAATTCACAAGTGGCTACATTGCCTCGCATATCAACGCCAGTGTATATCACGATAACTGTTTGCCCTGCATCAAAGAATGATCCACTTTGTCTCGATGAAACAAAGCTTTGGACCCCGCTTGGGTCAAAAGCGAAAGGTTCAACCCATGTGATCAATGCTCCCGCATCATTTATGCCAACGGTTTCTGTTATGGAACCTGGACAGGTGAATGTTGGGCCTGTAATATCCACTGTAGTTGAAAGAAACACACATAAAGCAAATGATAGAACTTCCTAACTTCATGTATTCAAGAGTCATGTCAGACCAAGTTATCTTGTCATTTTAAATATGGTGTGTACAAAAATAATCAAACTAGATTTTAAATGGCCATATCTCAACCAAACATGATGAATCTTTGTACTTGAGTGTTCTTACCAAATCACCCACAATAAAGGCTTGTTCAGATATGAGGCAGCAAAACCCCTGCGTTTTTAATGACGTAAAGTGTAATACACTTCACATTTCTGTATCTTATAACATAGAGCTCAGTGTATACGTACAAGTCCATTGTTGCACAAGATTGTCATTCATGTTTAAGACATGAACAAAATGTGGTGGCTTTTTTTGTGGCTGTTCACAGCGTCATATCTCAATAAGCTTAAAGCAATGGTCACAACTCAATGTGGCGACCGATCGATTTGTAGCCTGCTCGGTCGCCGCTGGAAGATAGGCATCGCCCAATGATTTTTGGAGAAGTCGAGGAGGCTGTAGAGCCCCAGCGATGCCTGGGCGGTGCCCTGTCAATTTCCCGCCGTTCGCCTGTCAAATTTGGATCAAAACTGGGCGAAATCAGGGAACTTCTTCGGGCAGCGTCCCGGCAGTGACTGACTAATGAACCCCTGATTCGCGAGCGGTCTCCTACCAGCCACCGGCTTATTCTAAAGAAATTGCTCAGGGGCCAGGAGGTGAACGGCGAGGCACCAAAATACGCTCGAGCGTTTGCCATCAAGCGATATAGGTCAAAAATCAAGGCCGCTAGGTCAAAGGCTGCCAACCAATTTCGAACTCACCGCCCAGTGACCGACAGATCTCCCAGCGGCGACTGCTCAGCAGTCTTTGACCTAGCGGCTTCGATTTTTTACCTAAATCACTCGACGGTGAAAGCTCGATTAGGTCGGTGCCCAGGCACCGAGAGCATTTTAGGTCGCAAGTGAAAAGTGAGCAGGCGCCGCCGAATTTTAACTTCGCGTTAAAACTTCAGCGGCGACCAAGCGATGCTATGAAAACAAGCGGAGCCTGGGCAAAATTGGCTAAAAACTCGCCACCCGGCCGCCGAGCAGGCCACTTTTGGGGGATGTGACCATAGCTTTAAGCGTATACCCATTGCCAGAACATTTGATGTAAAATGTACTTACATGTGCTTCTTCAACTCGTGATATTTCAATCATTATGACACAGAGGGAATTTACTGTATTGAAGAAATATAGTTTTACCTACCGGTAGTCATCTCAAATAATAACAGACTACCTGAACTCTTACAACTTAACACTTACCCGGGTAATCCTAAGAAGAAAAGAGGAAAATCCAGGACAATAGAAGTCCTAAAATCAACTGTTAATCCACAAGACAGCTAAATAATCCTGGTCCTCATTTGAATAGAACTGTGTAACCACAGAATACAACTTTTACTATACAGTGTGAGTCAAAAAAAAGTTTACACCTAGAAAATTGGTAATTATTTAAAAAAATCATCAATGAACATTAAATTGTTATATGTCTTATGATAGGGTGTTTTATCCCAAATCCTTTGGTACCATTTTTGTGTGGTATGTGTTCACGCTTGGATAAACAGGGGACATTGTTTGCGAGAGTGAAAACATCGACTTGCGCCAAATTTGCCTATGTGATGTTTGAATAAAACAATTGGGATTTGGGTATTAATTCGGTCTTTGCAGATCCAAATAACATCCCTAACAAAATTTATCATGCCACACATATCAAATATCGAATATCAAATATCAACGAACATTTGTGCGTGCGTGTGTGGGTTTGTGTGACTTTGCCCTTTGCAAAAAAACATATGCAATGCATTTCATTTGATACATTCAATCCATTCTCTCACTCCGCTAATCCCAACATAATACATACTGTAGGCATCACTTTGGCGCAAGTCGATTTTTGCACTCGCAAACAATGCCACCTGTTCATCCAAGCATGAACACATACCACACACAAATGGTACCAAATGATTTGGGATAAAACACTCTTTCATAAGATGTTTAATTATTTACTGTTCATAGATGATTTTAAAAATGATTAGAAATTTTCTAGGTGTAAACTTTTTTTGACTCACTCGGTACAGTGCGTCCCAGATAAAACGACACCGAGAATTATCAATGTTTTATCATAACTTAGTCACAGTTATAATTAACAAATGACACATATTTGGAAAGCTTAGAACCTCCTCTTTCATTTGATGCAATTCATATAATGCATATTTCATGCATGAGTGATTAAAATTAATTTGAAGAGAGGAAACCAAAAGTCATTTTGAAACAATCTTATCACTGGATGAAGAACATGCCAGGGCATGCACTCTCACCCAAATTTCCTCCATAAAAACAGCAGTATTCAGAGGATTACCAATGAGGTCGAAACCAAGTGAAATCCAAATTTTTTCAGAACTTTCGTCAATTACGATTGACTCAAAATAATAATAATAATAATAATAATAATAACAATATTCGGTTCTTGTATAGCCCATATCACATTATATAACGTCCCTATGGGTTTCCAAAGAGCTTTGGACATGATTACTCTAGCTTTATTTGACAGCCATCAGCACACGGTGCATTTCAAGGAATAATCCTACCAGGTACCAATTTACCTCACCCGTCTTGAGTGTGGCAAATGAGGATTAAAGGTACAGTTCTGATCATGCGATTGCATTGTGAAAGAAACGTGGAATCGATCAGAAAAGGTTGATCATCTAGCATACATGTATAAGTATTGGTGTGTACTGTAAGGTTCTGGAATCATCAAAACGATAAGAAATTTGGCCCAGTCTTGGTAAAGTTACAAGCACTGTACACAGAAAGATATATGGGACTACCTTATATCTATCCAGTCCAGATAGATATATTAATTAATCAAATATATCAATTAGTAGGCTGTTTCCCGGCAAAATTTGTATCATCACGTATTAGTCGAAACATATTCTTTTACATGATTGGTAATAAGAGCTTCCATTTAAATTTTTGAGAGGGGGGGGCATTTCCAAAACTGGTCTTTACCTTTAATGTCTTGCCAAAGGACAATTAGTGCAGCAGCAGGACTCGAACTGCGGACTATTATTTGTCTGCAGTACGATTGTATAGCAGACAAATGTTGTTTGTATCGTTAATGAATGCATACTTATGTTGGGTCCGGGGCTGTGCCCCGATGGAATGTAATTTGCATAGGCAGCTCGTACAGGTGTGCGAGCTAATTCTGCCACGGAGACCAGGGCGTGGCATGAATTAGTGTGTAATTGAATCATTCTAGCTTGAGCTTTCAACGAGACAACTTTTATTTACAATAAAAGTGCGTTGTGTCATGTACTGTTACATGACTGTGTTTGAATAAGGTTTTCCAGAGTTTTTATGCTCGTTGAGTTTTATCTCTGGTTTTTTATCCTGGACCATGATAGGTCCGGTTTCCAGCGAAGGAAACGGTTTCCAGTGAAGGAAACGAGAAGAAATGTTTGTTAAACATTCATACTGAATAAATGGCCGGCTCTCAGTAGTCGTTGTCAGGCTATTCCACAATAATTGAAGTGTATTATTGTGTTATTTGTGTGTATTGGAAGTCAAGAGGGATGACAGACGAAATAATATGTGAGATTATAGGACAGACCTTGTGTTCCACAGTCTGGTGACATATCCACTAGACCACGACACCTCTACTAAAATTTTCTCAATAAACATATACCTGTACAGAGTAACTTATTTGGTATCATTCCAAAGGGTATTTCATTGTGGTAATTTTGACACCATTGTCATTGTTATTCAATACATAGTCAATTTATCAATTTTGGCGATGACGTTACGATGACGTTGCGATGACGTCACAAAATGTCACACTATATGGATACAAATGATTTCCAATTAGATTCATATATCTAGGTACGGTATAAGGTTCACAATTTTGTAAAGTCAATAATTGGTAGGATTGTCGTCCTATTGTTGTCTTGTGGTTCTTGAGATACCTTGACAACGAGGCTAATACCTGTAATGTTATAAATTGACTTATATGACCTTTGACTTGGATCTACTCAATCTAAAATCTAATCAGACCATCTTCCTATGGTGAAACATACTATCACCAAGTTTGAAGTTCATACCTTAAAGGGTATTCCAACCCTTGTAATAAGTTCATTTGTATGAAACCAGAAAAATAAGAGAAACATATAATGGCGAAAGTTTGAAATAAATCTGACCAATAATAAGAGAGTTATGAATGATTGAAATATGAAAATCACTAAAGGTATGCAAAATCTCAATTTGGCAGTTGTGTCAGTGGATCGTAACCTAGTCACGGACTACTCTTATGTTTGTCGTTTGCAAAAATATCATAAATTTCAGTTGTTCACCCTTGGGGCAGTACTCCAAATATGTTATGGATAGTGTATTATTTTAGGTCCTTTAAAGAGAAACGACCCTCCAGAGTCATATATTTTATATAGGGTGTGCTGGGATAAATACCATTCATTTCTCTCATCCTAAGAAATCTGGATATTGGACTTATTGATGTTGGTACTAGACTATTTTTATGTCTTTGAACATATTATCTAGCAGCTGAAAGATAATTATCTGCACAGCCATCAATATCAGAAGATTAAAATGGGGGGGGGGGGCATATTAAGGAGGAGACTAAATAAAGATATTGTCACTAGGGTCCTAAAGGCAAAATAATATAAATACAATATACTTACATACTGCCGTCCAAGTAACTTCAAAGCCCAGTAGCTCAATATTTTTGTCAGTTTTCCATGTGATGAATGCAGAATCTGTGTTGAACAGCGTTAGAGGTTGTGGCACAATACTATTCTCGTAAAAATATATCTGTTTCGATGGCGTATCTGTCCCGTTCAAATCCAGTATATCATCATACGTTAGACCTGCTCCAATATAAAGTTCATCCTTGCGTTGTTCTACTTGAAACGGATCACTGAAAACGAAGGTGATTTCAGTAGCTCCAGGAATGAACAAGAGGTAGACCCTTACTTCCCGGAAATTATATGGAGCTGGGTAGTTTGGTGAAGAGTATCTACCGCTTTGACACTCTGTTCCATAGCAAGATTCTAAAACCCTGGTAACTGGTTATGCAAACAAAAAGAAAGAAAAAACATAAAACAAATTTAGTTTCAGATTCAAAAGTATGTTATATGTATGTTTTGATAAATATTTGTTCTGCCATAAATACCGGTAAGAAACACTGGCTAAGTTTTTTGTCATATATATATATACATACACACACACACACACACACACAGTCATTTTTCAAAAGTTAAAGGCCACCTAGAATTGTGATGATAATTCTGTCACTGAGCTTGCATAATATTATCTCATTTAACAGTTACATACTAGGTATTTTACAGTGGTGCTATGATCCCACTTGACTATTTTTGGGGGGCAAAGGCAGGTGTTTTACGACTTAGGAACATGGTTTTAAAAAATGGCCAGGTTCAAAGGGCCCTCAAAGTGACCTTCCATCAAGAGGGCCACACTGATAATTTAAATGTCATTACAGTAAGGTAGGGCATAGCAAGACTGATGTGCACAATTCCATTACAAAATTTGAAAAAGAAATATGTGGTTGTTTATGTTGGGACGAATCCTGCTCAAACTCTCATTGAGATATCAATGGAGCTCTGACATAATTTAATTTTATATTTAAGCACCATCTTTTGCCGTTTGTTTGAGTACGTTATTTAATCATTAATTTAAGTTCAGATTTTCTTCGAGTTAATGCCCTTGTTGTGGGTGGTCTCATAATATATATATATATATGATGTAATAAAAACTGAATGATGAGTTGGAAACTAATTGTGAAATGAATCTTTCATCCATACATGAAAATATTCTTGGAGATCATCAAGCCATGAAAGTTAATTACAATGATGAAAAATTACAAAATTACTTACAGACATTCTGAGAGCAATCGTAACCCACTTGCATATTTGTACATAAACAAGCGTATGATGACACTGTAGATCCTGGTCTGTTGTAGCATGTCTCACCATTGGAACACTGGTTCGGCACACAAAATTCTGCAGAAACGGGCAAGATTGAACAAGAAAAGTGATTCAGCAGGAGAATTTTTGTTTTGAATGTGCATATTTGTTTCAATTATTACTACAGGACACAGGGTAGTGGGAAACCAGATACAGGATTCTCAATCTGAAGGGCGGGGAAAAAGTGGGGGGGGGGGGGGAATTGTCACATCTTTCAGAATCATACTTCTGTATCACTCTAGACTGAAAACAGAAATTAGATTCACACCAATTGTCACACTTTTCTAACAAAACATAATTACATCTTTCAAATATCTGACAAAGCAAGAAATTGTTCTTAGGTTATGTGGGGGGGGGGGGGGGTAGTGGAGGGGAAGGGGTAGGGGTGGAGGAGGAAGTAAGTTAGCATATATAACATTTGAACACATTATGGTGTTGCTTGTAAGTGTCGGCTTGCATAGTGATGTAGATGTACAGTAGGCTTGCGGGTGCACCATGTGAGAGAGAGGGAGGATTGAGGAGTCCTGAAAAAGGACTCTCGGTAATCTTTCTTGAGGGTTTGTAGTCCTGAAAAGGACTGTTGGTATAGTCTTGAAAAAGACTGTTGGTTATCTTTCTTAGCTTATAGTTCTAAGGAGAACTATAGCGCTTGGAGAGGATGAGTGGCGAGAGTGAGCCACTCCCGCCACTCATCCTCTCCAAGCTACTGTACATTATGGTTTATAATATTCACAGATGATTTAGTTTGGTCAGGGGACACACACACCTGCTGGATAGGACATATAATAACACATTGAAGAGCATTATGCCAGATATTTTCACAATTTTAATTTCACAACAATAAACATCTTTTATTGGGTTACACCCAAAGTGTTAAACATGAACTCTGCAGTCATTGGTGAAAAGATGACCCAACAAAACTGGTCATCTACTATTAAGGTAGGCCTACATGTACATCTCTTTAGGGTAAGCATATGCGTGTTCGAACCGACCCCCCCTTTTCAGCTAAAGTCCGGTGTATAAAGTCAATACGGCTCGACCTTTTTCTTTTGTATACAAGCCTTTTTCAGCACCCCCCCCCCTTTCAGCAAAAGTCCGGTGTGTAAAGTCAATACAGGTCGACCTCTTTCTTTTGTTACGAAAAGGACATTTTGGCAACACAGATGGGGTCCGTCCGTTCTCGGAGTGGGGGGGGGGGCCGGGATCTCTACAAAGCCAACATGGAAAATACACAAGTGCATGAATCTGCAAAATATGCTCCTGGATCATCTGTGTGTATTGTGTTAGTATTGAGTTGGCAAAATGAAGTGCCACCATGCAGAAAACATGAACTATCTGGCAAGGTATCTGCAAACACACGGTGTAAACACCTGGGACTTCTACCATGGTAGCGGTATTTCCATTTCTCTCCTTCTCCTTGTTAAACCATGTATTCTCCATGACTGGATCAGGTTCCATGTTCATTCCATATCTCCAGAGGATGCTGGTCTCAATTTGATGGCTATATATACACAGAGACTCCCAAAGATGTTTGGTGGCTGCACAGAGGTATACTGAGACTAGCTACCAGGAGTAATAATTCAGATAGTTTACACATGCGTACTCTGGAGCAAAAGACTGCCCCCCTCCCCCCCCCCCCAAAAAAAAAAAAAAAATAATAATAATAATAATAATAATAATAATAATAATAATAATAATAATAATAATAATAATAATAATAATAATAATAATAATAATAATAATAATAATAATAATAATAATAATAATAATAATAATAATAATAATAATAATAATAATAATAATAATAGTAGTAGTAGTAGTAGTAATAATAATAATAATAATAATAATAATAATAATAATAATAATAATAATATCAAGTTAAGTTCAAATTCAATTTTATTGATCATGCACAATGACATGGCATAAAAATCATTTTCCGGCTGTTTATCAATTTAGTACATCAATTAACATACATGTGGGCCCTACTATTTATACAAAATACAAAATCAGGAATAAATACAGCAAACAATAGAACATGAGTACAGAATGGTATAGGCTTTGGTATAGAAACATAATGACACAAATTACAACCATAGACATACCAGAGATCATAACTGCTATATCATTATATGGTTAAATAGGCAGATTAATAAAGTTTAAATAAATGTGCAGGACATCCATACAGTGCATATCCATAATGACTGATTCTAGACCTAATAATAAGTAACAATTACCTCCTGAACCTTTCATTGTACAGTGTCATGGCATGTATGATAAATGACCCCCTAAATATATTTTTGTTTTAATTGACTTTCAGCAGCCGGACACAACCTGATTTGTTGAAAATAATGTGCATATGTAGAGGATGAGTTTTATCCTCAATGGTGTGATTGAACTTATCGTTTATAGCCGATTCCATTATCTCTTTGAGTTATTTAACCGGTAAGCAAATTTTACCTTACTTGCAGTTTTCAGTACCCTTATCAGTTTCATTTTGTTTTGAGAGGTGACACCAAAGAACCAGACAAGACAGGAGAAGAAGATAATTGGTTTGATGATGCTATCATAGAAGAAAAGAGGAGTCTCCCTTCTGATATTGAATGTTTTCAATTTCCTTAGGAGGTATAACCTTTTGACACAATGTTTTGAGTATTCCAACTTAAATCCTTGTCAATGTGGGTTCCTAGATATTTGTAGTTCGAAACCATCTCGATATCATCTTGATCAATAGCCAACGGCAAAAAGACATTATCCTTTATCCTGAAATCCACAATCATTTCTTTTGTTTTCTAAATATTAAGGATCAGTGACATTTGTTTACACCAAATAGCAAAATCATCCACCTTCGGCAAGTATAAGGTGTAACAGGAAATAACATGGAAAACTAGGAGGATGCCTGAGCAATGATCCATGTTGATTCACATTTTCATCCTTAACCCATTGTCTACCTGGTTCAATGGCATAGCTGATAAATTATGCACTCTTATATAAAAATGAAAACTAATTTATTTTTGATATTTTTGCTAGGATATTCTTCTAAACTGGTGAAAATGAAAGAAAGCTCACAGATAATTGTTTTACCTGTACCAAAACTCAATTATAGCTATTACGTTACCTTTTGAACAGTTCGTTAAAATTTATCATGTCCACATTTTATAACAAGGATGGCCGGCATTGAGATTAAACAAGGGAAACGCTCTCGGCGGTCTCGCCTGCATAACGCAATTCAATATGATACACCAGAACGTCAATGACGTAGCGCTCATCCGCATCTCACAACAACAAATATCGTAAATTTTATGTGGTACACTTTTGAACTGGTCAAAAAATAGAAATTTGATGCCCTGGAAGGGACATAATTTAATTTCATTTGCATAAAGTACCATAAATAATCAATGGAACAAAATCTCACAATTCTGTGTAGAAGTTTAGTGTTCCAAATTTAGCTCTACCAGATAAGGCAAAATCGGTCAAGAAATGAGGGAAAAGAAGCAATTTTTGTTATTTTTGGAATAAATTTGCATAAATTACCATAATTAATGGAGAACAATTTCAAAATTCTGTGTAGAAGTTTAGTGTACCAAAGTTAGCTCTACGATATAAAGCAAACCAAATCAAAATCGGTCGAGAAATGAAGGAGAAGAAGCCTTTTTTGTGATTTCGAATAATTTTGCATAAATTAGCATAGATAATGAATTTCACGATTCTGTGTAGAAATTTTAAATCCCCTCCTAAGCCCCATCATATGAAACAATCAGAATCAAAATCGGTTGAAAAATAACGAAGAAGAAGCATTTTGAAAATCTTAATGTTGATGCCACAACAAAGTCTAAGTTTGTTGACCTTAAATGGCCTTTGACCTTAACTTAGTGACCTGAAATTCTACTCACATGATTGGGGAGACTTGATAACCCTATAGTCCAAGTTTCATTGACTAAGAACTTATACTTTCAAAATTATATCAAAAATTCAAAAACTTAACCTTAGGTTAAGTTTTCGATGATGATGCTACAACATAGTCCAAGTCTGTTGACCTGAAATGACCTTTGACCTTGACTTTGTGATCTGAAATTCTACTCACATGATTGGGGATACTTGATTACCCTATAGTCAAAGTTTCATTGACTAAGAACTTATACTTTAAAAATTATATCAAAAATTCAAAAACTTAACCTTAGGTTAAGTTTTTGATGTTGACGCCGTCGCCGTCGCCGTCGCCGTCGCCGTCGCCGTCGCCGTCGCCGTCGCCGCCGCCGTCACCGGAAAAGCGGCGCCTATGTCTCGCTTTTTGCTACGCAGGCGAGACAAAAAGGAATGCTGGCAATGGAATTACAATTGCAAACAAAGAAAATCTGACATATTTGAACTTCAACAATTACTAAAAATCCTCCTTAATATTCAACATGAAAGATTGCAATGAAACTACTTGTTTTAAAGAGATTAATACACTTATTCTAGTGGAGGAGATCTTGGCTGTTTTTTTCCCCTAAACGCTAGATTGCCAGCCTTTGCTACTCCAACATGCCAGATCTACGAGAATGACACAATAACATATAAAACAATATGATAAAATAGTAGCAAGAAAATTAATTAGTAATGATACAAGAGACAAAGAAAAGGAGAGAAGAAGTAAAACTAAACATGGAGGTTGAAAAGGAGAGGAGTAAAACCAAACATGGAGGTTGAAAAGGAGAAAAGGAGTAAAACTAAACATGGAGGTTGAAAAGGAAACTTCTTCTCTCCTTTTCTGTGTCTCTTATATCATTACTAATCAATTTTCTTGCAACTATTTTATCATATTGTTTTATATGGAAATGCGTATTATATATATATAAAGAGAAATGCAAAGAAAAGATATGAACAAAAATGGAAAGTAAGATAAGAGAAGGAAACCAAAAGATGTCAATGAAGAAATATAAATCAGAAGAGGATTTAATAAAAATAGAAAAACAAACAGCAATAAAAAAGCGAAAATGGAAAAATACACTAAAAGAAGGAAAATCAAAGAATTATATCAGGAAATGTAGAAAGGAAAATTGTCGGAAGAGGACCAAAAATGTATGTAAAGAGATGAGATGAGATTTTTATGCAATGAGTTAAAAAAAAAAAAAAAATGGGTCGTTTGAATAAGTAAAAAATGATACTTCAGATAGGAGGGAAATTTCATTACAAATACATTTGGTGGGCAGGGGCATACACAAAATTCTTTTAAATGTTATTACCTTGAGCTGTAACAAGATGAGGCACCAAAGCTATGAGGGCTACCAGCAGTCCCCAAAAACGGGGCGTTGCCATATTTGGTGAAGGCAGAACGGCTCGGCCGTTATCCAAGGTACAACAAAAAAAGTTGATAAAGTGGATTCCACTTAATATCCAGCAAATAGATTTTGAACCAATGCAATGGTCAAGGAAATCAAATCTCTAAACGAAGAAGAAAACGACAGAAGAACGGAAGACGGAGACTTGGTCTGTATAAACCAAAATTCAAAGAGTGAGAGGTAGAGAGGCACGTACTCCCTGATAGCACAACCTGTCTGCTGTGAAAACTTATCCTAATAACTGCTTGATGTTATATCCTTCTCTCTAAGACTCTCTCTCTCTCTCTCTCTCTAAACTGTGATAGGAGTGGTGGTGCATCACAATAAAGAAATGCGTGGGTGAGTGTGTGTGTGTCCTGTAGCTCTTTTTCTCAGGGGAACACCGAGCCAACACCCAGTTCTCCACTCTTTCGATTTCTCTCTCTCTCTCTCTCTCTCTCTCTCTCTTCATTCTTCATATTTCCTCTGGAGGCATGCCTAACAATAGGGTAGAACGCTGATTGGTTAATATCAACAAACCCTAAAAAATTGTATACCTCTAGTTGAAGGTCAATGAACAATATGTGGGAACCTGCACAACCTGACACTGTCTATATGTCTCCATCAAAATGTGTTGAATATCGACAGAACTATTATAACTTTGTCTTGTTTCGTATTATTTATATATTGAGTCCTTCATGACTGATAAATTTTCTAATACAATACATCAAATAGTGATATGAATTAGAAATTATAGAAATTCAGATATCGATAGGTTGCAAATTTGATTTTGATTCAGATAGATGAAAATAGTCAATATCATTCAAGAAACACAGTAACATCAATATTTGTAGATTAAAATACATCAGTGCACACTAGTCATTTCCAAAGAATGGAGGGACTTGAGTTCTCTCTCTTCTTTCGACAAGATATTACATCCAGTCCATATGTTTGAAACTACATACAATTTAGGCAATCAAAACCATTTAGTGGTGTGTTAATTCATACAGAGGTACATGTAGATTGTTATGTTAAGAAACATCATGATAATAGGCCAGTTATTTCATTTACCTGTAACAAATAATTTTATTTCATAAGTCAGAATGCGAATTGCATATATAATTATATCCTTCACAGTCCTTGACCTCATTTACTATTTAAGTTTCCCTCAATTAACCTAAACTGACACACAATATCACTGAAAATACATTCTCTATCCAGTTCCATTGAGTAACTGCCTAAGCAAAACAATTGGTATAAACAACAAACCAACATCCAAGTCTATACGAGTCTTTGGTTTTTCATCTGATGCGATTTTATTAACAGTTGTATTCATCGTTTATCAAAGCTTGAGTAGAACAATATAAATGGCTGCTCAGCAGCCACTGACAATCAAATATCCTCATCTTGCATATGTGATCTGCCAGCTCAACTGCATCGGTAAATCACTAAATGAACAATGGAGAAGATTAAGGTTGTTCTGGCTGCTGATACATCATGTTACTGAAGTGTTGAAGTAGTATGAAGCTGACAATCCATGCTGAGGTTATGCAAATGACTTAAAATACAAGTCCACTCCAAAAATAACTTACTTTCAATAGAAGCAGAAAGATCAGACAAACGAATCAAACAAAGTTTGAGCAAAATCAGATAACTAATAAGAAAGTTATGAATTTTTGAAAAAGTATGTAAAACTATGGAACAATGGATCACTACACAAATTGCCAATTTGGTTATCAGTTTGTGACGTCATGTCCTCACTATTTGTCAATTGCTTTATATAGTTTTATCCCATTGATTTTTCTTTTTATCCTCCAAAACTTGATTTCCCCATGTCTTTGCCAAGGTTATAGCTTGCATGACATTTCAAAAAATCTTTTACGAACTTTGGAGAATTGATACTATTTTCTGAATATTGTTTATTCATAATTATTGATTTTTATATAAATAGTTAATCAAAATTCACATTTTTCAGGATTTAATTGGAAAAAATTACTCTATATTAGTGTATCCACACAAAAACATATACTATCAATCTAACTTGGATGCTGGTGTAGAGAAATAAGATTCTTAGGGGGGAAATAGGTAATCTATATTATCAATATAAAGAAATTAGTGGATAGTGAGGACATGACGTCACACAGACTCATGAGTGAGTTGCCAATTTGTGTAGTGATTTTCAAAGTTTTTCATGTCATTAGAAATTCATAACTTTCTTATTAGTTATCTGATTTTGCTCAAACTCTTTTTGATTGTTTTGTCTGATATTTCCTATATTGAAAATAAGTTTTTTTTGGAGTGGACTTGCCCTTTAAACCAAAATCATGCGCCATCAATGTGTTGTATAGAATGCGCATTGACTTAATTGTGCGCAGTATATATGACTGCATATGAAAACCACATACAGTGTACCTGCCAATGAAGGCCTCCACAATAATTGACGTAAGTCAGTTAAGGAGATATCTGAAATCTAGGGTAAAATACTTAATTAGCCAACATCGTCAACTGAATACCAAAGTTGGCAAAGTATTTTACCTGAGCGGAAAACTGAGTAAAATATTTGTATTTATGACATAAGTATTTGATAGAATTCTGGCCCTGGGCCCAATATACTAATCATGTAGCTACATTTATAGTTATGCCCTCCTATTTGGAAAAAAGAACATGAAGTGGTTAACTTTTGCATTTATCAATCAGTTTCATACTGTATGAAACAAAACAAACAAAACAAAGTATATTGGAAAAGGTACTGTGTTTAAATAGAACCTTGTCTACCTTTTGATTTTGTTTCCTGGGGGCCGTCATAAGTTTGTGGACACCCCCATAGAAATGCATGTTAATTCTATAACACACGTTTCAATGGGATGTCTAAGGAGTTAGACCAATGATGATTTCAAGAAAGGAGCCTTTCAAAAACCTTTAGAAAACCATAATTGGCTATGTGTTAAAAGCTGGTTCAGTTATACCTTTATAAAACCATGATCGGCTATGTGTTAAAAGCTGGTTCAGTTATACCTTTAGAAAACCATGATCGGCTATGTGTTAAAAGCTGATTCAGTTATACCTTTAGAAAACCATGATCGGCTATGTGTTAAAAGCTGGTTCAGTTATACCTTTAGAAAATCATGATCGGCTATGTGTTAAAAGCTGGTTCAGTTATACCTTTAGAAAACCATGATCGGCTATGTGTTAAGTGTCCAAGAAATAGGCAAATTGATCAATCAATAGTACTTGCCTCATCTTTCTTTCTTTTTCTTTTTTTGGGGTTCTACCCTGTTGTGGAGGTGTTATGGTACATGTATAGTGGTTCATTCACTTCAACCAATGGGTTGAATGCACCAATCCAAGCCAGGCACATACATTAGCAAGACATTATTTCATGTTTGCCATTCTCCACCCAAGTGAAAATGGGTACTCTATATACTTGAGTGTTTGGCTATGGCCAGGCTAATAACTTTAGATAGAGCATCATGACATGACAAAAATGAAAGCTATACAGAAAGCCACATTGTTATTATCATTGTCATTCTTGTTATTATAATTACTAGGTACTTGGAGAAACACTTGATGTCGAATTCTGATTGGGTCACTGAACCTCTTATAAACTGACAGATCACTATTGATGATTATGATGAATTATTATCATTATTATTATTATTATCATCTTTATTACTATTATTACTATTATTATAATTATTAGTATCATTATTATTGATACTATTATTATTAATATTATGATTATAATTATCATTATTGCTATTATTGTTATTATTATTCTGTAAAAAAATGATCTCTAAACTTGTGTTGTATTTCATCACATAAAATTGCTAAATGATGTGATCAGCTGAGAGCCATAGGAATGTTAGCATATAACCTAATGCCCATCTGGGCCTGTATTCAATTCAATACATAAGTACAAAATTTAAGCTTTTTACTTAGTATTTGGCTTAGATAAAATACTTAGCCAATTTTGGTATTCAATTCAAAATTTTGGCTTAGTAATTTACCCTAAATTTAAGACAGCTCCCTACCAGACTTAAGCCAGTATTTTAACCTGCGTACAATTATACCAGCGCACATTCATTGCAACGCATTAATTGCACATTAGTTTTGATTGAACGTGTGACGTCACAATGCTTATCAGTAAGTATTTTACTTAGATTTTGTCCTAGAGTACCTCACTGCCGAAATCTTGGAACTCGCAGGCAATGCTGCCCGCGACAACAAGAAATCTAGGATTTCTATAAGTGTAAAATGCGATTTAAATACGAGATAAGTAAATTTCTTAGCTTAGCCATTTACTTAGTAAATTTCTTACTTATGCTAAGTATTGAATTGAATACCGGCCCAGGTTCTCAACAGATGAAATAATTCTTTCTTTGTGAAATCACATGTGAATAACTCAGTTCTGACCCCTGCCAACAAACCATAACAATTGGCTAGAATATTTGATGAAAACAATATCATTTAGAAGCCCCCCAAAATAGCATCATAGTTTTATACATGTTCATATTTTTTTATCTTACATATAATGACCCCTCACAATACAGCAAAAATCCTTTTCTTTACAGAATAAACAAAAATAATTAATTGTGTTTCAAACCACTTTTTATTAAACAGTGCAAAATTAATTCAAACATAATTCAAGAGGGGAAGACTTGCAAGAATAACAAAAATGTGCCTTCATCTAGTGTCTTTACAATTTTGTTTATACTAATCACATTTGCTGCTAAAGCACTCCTGTTATTTCATCATCCACAATCAAGGTAATACATGTGAATGAGTGTATGATTACTTTTCAGATGGCTACTAATCATTGAAATTACACTCATCTATATTATACTCAATGATTTGTTTATGTATCAAAGTCTGTGACTAGAATAAGAGTCAAGGTTACTCTCTTCATTTATCGTGGCTTTAGGAAGAAATACATTCTTTCATTTGTTGACAAGCATGACACAGTACTATTGAGAACGTAATACCAAGTCAGAAAAAATTGATGTTCAAATCTATAAGGAGATGAAATAAATTATTCTCTAATTTTCTTTAATTGGTAATCTTTAAAATAAGATTGTTTTAATGTTCAATTTTTTTTCTCCTTTTTGTTTTGTAGTATTTATATCTTATTAAAGTGACTCGGTAATGGGGCTTTCACATATACACTCCGGGGCCCGTACGGCGAGTAAAAACAGACATTTTGGGAATTTTCGACCGGTGTCCGGCCAGCTGCCGACAAGTTCCTACGGGCGCCGGGACAGTTTTCTAAGCCGTACGGGCCCCGTGGTGCTGAGTTGGCTGCTCCCAATTCTCCCGGCGTTTTTAACTGACCGTTAGCCCGTAGAAAACCCGTAAAGGGCCCGTGAGGCACCTTACGGGTCCCGTGCGGGCTCCGGACAGTGCCCGGACGGGCCCCTTACGAATTTTTTCTTCAATTTTAATAAAAAATGTTTACGGGCGCCTTGCGGTGCTCAAGGGTTCCGTACGTGTACCCTACGGCGCCCTGACGGGCCCCTCAAGAGCCCCGGGTGATATGCACAACAACAGGCGTCTGCCGTCCGGGGGCCATTTAAAATGAATATTGCCCGTGCGGGTCCCTCACGGCGGCATCTCGAAATGTACAACGCAGATTTAAATACAGGAGGTACGGATACCAGAGGACACATACAGAGTGAGTCGGAAAAAATGTCCCACTTTTTAAAAGTTGTATTGTTTGAAGTATGAATATTTAATGATGAGTTTTATGATAGATGTCTTGATAGAGTTATCCTCCCAGTACATTTAGGTACCATTTTCATTTGAATTTCTGCATGCATGACTGAACATCAGACAATCTTTACAAGACTGACAGATCTCACTTGTGCCAAGTTGCTAGGTGAGGAACAAAATAATGTTTTGAACAAAGACAGCCATTTTGTTCAATTATCCAATCAGCCAGACAGACAAAAACACACAAATACACGCACCCCCCCCCCACACACACACACACACACACACACACATATATATATATATATATATATACATATATACGAACATGCACAGGCACACGTCCACAAATGAGCATTCCATTCCCGACAAGGCCTACCAAAACTGTTACTTTTTGTCGGGAATTCTTCTTATCGTACGAAAAGTTGAGTGGCCGCTGTCCTCTTGGTGCGTATTGGCGGATGTTGTGCTAGATGATGATGATGGTGATGATGATGATGATGATGATGAAGATTAAGATGATGACAATGATGACATGATCGTGGTAGTGAATGTGTTTAAAAGCGAAAGATTTTTACTTTAGGGTTATGCCACTTAAACATTCAGCGATCTTGATAAAAATCAATGCTCAATCAAAAAGGGGCAATTATGAAATAATTGTCACCGTGTGTGTTGTGTGTGTTGTGTGTGGGCGTGTTGGTGTGTGCACGTGTCTGACTGTCATTGTCCAATGCATTGTTTTATTCCTCACCAAGTAACTTGGCGCAAGTGAGATCTGGCAGTGTCTGGTATTCAGTGATGCATGCAGGGATTCAAATGAAAATGGTACCTAAATGTACTGGGAGGATAACTCTATCAAGATATATCATGAAACCCATGATTAAATATTCATACTTCAGACAATACAACTTTTAAAAAGTGGGACATTTCTTCTGACTCACTCTGTAGTTCAGTGCACCGCACGGCACCCGGCCTGGCGCCTTGAGGACCCCGGCCGGGCCCCGGCAGGGCACCTTCCGGGAGCCATCGGTACACCTGCTCATCGGACGGAGCCCGTAAGGTTACCGGTCGGCACCCTGCCGGCACCTTGCCGGCACCCTGCCGGCACCCTTACGGGCGCCTTGCATTTCACTCGACCAATTTTCTCCGGGCACCTCCCGGGCGCCGCATAATATGTGACCACACATGCCGTAGAAATGAAAATCGGACGGTTCCCGTACGGTCTCTAAATCTACGGCAAGCCGCCGGGTAGGGAAAATCGTACGGGGCCCGGTTTATATGTGACCTAGGCATTACATTGCCTCAGATTCTGAAACAAAATCCTGGATTTGGCTCATGCTGCAATCATGATTATTAACCCAGTCAGGAATCCCATGAGTTTTACAAGCCAATAGCCTGTCTGATTATCAAGATATCTATGATTGGAAATCGAAATGTTATTTTTCGTTTTCCTAACAGTTTTTATAACACTACAGTCTATTGGAGAAAATAAGCATGATTCGTTTATGATCTGTATAAAATTATATACACTTAAAATATTGTATCAAACCATATTATGTTCATGAAAATGTATGAAGAAAAAAGATGCAGAAACCAATAAATCAAATCGATTCAAATAAAATCAAATAAAATCAAATAAAATAAAACCGGTCACTTAAAGATTTTTACTTTTTTGAGGCACTTCATGATCATTTTGAAGCGCAATTTTGTTTAGGGCTTCAATATTACACCATATCACAGTCACTGATAACACGTAGGGCCATGCATCTCAGATTTAACATTGTTAAACGGTGCCTTTAAGACATTGTACAACAATTTAAGTATTAAGTGCGAGGCCAGATGATTCCTTCTTTTGTGATATGTTGTCCTATTGGGCTCTCCAGTAAAAAGTCAAAGAATAGTTCATTGATGCGAAGTTAAATTGAGATAATTTGTTCAAAATCTTTAATAACGGAAATCCCCTATCTGGGATATAAGCAAGCCCTCAAAAACTTATCTCAAAATTTATCTGGAGCAGCAAGATGACTTGATGAAAGTTTGTGAACAATTTTAGATAAAAAAACTCAGTCTGTGGTTTTCTCTCTTTGACTGAAAAATGAAGCCCTCATTTTGTGAATAAAACTCTGCCAGTCGCAAAAATAAAATTTGAAGAAAAAAGATGACGGTCAGTTTGTTAATAATAAATATTTTGCGACCAAAACTTTTAGGAAAGTTTTCAATTATGATTTTTTTTAAAACAACATTTCTGCCTTTTAATAACTTTTGATATTTTCACTGTGCACATCCCAGCAAATCCCTTCAAAGACACATAATAGTGGCTTCTCATGAGGGATTTGACACCATTCAGATGATTGAATAATGGGTGTTATCAATTATTGAGAGAGTGGACTTCACTTTAATGACCAAAATGTATTATATAATGCATGTACTTTTCATCAACCCTGTAAACTTCAAAAGAGTTGCCCGTAATGAAAATCCATCATTCCTACTCCAAACAGTGGCTGAATACTTTTGATCGGCACTCTCAGCAACTGCCAAGTCACTTCCAGTAGGGGCTAGAATTTTGCTGCATTCAAAATGTGTAATGTGTAATTGCAGCAAGTCCAGTGTAAGTGAACTACATGTATTTTCAATGCACATGGAAACTGTCAAGAGTGTGTCTGTATCAATCAAGTGGCGGCTCCAAGTGCTTTCTGTGTTGATGAGTTACATGCCCTTCTGCTTTTCAAGATGTAATTATTGAAGACATTTTGGGGGTTGTTTTCAGTACTATTTCTTGTTGACACTGCTCAGACTTGCATCCTTCTTTTGCATCCTTCCCTTAGAAGACTTGTGATGAGTATGTTTGTGCATATCTCCATGTCTGTGTTTTGACTTCTTGATCTGCACACAAAAATGGACAACATTGAATAATATACATTTCCAAATGAAACAAGTTTGAACTCAGATAATACCCGGTAGAGTGATTCTAATCTTTAATTGTATAAAACATGTTACTCAATACATCTAATATTTTAGTATACATGTACCTGATTACTGGATGGATACATTCAGCACAATCAGAGCTAGAATCTGACCAAATATGATGTAAACAGATACAGTTGATGTCAATCTTTCGTCTGTTTGGAGCCAGAAGGGTGTTAACTCATATACCTACACACAGAGGTAAAAATCCCTTCTACCTTCCTTTAGCTGCACATATATTCAATTTATTCTAGCTTTTGCCACTTCAGATGTACAATGCCTATAAATTCATTATTAAAGATGATCAACATTTTATGGTTTGAAATAAAGTAAGATATGAGGAAAGAGGGGTCATGTGACCAGCCAACCATAATGAGAAGCCATGTGACCCATGACTTGTCACATGACAGACAGCCAGAAAGAATAATATAAGACATAGGAGAATGAGGGTATGTAAGTCTAGTGTGAGAAAACAAGACTGTGAGTGATAGATGAGTAATAGAGAATTAGGAGGTTGAGCAATATGTGGGACACATGTAGTGTTACTAAATGTACATGACCATAATCAACTAGATGGACCTTCGACTACGCGCAGTCAAAAAAGATGCCTCCGGCATGGAGCAATTTTACAAACCAAAACAGAAGCAATTTTTAAAATTCAAGTTTGATTGTAATCCATTAAAAGGTTCTCAGAATATCGTGATAACAAGCTATTTTTAATATACATGTATGACCTTGTGACCTCAAAATCTAATCAGTTCATTGGCTTTGCAAGGTACATACTGTACATGTCCTAAGTTTGATAGTAATCCATCCGTCAGTTCTAATGAGAATGCGTTGACAAGCATACATAACGAGCCCCATGACCTATGAACTTTGACCTCATGACCCCAAAATCTAATCAGTTCATTGGCTCAGCAAGATACATACATGTCCTGAGTTTGATGGTAATCTGTCCATCAGTTCTTGAGATAAAGCGATAAGAAGCTATTTTTGCATACATAATGAGCCCTGTGACCTTTGACCTTTGAACTTGTGACCCTAAAATCTAATCAGTTCATTAGCTCTGCAAGTTACATACATGATAAAAATTTGGCAGGAATCCATCCGTCGGTTCTTGAGATAACGCGATCAAGAGAACAGGACGGACGGACGGACGGACAACCCGAACACATAATGCCTTCGGCTACTTTGTAACGGAGGCATAATTATGCTCTTTCAAGCACTGGTGGCTTGTGTGTACTTACTCATGGCACAGTGCAATTAAGGAATTTGTGAATGCCTTCCATTAATACAGCTAACCCGCACCCATTTCTGAGATTGGGAAACGAATTCCTTAGTAAAGTGTGGAATGAATTGGGTTTTTCTGAATAAAAAATGAGCTTCACAAAGTAAGGTGGTGGTGGTGGGTGAAAAGAAGGGCTTACCTTTTCATGTTTACTGTTATGACTTGATAATTCTTTGGTGTGCTTTTCTCTATCCTTTTTCTTGTCTCTGCTTCTGTCCCTGCTTCTGTCCCTGCTTCTGTCCCTACTTTTGTGTTCACTTTTTCTCTTCTTACTCTTCTTTTCTCTTTCCTCCTTTCTCTTCTCTCTATCTCTCCTTTTTCTTCTCCCTGTAGAACTCTCATCCTGACTTTCAGTGTTTTTTGGAGGGCTCTCCTGGGTATGGTCTAATGACGGTGGAAGCATCGGTCCATATTCCTCTTCCTCCTCCTCCTCCTCCACCTCCTCCTCTTCTTCCTCCTCCTCCGCTCTTTCCTTGCCTTCATCTCTATGAATTGCACCACTAGTTCTGTTTCCATGACTACGAAGTTCTCTCATTACTTGTTCATCATCAACACTTTCCAGCCCGGTCATATATGAGGCATGTTCATTCTGTATTGAAGCCTCAACTCCATCATTCATCTTTGCATTTCCACCTCCAATTGAACTCTCCAGACCTGTATTACAAAACAAAAATAGAATTTAAAAAAAAAAGAAGAATAAAAAGGAAGAAACAGAAACAAGGAAGAAACAGAAAAAAGGAAGAAACCGAAAAAAGAAAAGATAAGAAGAAGAAGAAAACTAGAATTTAATTCGTCACGAGGACGAATAAGGTGGTCTGTCTTCAAGTCTTATGATAGATTATAATATTTACTGTATTGAGAAAGGGAGAAGTTATATAGACATGTAGACAATGATGATCATGATGATGATCATGAGGATGATGATCTTGATAGTAATGGTGATGACGATGATGATGATGATGATGATCATGATGATTTTGATGATCATCATCAACAGACCATGATGACATCTGATTGAAAAAAATGAGGGGCATTTAGATAGCATATAGTCTCAGCTACAACATACTCCAAAATCAACAAAAACCAAGCGGAAATAACGGCGATATTGCTTGCAAACGACCGGAAAGTAGAATCCAGATTTGAGAAAAAGTCATCTCCCATAAGGATTACACGCAAAAAGTAATGGATCAAGTGATAATAGGGTAATAATAAAGTAAATATAGTTGTTTAGTACATTATATGCGATACTACGTGTTTTAATATTCAAAGGAGATGGTATAGTGAAAGGTCAAAAAGAAAAAAAAGTGAAGCAAAAAAATTGTTGGAGACGCCCGGACTCGAACCAGGGACCTCGAGGTCAGAAGTCAAGTGCGTTAACATTTCCCATACAGATTACACGTAAACCGAAAATGGAATTATCAAATCCCACTTTGCAAGTGAGATATGAGCATGATCCCGGCATCTGATCGAAAAATAAAGGGCACACTTGTGATAGCTTATTGTCTCAGCTACAACATACTCAAAGCTCAGCGAAAACAAAGCTAAAACGACGGAGATATTGCTCGCAAAAGACAGGATGTAGAATCCAGTTTTGAGAAAAAGTCATGTCCCATAGAGAATACACGCAAAATGTAAAAAATTGACATGCCACCTTTAATCGCAAAAATACGCCATGATACCTTAGTCAAATGAAATATTGTGGTGACTGCATTTGTAGAGAATGGTCTAAGGTAGATCATATCAAAATTTGGAAGAATATCGATCAATATTTACAGAGATACAGTCAATTTTCAAGAAATATGCTGACGTCATAATATGCAAATTGAAATTTTGAGTTGGGAGGCCATTATGACGTCATGAGTTAATTGAGGGTCAAATGAGACATGAAATCATATCTCCAATTCATACTCTATCAAAATATGGAGAAAAAAAATGGGTTCACCTTGCATCCTAAAGCGCTACAATGGATTTTGTATAGGCATGTTTTTGCCCAGCTATGTATAACAAGAGCTCGCACGCACAGAAATTATCTTAAACGTACGCTCATTCCGTTATTAATGGTCAGAAAAAGGTGAACAAGGTATCAAAATGCTTGAAAAAAATGTGTCAAATATGATGACAGAGAAAAATTGGCGATTCTATGTTGGAAAATACCAGTACGCGCGAAAACGTGCGCGTTTTTTGCAAAATGCTTAAAATGGCCTGAAACGTATGCAAAATTAATTTAATATGATTTCGAGCATTTTGAAATTTTGCGCGCAGGCTGACGCGCGGACATACGCATGCGCGCGCGTTTTTTTACCTGAAATTGACCGGACGGATATTGACCTTAATCATGATAAATATGAATGAGAAATGCTTTTCCGTTATGAAGATATGATCATGAGTAAAAAGTACCAAAAAAAACACAAAATGGCGCCTGGATGACGTCATGAAGATTTGATGACCTTGAAAATGTCACAGTCACATCTCATGACAATGACCTATGACTGTGCCAAAATTGAAGGAAATTGATTGAACCGATCTTGAGTTATCCTGTGAACAAAAAAGTGTGAAGAAATAAATAAAAATAAAGAATAATAATAATAATAATAATAATAAATAAAGAAAGAAAATTCTGACGAAAACAATAGGTGATCTGTCATTGACAGACCACCTAAAAATATTATTTTGACATGATTAATATCAACATTAAACATGACCATAGATATATAGAGTACCGAAGCTGTGACATCATAAAAATCTATTTTTGGAATTTCTCAATTTTTTCTTCATTTTCCGAAAGCGCATCAAAAATAATGTCCAAATGTTGAAAACCAATTCAATATGTTCAGTATAGGCTGAGATATGACCATCTGAATAAATAGATTTCCTATAGGAATTCAGTGTTATATTTTAGGTGTATACATGTGGGTGAAGGTTCAAAATAGTTTACTGTATTGTAAATGAAGATTGCCAAAGGAAGACAGGTGCAAGGGAAAGAGAGAGAGAGAGAGAGAGAGAGAGCTGAGAGTGTGAGAGAGGGAGAGGAGTGGATAGAAAGAAAGAGAAAGATAGAAAAACATACAGAGAGAGAGAGAGAGAAGGGGGAGAAGTAGAGAGGGAAAGAAAGAGGGAGATATAGAGACAGAGGTGAGGAAAAGAAAGAAGAAAGGAAGGAGATGGTCATCAACATACAACAATAGCATAAAATAAAAGAAACATTGGCAAGGTATCTTCAACTGTGAAGGAGGTAGACGAAGAAGAAGAAGAAAAAGAAGAAGAAGAAGGTAAATTGGAAGTAAGTTTGACTTTGACCGACAGAAAATGTGATGTTGGGTGTTTAAGATCAGTTGCTTCCAGGTTTACAAAGTGTTGAGCATGACATTATTCAATTATTATTAAAGATGAAAAACTAAATGTCATGACAAAATATATAAAAACAAACATGATAAGTGTTCAAAGAATGTATGAATATAAAATATCATGATGAAAGAGATGAAGGCAAATATAGTTTTGATAAAGCAGATTCAAGAGGTAAAGAAGTGGAATTGGTTTCATTTACACAACCAAAAATTTGAGAGATAACACCTATGACTTCCAGAGATACAAAAACATCACGCACACAGAAAAAGATCAAGGAAAATGGAATCAATATAAATTCTAAAGAAACATGACTTGTTTCTTTTACACATGCTTTATGCTACAAAGATTGCTATAAAGAAATATCACAAAATAAGCAAAGTGTAATTGTAATATCAAAACTCTTAAAAAGGATATTGTGACATACATGTAGCAAGGATATTTTGACATACTGTAGCACCTAAAATATTACTAACTAGAATGTACGTAACATCATAGATGTAATTATTGGTACATGTACAGAAGGGTTTATAGCAACAGGCCTGTACAGCAGGTCAGTTTGCTAAAAATTGTCTGTGATTGCAGTTAGCCTCATTATAATCACAAGTATTGGTATTGGTATTGAATCTATGGAATATGGGTTGAAAGTAAAGCCTTGGTTTAATAGTCTTTGTTAAAAATGAGACTTCTAGTATTCCAAGTGTTTTTTAAAACTTAATTTGTCTATGAATATATCATAATGTTTGGATAAAATATGTGATAACTTGAGCTTCATATAAATTGTGAAATAAAGGTAGAGCTCAGCATCCTACAGGTATGTCTCCACTTATACACAGGGGCTTGGGCAGACTTGGGCTTGGGCAGTGTACCACATTATTGACGGAGACATTGCAATATTATCTTTGTAGTGCTACAGTGTATATGATCATGGCTTTCAAACTTTTCCTCAGCAACCATCCTTTCACACAAATTTGGTAACAGATCTTTGTTCTCCTCTATAGTCTCAAGTGATGGGGAGGTAGGTCCAATGCTTTGACAACCTGCACCTACATGTAGGTGTTACACATTCTTTGTCAGCACTGGAACAGATCAACCTTGTCTGCTGTTTGTGTTGATTGATTGGTTGATTGATTTGTTTTTTATTGTCCAAATAAATGGGAATTCTTTTTCACATGGTTACAAAGTATATAACATCAAGCATAAATCAATTGAACAAACTCCAAATTACACATTAATCACCAAGTAAGTCATATTAATAATTTAGACTTAATCTTTATAGAATCAACACTAAATTCAAAACAATAACTCATACTTTTAAATTTTAACTTTATGATCACATGATCTCATTATTGACTGTATATTTAATCTCAAGATCATATCTTACATGGAAGTACAATTTATGAATCACAAACAACTAATGAGTATGAGTGTATAATATACTTTGTATGAAAATACATTTACCGTATCGCCCCCCCCCCCCCCACTCCCATTACCTAAAGTCGGGGACAAACAAGTTTCTAGAGCGAACCCACTTGATGCGGGGGACATAAAGGCGAACACCAGATCTATTGAAACGAAAAATGACTGAACAAAGGATGGGTTGGATCTTTCATAATACACATGACCTTAGCTAGTGAACCATCACCATGCAACTTTGTTATGTAGTACAATACATCTCTTAAGGTCCTTATTTCTCACATCTCCACCGAGCAAAGTTCACTTTTATCAGACTTCCTATAGCTGACTTGGGTCAACATCCAAATTCATTCCGATAAAAGGAATGAGAGTGTGGGAGGGAGGGAGGGAGAGAGAGACAGGGGAGGGAGAAAAAGAGAGAGAGAGAGGGAGGAAGTGAGAAAGAGAGGGAGAGAAAGATACAGAGAGAGAGAGAGAGAGAGGAAGTGAGAAAGAGAGGGAGAGAAAGATACAGAGAGAGAGGGGGGGAACAGAAAAGAGTGAGGGAGACAGAGATGAAGTGAGAAAGACAGGGAGAGAAAGATACACAGAGAGAGAGAGAGAGAGAGTCGGAGGGAGATAGAGAGCGAGAGAGCGAGATAGATGGGAAAGAAAAGTAGAAAATAAAACCTGTGGCATATCTCAAGTACCTTATTCAAACATTGCAGACATGGTCCATTCAAATCAAGCTGTGATTTTTTGCCTATTTTATTTATAATTCATGCCATTCCACAACAGTCAATCACACTCCCATCTCTTGGTAAATTAAACATTGGTTGATCTGCAAACAAGTACATTTCTCTTTCCTCTTTTAAAACTGAGAACATGGATGGGATGACAGAGATTTTTCTGGGTGT